GAAAGGATTTACTTGAAATTCAAGTTTCATATCAATTCCAATATGATATTAAATAATAATATGACAAGGTTTATAACTAAAATGACAAGGTTCATAACTCTTGTGTCAATAATTTTCGGATTATCTTCTCGTTAAACTTGAAATATTCCTTATTTTTACTATTACTTCTTTATTTCTTCAGGGATTTAAAAATATGTTTGTTATCAACACTTTTGTCATATGTAATGAGATCTATATCTCTTGCTCTAGTTTTTCCAGAATTATCTCCAAACTTGGAATTTATTTGAAATTGTTATATTTTTATTATAAATGGTATCTTATATAGACATAAGATAATTGGTCGTTGTTATTTCTAACAACATGCATAACAAGGATAATGACTCTACCATCTTTATTTCAAAAGAGTTATTTCCTCTTTGAACTTATATTTTAACTTTAAAAACGTTATGTACTTTTTGCTCTTATAATTATCGTTACTGAAGAGATTGACGTCAAATTTCACATTTTTGTCTTTTCTTTTGGAGCATAGAAATGTATTTTTAACTTTTATTGACAATGTTACATGCATATTATGTGGTGCAAAGAAATTGAACATTTTAGTCCTTTCTTGATACTGATACATAAATATATTTTTGTCATAATTGATTTTTTGTTCATAGTTTTGTCTTCCTTTGCTGCGTCCAGTATTTAATTAGTCGAGCGTCGCTGTCTCTTCTGACACCTCTTGTTTAAATATTTATGAAAAAAATATCAAAAAAAATATCAATGCATCATTATTGTCCATATGTCCTTATGTGTCATTGCTGCAAATGTAAGTTAATATTCCTCTCAAATAGATTTATCAGTCAATTTCCAAACTTTTGCTTTCGTTAGATCCATAACAGTAACTAAATACCTATTTATACATTTGTGCATCCATTCACCACTAAACCCTGCGTCTTTGAAAGTCTAAGTGGACAGAACAGAACAGAGTCATTTTTACATTTAAAACCCATTTTAAAAACTTCCTATGAACCCTTTCTATTTGGTCAGACATTGTAAATCCCCATATTTCACAAGAATAATTTAGTGGTAGTCTAGCACTGGTGTAACTCTCCAGAAACGATGGTTAGGAAACTACCCGCCTATATGACTGAAATGTTGGGAAAAGGCGTAAAATGAAACAAACAAACAATAATTAAGTATGGATGCAACATAACTGTCAAAATGATTAGACATAATTTTTGCTGGTATTTCTAATGGTCTAGTTACTGAAAGTAAAGAGCTGATGGCTTTAAGTGCTTTTCCTGATAGGGTCTTTATAGTATTTGTAAATGAGCCACCGCTAGATAATACAAAATAGATAAATACAGAATCCCTAAAGAAAGCCCAACACGGCAAAATTGAAAATGTTGCAGGCTCGGTTTGATTGAGCCTGTTCATGGACGGTACTGGAAAGTGCAAGTTACCGTCCACGCCCCCTAGCACCGACTTAAGCAGAATTCAACATTTAAACATGAAATAGTAAAATTTTGAATTTAGAAACATCCGCAGATGTGTTCATACGGCGGTTATCATGGAACCTTCAATGTGACACTTCCGTGCCATTCCATGAAAAGCGGCGTATGGTCCCCAAGTAATAAAAAGCGTGTGCCCTAAACGAGAAAACAATGGGCGGACCTAAATAAAATGGAATTTTGAAAGGGGATCAGAGGTTATGAAGCCTGCGTATCACAGATAAGACGTCAAAAGACAAATTTAAAAAGCAGGCAACATATCCTAAGGGTGATTCAACATAATTCAAGTAGTAATATTGGAACCACCCAACTAGAAAATGCCGAAAAGTTGAAACTAAAAATAACACAAGCACAACAACAATGTCGTGCTGAACGATCTTCAAGGATCGAAAATATAACATCATTGATTAAATGTACGGGGAGACTTTTTACAGCCGCCACACGGCACAAATAACACGGATGTGATTATAAAATAGATAAATACAGAATCCCTAAAGAAAGCCCAACACGGCAAAATTGAAAATGTTGCAGGCTCGGTTTGATTGAACCTGTACATCGAAAGTCCAAGATAGTTTAAAGAATTAACAATTTAAATAGTTTCTCCATCATTCTTAAATCAATAGTTAGTGTTTCTGCTGTTACTACCTTTCTTGAAAATCATAATTTTTGTTTTAGCAATATTAACTTTTAGTTTCCATTTATCACAATATGTCTTAAAATTATCCAAAGATGTTTGTAAGCCCTTTTCAGTTTCTGGAAAAAAAATCATTGCATCATCTGCAAAAAGTAATAAATAAATTGAAAGTTGATCTAGAGACATACAGGCATTTGGGTCTTGTTGTAAGTGTAGTTCTACATCGTTTATAAACAAAGAAAAGAGCAGAGGAGACATTATCTTCCCTTGTAATAATCTTATATCACAATCGTACACATCGGATAACTGATTCAAATGTTTAACACACAATTTAACATCATTATAAAGTGACCGTACAACATTAAATAATCTACCACTAATCCCCATTTTAATAAGTTTAACCCAAAGGCCATTCCTGTATATTGAATCAAAACACTTTAAATTTGAAGATCAATAAAGCAACAGTACAGTTTTCAATTGTTTTTCGATAAAGGAATTCAATAATATATTGCATCTTCAGTACTATATTTAGCTTTTAAACCAAACTGTGCGTCAGTAACAATATCATTTGCAATAGACCATTTCTTTAATCTTTCATTTATAACAATGGTGAATAATTTAACAAAACAACTAATCAGCGTAATACCTCTATAATTATTTACATCAGCGTTATCTCCCTTTTTAAATACAGGTATAATGACACCTTTAGACCATGCCTTTTGGAAACATTGTATATCAAGATCATATTTAAATAAGATTTCTAACGGTTTATCAAAAATATCAATACCTTCTAAAAAATACTCATATAAAGTAAAATCTAACGAACATGCTTTATCTCTAACAATTTAATAGCACGCATTATTTCATCTAATGTAAACGCTTCATTTTATTCTTCAAACTAACATGAGAATCAAAATTATTTTTAAAAAATCTATACAATCTACATCCTCATCAATTTTTAGTCATCTTTGTATCAAGTTCAGTCATCTACAAGAACCATCAAATCGATTTTTAATGAGATTTTTTTTCAAATTACAGGTTATCTATACGAGGGATGATCAAAAATTAACCGGACTTTGTAAATGATTCTTAACCTGTTAAATGAATTTACATAACAATTCACGGAAAATAAATCGGAATCTATCCCCTAAATGATACAAAAAATACCAACAAGAAATATTAACAAAGAAAAAAGTTTTGCCGTTATTGGCATGCACATGTAAAGCAATGCGGCGCACGGTATAACTTTAAGATTGACGTTAACGACGTCACAAGCATATTGTCCTTAACGGAGCAGATTTTACTCATTCACAGAGTAGGCCAATATGTGTTACAGTCATGTTATTGATGCGGCGGATCCCCTGCCTATATTTATTTCTGTACAAGTGTGTATCATATTGTATTGTAATAGAATGAATGGTGATACAGAGCTCCTGTAATGACGCAAACTTCCGTTATTTCCTTCTGTAACTTGATTGTTGAAAAAATCGCACATGCAATTAACTATATTATGTATTACAAATAATGTAAAATAATGTTGCTGAATGATAATGTATCATACATACATACGAAAAAATAACAGAATAATACAACGTACTATGATCAAAATTGTCATTATTTTAAAATAAATAAAAGGCAAAGCCAATTTGAACAGTGGCTGTTAAATTGTTGACACAATTTCTCCATAAGACTACTGCGTAAACTAATAGAATAATTGATACAATTGTAAACCAAGAATACAATACATGTAATTAATGCATTAAATATTATCATTTTAAAATCCTCAGAGTTGACTGCACCGTCCCGTAGTTACTATCGAACATGGTTGACAATGTCCGCAGTCAATCGACTGTCATTTTTCAACGTCTTGGCGATTGACGTCACCAACGTCCTTGAAAATGTATTTTTTCTGTCCCTCCCTTTCTTGTTTCTATTTCTCAATTATCCTTTCTTAATCTTTTAAGCTAATCAAAAAATATGATGTGGCTTTCTGGAACTTTTCCCTTGATAGCCATAATCTTTTTCTACGTTTTAAACAGTTTCTCATCTTACATTTGACAAATTGTTCCTATTGATCGATTTTCGAGACATTCCGACGACATAGTTTTAACGCGAGTATTTCATTAACATGTGACGTTTGAATTGTGACTGTAAATATAAATATGGTTTAAATGAAGTCATTTTTACTGACAACGTCAAAGATATGGTACATGACGTTTTGGCGTATTTTGAAATCTAAATGTGCCATATTGTAAAATACACGCAGCATAAAGCGCCTCATGTCAAGGCTAATTTACGCACTGCGCCGGGTGTGCGTTACCATGGTTTTTGAATTCGCTGCTACGGACAAGTTATTTGCGTTATCAGATTAGATATAGTATCAGTTTACAGGTATTGTTTTCCGATTAAGTGTGATATATAACAATAAGTGATAGGATGAAAATTCTTCAATTGCCAGTCACAGTCCGGTTTATTTTTGATCATCCCTCGTATTCGCCATATGTATTGTTACATATAGTAACCCACTTTTAAAACATGCTCTTATTTTTCAGTTATGAGAAGCAAGAAAATCTTTCCCCAAAACACAAATATAAGCTATATTTCATTTGTTTTTAAGTACCGGTGCTAACATTCAAAATGAGATATTGAGATTGGGGTATTATAGATCGTGAATGTGTATTTGTTCTATATTTGCTTAAAAATAAATAGATTATCAGACCGGGTACAAACATTTAAGATATGTTCAAGTGGCAATCTTTTACGTACAATAACTAAAATAAATAATATTTCACAAAGCTTTAAATCGTCTGAAAGATAATTGAAGAACTTAAATACACGCCATATTATTTTGAATAGCTACCACGTGATCGATCCGATGGTAGCTAGGCGATTATGTACACTATACATGGTTGTTCCGGTCTTTATGTTTAAGTTCTCTTTAAACAGGTGTCAATTTCCCTATAATTAGCATATTTGTAAGTGGATTAGCATTTAAGACATTTAAAAAACAAAAGGTTTACTTTATACACTCGGATATAATATCAGTAAGGTACAATTTGTATATAAATGAAAAACAAACGAATTGAATAAATGGATGAAAAGCTGCAGTATTCTTGTTTGTGTTTTTATTCTTATTCCAAAAGAGGATTTAACTAAATAGATAATGACAACTGTGCAAATGCAACGGGCCGTTTCGGCCGTCAGCCCTGTTGGAACACCGGGAAGGCTTCCAAACCTCCCGGTGATCGAACATCCAATGTCCCGGCTTGGTGACAGAAATGACTTGGCGGTTCGAGGGTCTTCAACATACGGTGGTCGGAATGGTGAACTCACCCCTCGAGGGCTACAAAGAAGCAACACAGACGTTGGGACTAGAAAACGAGAATTAAATGAAGCAGGCAAAAAATCACCAGATAGAATTCTTAATTGGCCCCCAGGTACATTATTTATATTTCAATTTTCTTTACGTATCTTCACGTACAGTTATTCTCATTATTTAAGAATGATTGATCGAACTATTATGATGACTTCAAAGTAGTCATACATATAATAAGGATTGATAAGTTTTAATAAACGTGAAAATAAACCATATATTCTTAGTATAACAAATCAGATTGATAAATATTACATCTACATTAAGAGTCATAACTTGTTATTATAGTGACAATCCAGTTTCTTTAACAATTAATGGTACACTTTATCTAAACTAATCAATATGTTGTATTTTTACTGTTTAAGTTAACAGTAGCTATTTAGACATTGTCAATATACTATATTATCTTATACAAAAGCATTTAAATCTAAATATAAAAAGTATTTGTGAAAAATTAAATGTATTTCAAATATTTCCTTTACATAAAAACAGGCCTCGGTGTAATTCTACATTATTAAAAAAAAAAAAAAAACGCATGTTAGATTCACAAGCTATCGCCGATCACTAGGATATCTAAGTAGTCGATCAATGAAACACGAGAGCTGTGTAAATATAAAATAGCTACCATATTGTCAATGATTAATCCTTATAGGTGATAAATCGAAAAAAACGGTACATATTTGAAAGATTAATTCCAAACTATATTTACAATCTGCATTGGTAAACCATGTCTTAGATAACAATGTTTATAGTTGTAGTCAGCATTTAATCCTTCGTCTATATGAACAATGGCTATTGATCTTAAAAGAATACAGTAGTATTATTTCGGGATTTTTCTTCATATGTTTTACTTTAATTCTTTAGCAATGTGTCTCCTTTTTTGTGTCTCCTTCTTTGTTTGATACTTTCATTTCATATGTCTTGACATAATATTCCTATTTTTTTATTACTTCAAAATCTTAAAACAGTATCTCATAGATGCTCTAACATAACATACGGAATTTCGGGTTATGCTTTAGAGTGAATTTCATGTTTTTCATGTTTATTATATATTTTTATAAACACTCGGTTTTAGTGGGGATTCCGTGGCCGACCCTCACCGCTTTTGGTTCGAATGCCTCCAGGGAAGATGGATTCTTTCATGATTTCAATCTGGGTTCGAATCTCACAAGGGAATTTTGATGTTTTCATGCAATGAAACTTTCTAGCTGGCTTACGGAACCTCTAGTCTATATATATGCTCATCTGCCTATACAGTTGAGAAACACCTAACCAAAACACACGATGGTTTACGACATGTGTACATGTCATTATTTTTTTCAGTTTATATATTATTTATTATACATGAAGATAATGATAATTAATATTATATATAGTTATATTTTTTTCATATTACTTAATTCTTAATTATATTGTACTTGTATAAGAAATATTTGCTTAGTATATTACGTCGATCATCTCGCATAGCCACTAATTATTTCCACTGTATTTCATTTCATAATTTTAATGACATGATTTTGTTCAATTGAATTGATATGCTCTATGATTTATTTGCAATGTCTTTATCCGTCAATACATCGCCTATTGAACCTATTTGATTATGTTAGAAATATCATAGTGTGTGTTTAGCTATTAACATAATTGTGGCTATGAACCTGAGAGAACGATACTATATCTCTATTGAAGGGCCATTCAGACTTTGTTGTAGATAAATAGTGACATACATCGACTGTATACTGGTTAACATAATCATTGAAAAGACCTTCGATTTTTCCATGATAATATTATTATCCAGCATTGAATGGATTTTTATGTTTTGTGTTGTACTTATTTAAATGGCTGTAAATAAGTAGCCTGTGAGATAATATTGTAAAATACAAGGCTTTATAGCCTTCATACATGTAATAAATAACCGTACGCTTATTTAAAAGATTTTATAAAGACGTTTAAACCCAACTATAGATATTTCTTTTTTGGGACGTTTTAGGTCCTTATTGTCGGAATATTGATTTTCTTTCAAACGAAATTGAATAATCAAATTTGATACCATTCGTTTATAGATAGATGTATCTACACTTTTTAATAAATTATATGTATTAGCGTTATAAAACAAATTTAAAAGATTTATTCAGCCTATGAGTTTCAATCATATATGACATTATTTATACCATTTACCAAATGATGATGAATAATACAATAATACATCGTTTATTTATTTTATTTAATTAATATATCTCTTTATTTGTAAAGTGAATAAAAAGACATATGTTTATTTGTTTAAAGGAAAGTATCAAAAATACCGTTTAAAATATGTGCCATTAAATAAATATTCAATTTTGAAAATGATTTACAGACTTATTCGAAAAATACACGCATTGAACACATGTTCATAAATTAGTACAGGCGCACTGATGTACAAGCGAAACATGTGTGTGGTTTAAATAAATAAATACATGTATTTATAATCATATGTGAAGTCACATTCTCATATTTTATATATATAATATTACATATCTACAAATGACATGTATTAATCTGTTTAAGTGTATTCTAAAAAAATAATATTTATTTTAGACGACACTTTTTTATTAGAAAGTGTTATTTTTTAAGTAGAAAAGCATACAAAACTGAATTTGATATTAAAACCGAACATATTATAAAAGAATTGAAGTTGTCATACAACCAAGTTCAAAGACTTTGTCAGGTGATTGAACTAAATTATACTTATGATATCATAAGGGTTACTTCGTGACGTGACAATCATATGGCTCCATGACCACAAACTTGTTGGAAGTCGCGACCCAGCGTCCAGGCGTTTCAATGAAAAGATCAATTTTTCCAGTAGGGGTAATTTTCCCACGATTAAAACGGATGGGGACGTTCTTGTGTTATTTGTTGTGACTAGCATGTTTCCACTGGTTATTGTCTTTTACATACCAGGTTGCTTTTAAAATGGCAGTATTTCAAAAATTATATAATGCACATAAATTTTGTAGCATATGCTTTATGACTCTATTTGTGATATTTATTACAGGTGTCCTACTGCACATTTACATTTTAACTAGATTAACTCTTTATTTATTTTTATGGTTGATGATATCGAAACTGCCCAATGGTATTTCCATTTACGAACATTGTATGGCGTGGTCATAAAGATTCGGTTAGTAAGAGCATTAAATAAACTAGATACAGTGTGTAACCTAATCTTAATCAAGACAAAAGTGCTTAAAAGTGTGTAAAATACAGCGCCTTTATTATTCAAAAGGATGTTATCTTTTTATAGATAGGAAAAAATGACAAGCAATGCTATCCAGCGATTTTGAATCTTGGTAACAACGTAAAAAGTATTCATTTAATTTCACCACAACCTTCGAGATGAATTATTTTCACACCCGTCAATGCCAGTATTATGTTCTGTTCTTTCATAAGTCAAACATTTTGTTTGGAACAATATCATTTGCTACTCTGTCCGTTTGCATAATAAGACTACCCTGCATTTATGCCAAAATGAGATACAAAATATGTACATAGAGTTACATAGAATAAGGCAAAATTATTCACTGAAAATGCACACTGTCATTACAAGTATGTAAACATTTTATTTATAAATAAATATAAAAGGTAGGTAGGTTTTGCTTGTTAAAAATGTTTAAGTTTTAAGTTTATATTTACCTATCTTGCCTGTTCCAATATTCAAAATCAATTTTAGTAAGGTGTTTAAAAGGAATGAAAACTTGACCTTAACTTTATCAAATATGACTGTTTGTATGAAAGATATACTAAAATAACATTGATACAAATACTTTGAAAAGTCGATTAGCTCCTTATGCTTAAAAAGTGTCAATTCTGAATTGCAAATAACAGCACGTATCGTATATCAAATGTTGACCTTGTTCATGGAAAGGTTGTTTAACGTCGGTAGCACTTTTGATTATACTGTAAATTTGACATGTGTATATATTGCATAAATGGCTACGAATAGTTAATTAGATTGTATCTCTATAATGGTATGTCATTTGAAAAGAAAATGTTACAATTCAAGAAACAAAATTAACAAAGAGCAATTGGTACACAAATTTACTTTCACTTATCTATATGTCATCTTAAAATGTCTGTCAGAAGCGTCAGAAGTCCTTAATTCATGTCAATTCAAATGAAAATTTGTGACGCTTTAAATAAATAAGTTATGTACATCTGAACAATTCATTCTTAAATCATTAGGCGAATCCCAATTGATATGAATATAGAATAAAGTATGGAAGAAGAATGTATAGTTTTCAACATAAAAGTGTTAGATGTTTAAGTTTTAGAATGGAATGAAGAACAACAGGATATCTTGATTATAGTGGAATGATAATTAAAAGTTTAATGGGAAAAATACGAAATATAATACATAATATATCAACTGTTTTTGTTTTGTTTTTACCTTTTTGTATCACTTTATCTGTAGTTATACTTCATTCTGAACCATTCTTAAAATTTATTGTGATATTTAAAACAACACAATTTGATAGGTTATTTTCTATTGTTGATTCGATTTTATCAGAACATCAGACGAAGAATAACAACTCAATAGATCAAACAACACATGGTCTAATAACTTAATTCATTTGGGCTTTATAATATGTAGAATTATGCAGTGTAGAAATCGAATTATCGACTTTAAAGCGAATTAACTTTTGGAAAAATATTTGGTACTACATAAGTATAGATTGACACACTTTCTTTAACCAAATTGTCGACCTAGCTTTTAGATACAAAACTACATGCTAAACCCTCGGTAATATTATCCCTTGTTTTGACAGTTTAGGAGATAATAAATCATTCTTAATACGAAAACACGTTTGTTTTTAGTATTTGTCAACAACAGTAATCTAAAGTTTGTAGAATACACTCAAATGAATGGCTAGGCAGAATGACTTAATCAAACATTTAAATAATGATTTTTATGATGCTATTTATTAATATTAATCATTTCTTCTGCTGAATTATTAGATTAACTTGCTTTGTTTTCAGATAATCTGAATACTATTGCATGTGCTCAATGTGTTTGCACACGTTTAATAGTTTTATGTTAGTATTTGCTTGACCTTGTATCACACATAACATATAATCACATCATATACATGTATTTGTTATTTTGTAATATTGTTAGTTAACTTTTCAGACAAAAAGACATTTAGAACTAGACCCAATCCAGGTTCGTCTACATGTTTCGTTTTAATGTTTCTAACTTAACATTATGAAATAAGCTTTTATCCAGGTGATTTTTCTTATTCTTATCGTTCTATTATTTGAATATTTTTGTACTCATAATGAAAAACTAAGCTCATTGATATTATATGTAAGATAAACATTATTTTGTAAAACTTTGAAGTACATGTCAATATACATTTTATGCTACAACGTACATGAAGTTGAATATCCCTTTGCATTTTTCAGTCCAAAAAATCACATTTTACAAATGATAATGGAAAAGTACGTTCTTGAAATGACGTCTTGCAACTATTTTCGATATGATAAAAGGCATTGATCTGTATTTTAATATGACCTGACATGACTTTGCTTGTTGTCCAAAGTCAGTGCAAATTTGTAGTTTACTTAATGTATTTTTTAAAGATATTGCTTATTACAAAATGTTAAAGCCTGAATACCCAAAGTTTTGCCAGTGTATTATGTAATATAAATGTACTGCACAGTTTTCCCCCATTTTCATGGAAATAGAACAATAATATAATCATTTTTAGTTCTTTTCAGTCGTTTATAATTTTAATATTAATAAATGTATTGTATAAAAGTTGTACATAAGAAAAACTAAATGTTTATTAATATATATTTTGTGTAGTACACATATATTACAAACGTTTAAGGTAAAACATTCATCAATAGATCGTGAATATTCGGCATAAACGTAATAAATGGTCGAAATGGGTATGAAATAAATGTCTGTATGACTAGAAGCAATTAACGACTGATTTTAATATACAATTTCTGTTAGTTCAACCCTATTTTTGTCGTTTAGGTTACTTAAACTTTTTCTGATTTGGTATCTACACTGTTTTTCACGGAATGCATTTTCTTTTTTACAACAAATCAAAATCTAGAAATGTTAATTTTTCTTATTAAAGGTGGTGCCAGGGTAGCGGAATTTAACTATTTCATTCAAATCAAGCCCACACCATTTTTAATGTTAATGTCCAATTGTGTTGGATTGCCTTTTATTGCGTCTCTAGAGCTATTTTAAATATATCTAATTTATTTCACGGAATAAAGCCGCCAGGTTAGCTCAATAAATAACGCGTTGGACTGTGAATCGGGCGACCTTGGTCCGATTCCCAGAGTGTGCAGGTCACTCATTGTGATTGATCATGAAATCCTTTCTATGGTCATTCACACTGTACCTGTGCTCAGTACAGATGTTGTCAGTTCTTTGCGAAAGTGAAGGCAACTAGTACTGGTAAACGGCTTGACAGCCTGCCCAGGAACGATGCGGTGACTGATTTGTGCTCTGGTTAATTCATTGTAGATTACTGCTGTGATCCGGAGAGTAAACCACCACGACAACTCAATGTTATATTAGATATGGTGTTTCACAAAGCTAATAAATATACACGATCTATATGGTCAATGAATTACCTTAATGTCGCAGTTCATTGTAATAAAAAATAACTTGATATGTTTCCATAATATCTGTGTTACCATATATTTTCATCCTATTTAATAATACAGTAGATCTATGTGCCTGTGTATATGTTTGTATAGGTGTAGTTTATAGCATAGATCTATGATCATTGTTTATTTCAGATTACATCATCATTTTATCATTGTCATTGTAATGATTTCAAATCTTAACCTTTTCTAAAGCATTTCATATACTCGTATATTAGCATTCAGTAAATCAATTTAGTATACATTAAACATGCAGAAAAACATATTTGGTATCAATTATGCCCGCGTAAATTGAATAGTAATATTATTGTCGTGCGATTTACTAATGTCATGATGACACTTTGATAGACAGTGACGTCATTTCAGCGCAAGTTTTATTTAATTTGAAGTTGTTCATTATTTACTCCCATTGTGTGTGCTTTTTTAATAACTATCGTAAAAGAATAGAATAGTAAATACCCAAAGTAATTTTTGCAATTATATTGGCTGTGTCATTATGAATAAGAAAATTGACTTGTCGTGTTTTTTTTCTCATTTCAATTCCGTTTATGCTTTTTACTTTTTTACAGTTATTTTCATGCGTAGTTGCCATTTTCATTTATATTCTAGCGGTTACCGCGTAATCGAATAATAATTTTGTTAACAAATATATCTGCGTCTCAAATATTTACTGTAAGGTAAACATTTAATTCATAACATCTAAACTGTAGTTTGAAACCTCGAAAGAAATGTCTCTATAACATTTTACTGTTTGCTTCTCAGATTTAAGTACATTTTCCTCCAATATTGCTTTGTCATGGGAACAAACTTTTACCATGAGATAAAAGTTTGACTTGTTGAACGCAGGCAAATTTTATGGCAGCCAAAAGAATACCCATTGTCAATTAATTGTATGATGATGGTATCTTAATTGGAAATAAAATTGTTCAAAAGTTTAATTGCCAGAGACCAGATATTAACTGTGCGTTATAACGTCCATTAAATCCATAGTGTTACTTAACGTCGCAATTATCGGACAATAAATTCAGTCTCACATGATGTAAATATCCGTTGCGCATGCTCAATTAGGGATTTTATTATAAACATAGTTATAACATGCTTTCTTCACGCACGCGCGTGCTGCCGACCTTATTTAAGATTGGTCGTTGATAAAACGGTGATTTATGTGATTTTGATTATGACTGAGCCAATTAAGACCAATTTAGAAAGATTGTTTTCAGAGTTGGGTCCTGATGGTCTTTGCGTGATGTTCTATATCCAAAATGTCCCTGATCTTTAATGAGTAGAGAAAGTAAACAAGTACTTTTCATTTTGGTTAAAAACAATACTGATTTGCTCTACCATTATATTTATATATAAATGCTTATCTCCAAATTTCATTAGAACTATATGCCTTCAAACTTTATACAAATGACCAAATATAGAGCTTATAGGGATGTGCTTGAACAAATGATTTTAGAACAAATAAAGTAATAGGGCACTTTATGGATAAACTATAACGCAGTATCACACTGACATCCATGCATTGAACTAAATGGAATTAAATAGCCTCGAATGAAATAAAATCAATTGCTGGGCTGATAAAAAAACAACCCTAAATTAAGATGTGGAAAGGTTTTTTTGTACTCTTTACCTTTCCTTCAGATTGTGCTTTAGCTGTTATAGGAACACGTCAATGTCCTCATTAGCCCTATTCCTGATCACATTTAAAGCAAACATCACACATAGATTAGCGTGTTTGTTTACTGTAAATCACGGTTTCATAACCCGATGAAAGTCTCTATATTTATGTTAATATCGTAAACATTTCCTTAAATTACTCCAAGGCAAACCCATTATTCAATATTAAGACTAGATATCGGTTAATTTGAAAGAAATGCTTAATTAAGATGCCTTAATTCGTCACGCGACAACGTAACGCGACGACGTCACGCGAAACTAATAAGAAATCCGTTGTTCCGTTTCCGTCGTTAATGCTAATCGTCGCGTGATTAATAAGTTTTATAACGTTTAATTTCACAAACTATTCTATACATCAAAAGTTGCTAAACGTAAATCCAAATTAGAAGGATATTGGAATCGTGTAGCTAATTTTAGTTTTCTGATATACACTCTAGTTGCACGGGACTATTCTTCGATTTTTGTTGACAAAATATTGTCTCTAAACACAGTAATTGGTTGCGGAAAAATCATTTTGAGCTTTTTGTGATTTCAAAAGCGTGATTGGTTACCCTTAGTACAATGTAGAAAATTACCTAACATTTTAAGAATCTTATGCTGTAACCGTAGTCTTTATGATTAATTCAAATGTTTTACAGATTTTCTTTTTAACTGTAAACGTAGGTTATATTTAACTCTATATATCATAGATCATGCATATTTCATCTTTCAAATAGTAATATACATGTAATACTTAATATGTAAAATAATCTAATGCGTTTTTTAGAATTATCTGTAGTTAAATTTAAGTGAAATACGTATGTAGCAGTTTACAAACAGGTATTTTCTCTATATAAAGCTGTTGAGCTGACCCCTCCTTTCAAATACAAGGAAAAGCCGTATGAAGGTATCTTACCGGACATTAACGAGGCAGCAGCAGACTTCGGAGAAGTCCCGGACAAAGTCGACAAGTTCCCAAGAGTTGGACAAATTCCAAAATTACCGCCTTTACCAAGCATTGTAGAACAAGAAGGTGGAACTTGTGATTGATTGGTTATTCGTGCTTTGTATCACGTGACTTTTGATTGAAGTGTCTAACGACACGTGATTAATACGGCTGCTAAAATATCTAACTACATTATTCGTTTGTTGCTATATATGTTCTTTATTCAGACAGTAATCAATTAAACTGTGTTCACAATACCACGTGATTAATGTTAAGCCGGTCGCTGCAATATACTTGTCAATGTAAGTTGTGTTATGTCTTTAAGACGACGTATATCAACATTGATCAAATTTCAGAAGAATCTTGGTCTTTTTCTTATTATTTCATAATTACAAAACCCATGATATATGATAGGAATTTCTAGACATTTGCTTAGACAAGTCCCCAACAATCAATCTACTATAGATATTGATATTGTATGTTCAAATGTTTTTAATAATTATGTGCTCAAAGTATCAACAGTAGTGATTGGTGATAACCTGGCTTTGTCAGTTATATTCTTTGTACATGTATATATAGTGTGATAAATATTTATATGAAGATGTAGATTGCAAATCGAATGCTTCTTTTCAAGTATTGTTATTGTTTGTACTATTTTGTACTGCTAACCGAAATTTAATCAGTCTACCTATACATTGACATATGTTTGTTTCCATTTTAATACTTCAAATTTGATATGCCATTGTTTTTATAAACAGAACAATATCTATATGTTGATTTTTCATTATCAGACTTCATCAATTGTAGTACAGATTAACCATTTCTGGACCATTTCTGAACTTAGGTCATTTCATGATTTAAATGGAAACAAACGTAGTCGCTAAAAGTGTTTGGTACTTTGGCCCATTGTCGTTACTACAGTTTTCAGTAAGTCCACTTCTCAAATGTCACGTTTGCTTGTTTAGTTTGTTTTGACTTGGTTACGGTTCACAGTGATCACGCTCTATATATCTCACGTTATACTAACATTTTCTTTAAACAAAAACGAAAACGATTAAAGATTAGTTTAGACACCTTTAGATAAGTACGATTCTTAAGCTTATTTAGTTTAGATGATTTCTTTGCATGCTTAATTAGCTTTTCATTTTTTTCTGTTTTAGATTTATTAAATTCCGATTAATACAATAACAACAATAAGACGATCGTGTTCTGTTTTTATACACTTATATATGGTATAGTCAATTGTTAATTTGTTGCAGAGTTTTTGAAGGGGCCTGGAAAACCGTTCATAAAAAGTAAAGAGTATAATTACCAGCCACGAACTACACAAGAGGTATATTTCAACTCATTTACATTTATTTCCTCTGTTTGTATATGTAAATATTAACTAAATATCATTGACCAAAAGGCAATTAAAAGTGTCAGTTACAGTTAACCTAAATATTGAAATAGCATTACTCAATATGTATTGATAAGTATCCAAGGACCTAAATAAGTAAACGCTATTGTACACGTACAATGTGCGCAGACAAGTATTCATGACTTGAAAATGCAAATATCTTTGAACAAAGAGGACAACAATGTATCCTTGGTCATAGCTATGGCCTTTACGATTACATGAAATAAAGTATTTAGTATCATACACTCTAAATGTAAGTGTATACAATGTTCAAACGGGTTTTTGATTTAGTAACTGTAATATATAAGAAATGGAACCAAGAAGGAATTTGTTCTAATGAACTACACCTATAATACAAATGGGCAATTACTTCTAACAAAATTTATAAAGTAACACATAAACGGTGAACCCACATGCCCAAAATTGTTCTATTTTTTTAAGCTGGATTTAACGTTTAATATTCGGAAGTCTCTCTATCCCTTAAAAAGAAAACATTGTCCAGCTAACTAAAAATCTGTATGATATACGAGAACTGCTGTTTAACAGTTTTAGCATATCGATTGCTAATTGCACATCACTGCTTATGAAGTTATGCAAATTGAATAAAATAACAAAGGAGCGGGTGTTTATATCAATAATCTTTAGCAAAGATAATAAAGTTGTTTTTTGTTGTTGTTTTTTTGTGCAGTTAATCGACCTGATACGAGATAAGTTTGGTACCGGATATTATGGAATTCGACACCTGTTTAGAGCCAATGATCCTACAGGGAAAGGAGCCGTATCTAGGTAAATAATGAAAACACGACAATGCTTTCCCATTTCCAGCGTTAGGCTTTTGTTGTTCTTGTCATGGCAAGTACAATAAATGTAAATTTAAAAAGCAATGAGTGAGACTAATGCACGCACAAGATCTTACTGTTTAAAGTAAAATAAAAAACAACTATATGTATAGATTTAGATGTCTCTATGCAGAGTGATAAATGAATAAATGCAACTAAGCGAAAACTGAAGACTCAACTGACGTCCCATAAATCTACTCGTATTATGTAGCTTAGTAATATTTTCTTTATGCTTTCCCATATAAAGAGTGGCTGCGTTTTTTTTTTCCTAGGCTCTAATTTTAGAATTGTTTTAAAATGATATGACGTAATATATTCACGATATTTATTTGTTATATTGCTCCATTTTCAGAGAGGCTTTACAGAAAATATTGTATACGTTGTGTGGTTACATAACACCTGACCAGTATACAAAACTCCTCAGAACGTACGTATTGTATAATATATGAGCCGCGTCACGACAAAACCAACGTTATACGTTTGCGACCAGCATGGATCCACACCAGCCTGCGCATCCGCGCAGTCTGATCAGGATCCATGCTGTTCGCTATCAGTTTCTCTACTTGTAATAGGGTTTGTAATAACATTAGTTTTGTCGTGACGTGGCTCATATTTTGGAACATTTAATTTAAAGAAAAAAGTAGATTATGTATTGAACCTTATATAACAAGTAACAAATATCAAGTACACAATGAAAGATTATTTATATTCTTGCATGTCAGTTTCCTGTTATATATGCTTATATCTATTTAACACATAACACTACAATTGAGTCATGGAATCTTTATAAGAAAATGCATCTTATATAAAGTTGGCTTATATTTCATCAAACTATACTTCATTCAATATAACAGGAAATATTTATGAAGATATCCATAAACAAAGCATTTGTTTTTAGATATACATGTATTACTACCAGCAGGCAGTGCCTCTTGTCAGTTTGTAAAATAAAAGTAAGATAGTGTGTTAGTTCGAATTGTCGAGCACAGCCGTTCTTATTCTGAAAATTAAATTACAATAAGGTATAACTACTTTTATTTAAAAGATGTTTTACTTTAAGTTGCTATTTACATTTTAAATTATGAAAATAGATATTATTAGCATTGTACTTAAAAATGAATACATTTAGTACAGAAGCAAGAACATTCTAGTTCACTTAGATATCCGTGATCATAAACTTGCGCCTATCCCATGTGATGCCTTAAAATGTGATATAGCTAGATATGAGACTGTTTAACATCATAATTATAGTCATATAAGAATATACAATAAATCATGCAGGCATATTTCTTCTTTTTATGTCACAAAAAGCATAATAAAACTATAAAAGTTGCAATGGTCCTGTAGACAAAGCATCATATGTCTGTTTTTAATACCTGCCGTAGGAATTGCAATGTCATTTGAATTACATTGAAATTTTCTTGTGCCGTTAATTTATTCACTTGTACAATCTTGAGCATTTTGTAGCTTCTGATATTATAATATCATATTTTGTAATCTTTTATAAGTGATATGAATTGCAAAATAGAATTTTATTGTCGTCTATGAAGTATGAAAAGGGATACTAAAAATTGTAATTAAATTACATAACAGCTGTTTTCATGTCTATATTCAGAAAAAGTGAAATAAATTGTTGTTTAATTAAAATGTTATATCATTTGATAAAATTTTAATGTTTCCGGATTTTCATGAAAAAGATTATGTTAGTGTGTACTTAAATTTGTATTGATTTCTTCTTGGTGTGAACTCGGTCACTTCTCGTCTACAAAATGAAATTTTGAAGTATTCTTTATGTATGTTACACCAGCTTTTTATAAGGGTTAACTGCGTAGTAATTGTTCGAAAGTACTTATTAGGATTTATTCTACAATTTTTGCGGACATAGTACGATGAAGTGCCGTCATTTGCTTTGATCTAAAAAAGTAAAATTTACGTCAAACACGTGCTTGAAAAAGATTTTAAAATATCTAGAAAGAGTAAAAAAATGTAGGTCGATCGATGAAAGTTACTTTTGTTACATTTATTGAAGGAATGGTCTTAAGCCTTTGCTTTCGCCACAACAATGATTTAAATTTATTATAAAGTGATAATGTTTCGTTGTAAACGTCTTTGGTCCTTTTTGATAACCACTGTTACATATCAAACGAATAAAAAAAAACAAAAACAAAAAACACGTTACGTAACATTCACGTTGTTTCCTATTATTGTTTTTTTTATATATTTTATATAGGAAATACTTGTATTTAATAATCCGTGAATGTTTATATATATTTATTTCATGCTTTCCAGTGTTTTATTGTAATATATCAGATGATTATATTCTGATAAACCACTAGTGAAATTTATAAAATATAATTTTTACTGTAGCCGGACTATATCTGAATGCGGATGAACAGAAAATCATAAATAAATGGAATAACAGGCAACAATAAATGCCGTCATACGTAAATTTTGCTTCTTTAGAAAAAGAAAGTCAATGGCATCATACATCATGTTAGAAATTTAACAAAATTAGAGAAATTTAACGGAACTAGATTTCAAAACTGATGATGTGACGTCATGATATAATAACGTCACAAAGGAGAATGCGCGACGTTACGCGGCAAAATCAGTAAAAAATTACTTAAAATCACTTAAAAAGCATAAAATAAAAAGAAAATTTATTTGTTTTACATATAAGATTGAAATATATTTCATTTGTGAACACCAGCTATTATATTTTCACTCGTGGCTACGCCACTCGTGAAAATATTGCATCTGGTGTTCACTCAGTGAAATTATATTTCAATCTTACATGCAAAACAAACAAATATCCTCTATATATATCGAAATCTTTATTACCTTTATTAATTTTTTAATGAAATTTAATATAACATAACGTAACAATGTATGTTTCCCGCCATCTCGGACGTTGACGTCATGTGACGTCTCTTCCTGTTTATTCACTTCCTGTTTATTCACTGACGAAGAACATATTTGTTCGAAATCGATTTGAATATTAAAAAAATAACTGAATGTACGCGTGTGGTTGTTCTTTTTGGATTCATATATATCAAACGAATGAAACATTTAATCACGTACCCTGGAAGGATGATGTAAGTGAAAACACGGCGAATACATGATTTCTTTGTACCACAATAAGTCGTACTTATCTTATCTTCTATCTATTTTTCAATGATTACAAAATTACAATGTTTTAAATATTTTGATTTCAGAATGCACCTGGAGGGTAAAAGCCTGATACCATTTGAAACATTTGTCCAATACTTTAAAGACACAGAGGTTTGTATACATGATCTAATATGCTATCAGTAATGATCAGAATTAACTAGTAATGATGTAACGCTACATAATAAAATCAAATACAAATGAATGAACATTGCCTAGAACACACATATATACAAGCATTGGTACGCAGTGTTTATCGCGTTTTTCATCAATCGTAGTATCGTACTGTCGCGATTTCATTATCGTACTATTCGTGTTTTCACTATCGTGCTTTCGCGTTTTCACACCATCGTAGTTTCGTGATTTCGCGTTTTCACCATCGTACTATCGACCATCGCGTTTTAGATCAACACATTCATAGGCGATGGCCCTAACGGCATTCCGTAGATTTTAGGGGATACTTATTTTTATCACTCTAATGTAATAAGAAATATAATATCATTTCTGATTCAAATAAGATAATTAGCTACCTCTTAAAGAGAAAGCGTTCTAATCTTTCTTCTTGTTTTTTCCCTAAAGGACAAGAAGAACTGGGTGAGTGCCCTACAGGCAGCTAGTATGCACTCATCAGAGACTAATGTACCCGAGGGTTACCTGAGGCGGACAGATATGAGAGTCCATGATCCTTATACCTCCATGCCATTTTCTGATGCTATATTTAAGGAAAAGTGTAAATCGAGGTAAAGACAAATTATTACTTCTTGATCTACTGATATTGTTAAGTTACTTTTATAATGTTGAGTTGCTTTTGTCTCAATTACTCCTTAAAGTGCTTGAACCGAAAGCATTTTAAGCCTTTGCCGCCAGTACAGTGCCAGGCCAGCCTACAGTCTACCAGGTTCTATACTGTTGGCTGACTTAACTTTAAATATTCAAATTGATATACCCAAAATTGATAATGGACAGTCCCAAAATGGAAGTGGGACAAGTCCATTTAAAATATTCAGCATGTTCATGGTTAATATTCACTATTTTGTCCTCTTGCTGCACTGCATTGATATATATTTTTCCTCGGTACAATGAATCGTGAGCTTTGAAATTTAGTAGTCTTTGGCTAAAATTGACTAAACCTACACCGAGATGTGAATTACCCATACAGTACAGTAAAAGTTTGACTATTCAGAATCATTTGTTATCAAAAACTACAGCTATGAACAAACTACGAAATAAACAAATTATAAGATATAAATTGTAACATCAATTATAAAATAATTGTTAACATCATTTTCAACAAATAAAATCAATAAAATCATTGCAATAGACACGTCTATCAACATTTTGTCATATGTAATTTTTCAATTTCTATCAGATGCGGTGAGAAACTAGTAATAAGATATTTACAAATGAACCTAGACATTCAAGCATTTAACATCCCATGCAAATTATTTAATGGTATTTAGGCAATTTAATCGAAATTTAGACACGAGTATAAATCTCCTATTGACAAATATTTTAAATTTTGCAAGCTTTGTAATCTTCGACGGCTTAATCCTAGATTATTGAAATATAAAACTCGTGAAATCGTGCCGGATCATTATTAGATTTAAAGCGGTAACGTTTAAATGCGTTTATATTGATTTAAATTGCTTGTGTTTTATTAAAATACAACAGAAGACTGTCAAACAATATTACCAAAATAACCCCGATTGTATATTAGCTTTCAGAAGGGGTAAAGTATATTGCCGTTTTACACTGATTATATTTTTTTGCCATCCTCAGTTCTAGCTTATAACTATTTGAACACATTTCTTCTAATAAAAGATATTAAAACACGAACCACATCATTATTTTATCTTTACTTCAAGTTTATTTGCCTTTTCATTTCATTTTCAGTCATGTTTTGTTCCCTTTAGTGAATCGCTTGTTAGGAAATATGCCTGTTTTTACATGCCCTTCTGACACGGACCAAGTCATGATTTGCTTAACCATGAAATTATATATGAACAAACATTGTATGCGGATAGTTTAAATACTGCCCTGAAACCTATTTGTTATTTATTGGGATCTTCATTGTAGATACTTTGATTACTTTTACTGTGCTGAAGACAATATTTTTACAATTTCATGTTAAATAAGGTAAATTGGATTCCTGAAATGTAGTATCGGTAGATAAATATCATTCATCGATAAAATTATCAAATTTGAGACAGTCATTAACAAAAATATGTTGTTTTTTACTTTCTTGCAATTGTACAAATTTAAACATTGACATCATTTATTGCGCATAAAGTCCTAAGACATAATTATTTTGGCTTCTTTTAAAAGTTAAAAAAAAAACTAAACTAAAATAAAGCTAGGTCATGATCAATACATGTTTATGAGGTCTAGATACCGTATGACAAGTTAATTATTTGTGTTTTAAGGTGACACATTTTTTCTTAATTCACTTATTAATTATTTGAATAATTCTATTTTTTATTTTCATTTCTAGAAATTTTGATGCACACAAGGTGTTTCCTGACTCAGTATTTGAGACAAATGGCCTGATACTACCACCTCAGCTAAGAGAAGCTTATGCTACCTTAGGCATTTATATGACAGACGAAGATTTTAACAAACTATGGCAACGGTAAGTGAAAAAAAATAATGTATTGCTTACTTTTATTAAAGGTAAATTAATCGGACAACTTAAATTAACTATTGAATTGACAGGGCGTATTTTCAGACGATTCCCGTCATCTGTTCATAACTTCAGACATAAAGGCCGAGTATCTTTGTAGAAACATCGCTATGATTATGATATCAGATCCTGAAAGCGTCATTGCATGACACTGATAGCCCTTCTGTTTATATTTACACTAGGCCATGTATGAAAGATTATCTTTTTTAAACTCCTGACTCCTAAAAATATACAAAGTATAAAATATAAAAAATATATTTTGACGACACAATGTTAACCGTTTAGGTCAAAGTCACTTTATTTATAACTATATATAAAAAGAAATTGGAGCAATGTGAGGAATATTTTTCGAGTTTTAATTACAACTTTATTGAGACCTATGTTTGGCGCATATTTATCGCCTTTTTACAAAGTATATTTTTCTGAAATAGTTAAGATGCTTGATAGGTCATACTTTTTTTGAATAAACATATGATAATGTTATACATAAAACTGTTTCAGTAGATCATAAAAATATATCTTTACATTATATCAGATATAATAGAAATTGACCGTCTTTCCACTCCCCACAATAACATAACTTAATCATATTAACACAAGTCTAAAACGTTGTTCTGAAAGCATAAAAAACATTTGCCCAAGCCTCTCCCATACATTTGCATATAACGTTATTGTCCTAACAATGTACCTAGAAATTAAAAAAACTTACATGCAGTCATGGTTAGAAATAACGTATCCATTACCATAAGAAACTAGCAAATGCGATACATTTCAACTGAATCTACAAATGCGACCACTGTGCACAGGCTAATATCAGCCGGCACATCAAGCAGTACTTACTTTGAACTTTGCAGTAAAAATGAAGAATCTTTCTTCATCAGACGTCAATTTTAAGATATTTAGCGTGGTAAAAGCAGATACTTGTACAACTTTAGAAATGTTGTAGTAGAAGAATCAGTGCCATTAATGTATTATATGCCTGCTGTGTCTGATGCTAATAGTTTTGTATGAATTATTCAGGTATGATAAAGAAGGCACAGGAGCGCTACATACTGAACAGTTCTTCCGTTCTGTCGGCTTAGATCCTCAAGGGCGACCAAGACAAGCAGCGCCATACACGCCACGTGGTGCCGCTTATCCGAAATCGAGGCAACGGCCTCATTCTGAAATTGGTCACACGGATGGAATTGATACCTCAGCTGAACTGCAGAAAATTTTGAAAAAAGAAGGCGTTGAGGAATTACCAAAGACTGCGAGGGATAAGATTGAAGTGCCAACAGCAAATGAGGAACCTACCACTACCTCGAAAGAAGCAAAGCCTGGAGAAGACCCTGGGCGAAAGATAGAAATCAAAAAGACGCCAAAAGTGGCTCCTAAACTGGACAGTATTATTGATTGCTTACACTATAAGGTAAATATAAATCGAGTTTATTCCCAAGTCATCTCTTAATTGATATACAAATGTATACCGGTACAATAGTTTCATTAATGATGCTTTATCTGTTCTATTGTCGTTGAATTTGTCCGGCAAATAAAAGTAAAATTCTGAAAATTTAAGTATTCGGTCTAAAAATCTGCCTTTTTTGTTTCATGTTATTCAAAGATATAAGCTTTGTAATCATTTAATATTCTAAATACTCAAGAAAAACGGCTGAAAATGGGTCGATGGAAGTATATTATTTCCTGTTGTTAAGATACGACATACAATTATATATAATATGAAGTAAACATATTCCTCTATTTTCAGTTTGAAGAGTCCTATCAGGCCATGTTAACAGCATTCCAACTGTTTGACTTTCTAAATGATAGTTATGTATCAAAGATTGACTTCAGACGAGTTCTTTTAGAATTTGGATTTTTTATTTCACCATCAGAACTTGATCACTTCCTTAAAAAGTAAGCTTGTTTTTATTGTATACTTTCTTATGTTGAATTTGAAAACGACCATCATGGTCATAGAATTTCTCTTAACTGATGTTAGTTATTTGTGAACTGTTAATACAAATGCGACCCTGACTGCATCCGGTATATTCATAATCCTGTTAAATAGGTTCCAAAGGTACATTCTATGCTCTAGGTGATAACTTGCATGTATATCAAAATTCAGTAACGAAAGATAAATTTCTTACATAAGAATCATCAGACTTCACGTTTGAAATTCGAAGTTTTTGACAACCAAAAAGGTAACTAACCATTTGCTGAAAAAGTCACATATGAATGATTAAACTTATTACATTTTCAACAAATGGTAATGAGATAGTAAATGTTATGTTTTTTTTTTAGAAATGGGATGCGGGCCATTAAAGGACAACTTAATTACCGTGATTTCTTGAATAAGTTCCAAAGCAAATCATTAAACAGCATTATGGCACGAGCGGCAGTTGATACAACACATCCGTAAGTTTTCTTTTATTTCATCAAAAAAGATTTTCAGAAATTCAAGGTTTCATGCTTTCACTCTATATTTACTTATCTTTACAATCATAATTGGGATTACACGTTATACCGTGAGCTTATGTTCATTTTTTATTTTGGAATTTAGGATTGATCGACAATTTCTAAAATGTTTCACATAGTTGTTCTCATTTCAAAAATATCAAATATCAAAGATGGATATATCACCGGCCCATATTTAATCTTTTTTTTGTTCATTTATTCAAACTATTGGTTTATTAGATCTAATTCCACACATTTTTAATGTACCTTATTACGACCTCTTTTTTGTATTGTTTGTTATAAACGTCAGTACATACAGCTTTTAATTCACTTGTACATTGTATTTAAATCAAGCATCATGTTGAATGTGCAAATAACCGGATATATGTATATACTAGTGTGAATATTTTTACAACTAAGATTATAAAGAAATATATTTGTTTACAGGTTCCATGGTGAAGGTTCAAAAGATGACCCGACGATGACGGCCGATGCACTTGAGGCCCGCTTGCTCGACCATTTCCATCAAGATTTTATTAAAATACTCGCTCACTTTAGGTATGATAATGAGCAGATATTTGAGATATAATAAATTTAATGCCAAAATATAATCATGGATTAATACATTTGCAATGGTGTTAGTTATTAAGTCAATAAAATGAAATATACGGTACTAATAATATAACAGATATTTTGAAGTATAAGCTGATCGCAAAAACCTTAAAAGTGGTATATTTTGAATATTTTTAACATAACATAAGAGTTTGTACCTGATTCGATAAGTATGTTGAATATATTTCAGACAATGTGATAAATACAACATAGGAGTGGTAACAAAGCACGAGTTCCGATCTGCAATTGAGAAAAGACTGGGTTATGCCATGACAGAAACGCAATGGGAAAACTTGAAAAGCATAGTGGGTGAGGACAAAGACGGTCTGATTCCTTACACCAAGTTTCTCGAGTTCTTTGATATCACGTAAGTTTATGAGTTATCCAGACCCTTAAAACACATAATTATTTATCTACATTTCATCACGTCGCTTATTTGCAGTGCAACATTACTATTACTTATTTCTATATAATGTTACAATTATTAATACTGGTTCAATATAAGCCGTACGGTCCTATTTATATAATGACAACATTTATATTTTTATGCATCTGTGTAAGGTATTGTGGAAACTGAAACATATGTTTGAGCTGCAGACATTTAATATATCTGTTGATTTAATATGATTCTAACAAATTAATTAGTAAATGATTGATTGTGCAAATTATGACCAGGTCTAATAAAATAAAAGCAAACTATTGCAGTTATTTTACAGTCGTATTATTCATAATTGCATAATCACTTTCTAATTAACTTGTTGGAGTTGCATAAAATCAACAGAAAGGTGCACTTAAGAAGACAATTAACTGTAATAAATTTGCTTTTATTTCATTAGACCTGGATCCTGGAATATGAAACAAGAAGGCGGAATACAGGTGGCACAGATTCCCACATGTGACATGCCGGTACCAGCACAAGTAGAAATGTTAAAAGAAAGAGCCAAAACTGAAATGGTTCCTCCTCCACCACCCCCACCAGATAGTGCTGAAAATAAGATACGATCTATAGAAGAGGTAAGTCGTAAAGGTCAAGGATAATGCATGTCCTTGAACCTTCTGAATGTATGTACTTGCTCTGCTTTCAATTGATAACAGTCCTTTCAAAGATTAGGTATTTCAATATCATAATGCAAATATTTTGCAACCAACATTAAAGAGCCAGGGCAGACTGCAAGGATGTCCTCCATGCTGGCGGCCGATAATAACTTTCGGTTCTAGCGGGTAATGGGTTAAAGAGTTCGAGTAAATGTGTAGCTTTATATTCATTAAAGTTCTGCTGGTCATTTTAAAAAACAATATTGAATAAAAACGGCTTTTAATAACATTAAAATAGTCTTTCAACAACATTTAAATGATTTTGTTTTTGCTCTTGTTTTAAGTTAGTAGTTAGCAATTGTACTGTTTTTCAGAAATTTGGCAATTTTCTGCAAAGTAAAGTCAAATTATATGAATCTAAGTACCTCCTTAGTGTTTGTTAAAAAAATGTATTTGTAAAGAAAGAATGCAATTTTGATTGCAAGATGTCTTTATTAGAGAACTGTATTGCCAATATCTTAACTGACAAGTTTATGAAGCAGTGACACGATTGCTTTATACAAAAGTGAATTAGTTCTATTCTTTAAATGACCAAATAAAAGATGAAATGTTTACTATATCGAACTTATGAATAATTTTCTTATTCGTTAACTTCGTTTCATTAAAGAATATAATGCTATACAACATACTATCAAAGTGTTTTGTACTTTTTAGTGTAGATATACATTTACTAATAATACCGGAGGATTATACCATTTAAAAAAAAACCTTACATTAAAAAACAATTTTACAAATAAATAATTTATTAATTTGTCATATATTATCTGCTGATACGAATCCTTGTGACTGGTTTTATTATTAGGATCGTATAAAGCCTTAATGCATAAATAATGTATATATCTTAGGATAACAGACGAAAAGCAAAAGTGGTAAGTTTGTTCAAGTGGTGATTTTCCTCCAACCTATACCGATTCATTAATCTATCCGTATTGTTGAGATAAAACCATTTGATCCTCGTGTGTAAACACTTTGTATTGTGTTCCCCCCCACATTGAAATGGAATTGAATGAAATGTATTTTACATTTTACCTGAAGCATTCAGTGGCCTAATTCATTCAGATATTCACTGCAAGCCTGTTTTTATATGGATTTGATATTATTTACTTTGTATTTCAGAATTGATCAAAATGCATTTTAGAAAGTGCTGTTGCTTCTGTTTATTAATGTAAATATAATAAATGAGCCGCGTCACGACAAAACCAACATAATTGGTTTGCGACCAGCATGGATCCAGACAGGCCTGCGCATCCGCGCAGTCTGATCAGGATCCATGCTGTTCGCTGTCAGTTTCTTTACTTGTAATAGGGTCTGTAAGCGAACAGCATGGATCCTGATCAGACTGCGCGGATGCGCAGGCTGGTCTGGATCCATGCTGGTCGCAAACCAATTATGTTGGTTTTGTCATGACGCGGCTCATATATATTAAATTATTTTGAACATCAAAGAGTAAACCCATGTTCGGCATGAAAACCTGAACAAAAGATATCTTTCGCAGTTTTTTCGACTTAATTTTAATATTTGGTTAAACATACACAATATTTTAGATCATATTGGTATGTAGTCAATAACTATAGAAAATTTTGATATTGGTAGTGAACTTTATCACAAATACAGTCATTTATAGTAAATTTTTTGACTTAGGTTTTTTCGACTTTTCGGCACTTAAAGAAGAAAATGGGACATCAGATTCAACAATTTAGAGTAGATACAATATCTAGAAATACTTTTTCACTAAATACATATGACATGTATTACAGGAAATAATTTTCTTACGATTTCAACTTTAGAGTTAAAAATTATTGAATAGATAAATTGATGTTCCCTATAGGTTAACGTGCCTCATTTTCTATCCAATACGAAAACAAGAAAATGGGGTAGCAATCCTTATCATCTAGATAAGATTGGACATTTGTGAGAACTTTTTCATTAAATAGTTATACCAGACATTACAGAATCTCCTTTTCACCTAAGAAATAGGTCTTTATAGTCAAAATAAATGCGTTTATAAAAAGGTGTACACGCAGTTAAATTTTTCTGAGTTTCATATATGACTGCGCACACCTGTTGGTTAGTAACCAATCAAAACAAAGTATTCAATAAATTGTATAAATGGGACAAAATGATTGGTCACAGTATATTAAAATGATTTTTACGAGTTTAGTTAATGATATTTAGAACTTTTTTCGTTTCTCTAAAATAATAAATGACCTCTCATGTCGTTGTTGGTGCGCTGGTCCGGTTCTGATTTCGGCTTGCCATATAATTAAACAAAAGATCCAGGTCGTTTATCCGGGGGTGGCAGGAGGAATGTAACTTATTTATGTAATTAATTAACCAAAATTGGTACAGGTTGTATTGGATGCACGTATTTGTTTCCAAACTTAACTAAATATTTATATAAGTTGTATTTCGAATTCTCATTTCGTGGACGAACGCGGGCGGTGTTGCAAATCTATACTTAACTTTTTTAGTTTTAAATGTTGTCTAGGCATGTAGACTTATACTTTTAATTGTAAATATGTATATTACATAGTCTTAATATTTATATATTTTTACTTGTGGCCCTAGGAAGTGGCCGTGAAACGGAAGTTCATTGTGATATTATAAATTTAAATCAAATTATCTTAATTGGGTCTACATGCCAGATATTGTTTTAAAATGTAAATCAATTGGTCGAACAAAATTGGGAAGGAAGGCTACTGTTACCCTTAATGTCAAAAAGACTCCATATTGTAAATATCCTTACTCCCCCGCCCTGTGTTTATTTTTACTTCTTCTTTTTGTCCTGTATATAAAGCATAAAAGTGTATGTGTCCCCCCATATGGAGCATAAGCTATACGCATACACTCAAGAATGAAGTGGCCTTATATTTGTTAAAAAAGGTCACTTCATCACATTATGGGTAACAAAGATATTTCTTATAGCCGTATTTTGGGAAATTTCTAATCTAGATTAGACCATTGATTTAAAATAATTGTTATTTTACAAGTTTTTTGTTGTTTTATCTTTATTTGTTAATAGTTGTACAGATACTATACAATGGAGTGTTAAGGGCACCTGCTAAATCTCTATCCCGTTCGCGCGACAAACTTGTCGATATAGGTCAATCCAAAAATTAAGAAAATTTGCAAAATATCACAAAATCGGATTGACCTCCTTATTTTGTAAATAGAGAATTTTCGGCCAATGAGAACAAAGGAGGCAATCACTTTTAGACCAATAAGAACATCTTTAACTAAGCAGGTGTTCGGGTGAAATATACTAAAAATTTAATAAAATCTATCATTTCCATACTAAAACAAACTTGTTTTTAAAATTTTGACACTCCTTTGTGTATGTATCTGATCAAATTAGACTTTTAATGACTAGCCACATTGAATTGGGGAAATGCGTTCCCGACATTGCTTTAAAAAGACTTTCTTTCTCTCATTTTAATCATAGTATATTATAATAGTTGACCTGTTATAAGAGACGGTGCTTTTTATAAACGTCTCGGCCCTTTTAACCTTAAGTAATTTGAATATGCTGTTCATTTCTTAAATACACGTCATTTTAACTTAGTATGGGAGCAATCCCATCTTATTCCTATCATGGGTTACGTACTTTTATACGAACTTGTGGTAGGAATTATGGCACACACGTAAACACATGTACCGATAAAACTATAGATTAATTAAATTAGTTCCCATATAAATAAAGCAAGTTTTAAATGAAGTATGTGCTCGCCCATATGGTTCATTCCGGTGGCGAGGGTAAACAAACCAAACACACACACACATCAAAGAGTAAGTATGCAAATACTGCTAAATGAAATGTGCCGAAGGTATTTCGATTGAATATGTATTAATAAGACCCCCAAATTATATACAATATGACAAGATCCTCATTCCTTCCAATCTATGTGATGATTGTATCAATATACAAACATATGATATGAATTGTTTTTGCTTTTGGTGTATTTCAGATTAAAAAGAGACTTGATGAACTATTTAAAACCAGGTTCCATACATTTGATAAGGTATGTGTAATATTGCGCCATAAAAAGTAAACCCGCGTCGTACTTTAGTCAAGTCATTCTGTCCGCCCGTCGAAACTTGTTAAGTCATTAAAGCTTTGAAAACTGATGAAATGGCGTACCGAAAACAGTCGTTTAATTGTAAGAAAAAAAATGAAAATTAATGAAGATTTTCCCATAGAATCATATCATCCTAACCTGCACAACAATTTTTTTTCAGCACTTCAAAGCAATGGATAGACGAATGACTGGCCGGATGAGCAAGTGGCAATTTGGCGCTCTTTTGAAAATGTAAGATTTAATGGTTGTTTATTAATAAGACGTCCTTTTTCACTCATTTTATTTCATTATCTTCAAATATTTGGTTTTCTTTATGACAACATAGTGTAAGATTTATGAAATAATTGTAAAATTAGGAATGCCTTATATAAAAAGTAATAAATACTGTCATAAAAGGATGAAATTAAATTAAGTTAAATTACCATTTTCGCTTCAATTTGATAGTTATTTGATGACAATACTGAGCAGAAAACATAAAAGAGCGGTTAAAAATATTGAGCAATAAATGTTTTATATCGGAACCATGTAAATAGATATATAGTTAAAGTTTTATTGGTAATGAATACGGAAAATTGAATTCATAGGTCGACTTGACCGATTTATACCACCTGTTGATATAAACATAGACTTGATAAATTAGTAAAGGAGTAACATCTCTGATATAAAATGTAAAATTTATTTGAAAGCAGTATCTTCTTTAAAAAATTAAATATTTAAACGGCATTTAAACATCAAAAGGACGTGCAGCGTATAATTGCGATGTAGCCAACGAACTCTTTTGTAGGTACACTTCAAAGTTGGGTCAAGATAAACAAATTCATACAAAAACTTTTCTGAAAATGAAAAGAAAGCTTTTCATCAAAAAATGTTTAGATATCCCTTGCACTTGCCTTCATGTTTCCTTTTTAGTATGTGTCAATGAATACAATATATTTGATGCTTATTCATAATGTATAATGTATAAATCTTTGAATATGAAAAATTCATTTCACTTATCGTATTAGTTTGCGTTCACCAACATAACGTGCGCTTCATATTAAAAAATTCTATAGGGCTTAAGATATTTTGTTTGAACTAAAATATACCAAGTAATTGAAGTTTGAATAATTGAACTAAAATGTCCTCTCGATTAGTCTGAAAATCTAACTGATAACTAAGGAAATTATTGATAAATACAAGTATTTCCCATACCATTATGTTTAATTTTAGGTGTGGTTTAGCGTTACATCCTTTGGAACTTGACAGAGTCTGGGCAACACTGAATGTATCTACAGATGGCATGTACAGTTATAGCACACTTATACAGCATTTTATCAACTACAAAGTTCCATATGAGCAAAAGGAAACAGTTATATATGGTAATATATTCCATATAGTTTGTATATTGTTTGATTAAAATCACATCAACCGTATTATTTTCGTTGAATATAGCATTCCTATCGGACATTTTTGTTGAAACGCTGAAGAATATTAATCGCTTTTGACAATAAATCCCCTTTCAGAATTCGAACCAACGGCTGTTATAGGCAGTTGATCTGGAAAGCAAAGCGTTCCTATTTTCTGCCTACTGCGCCTGAATACTATGCATGGAACAAGACTTTTTATATTTAATATTTAAGTGAAATAGTCTTATTTCAGAAAATATGTTTAATTTGGACGAGGCTGAGGAGATTTGGTGTGATTCTAAAGGTAACCTTGGCAGCGTGATTGTTTTTCTTGTCACGTGGTTTTGTTGATATGAGTGTGTCTGAGGTTACAGTGCGAGCTTCTTTTATGTTGTTACTGCTTGGTGAAGGACACTTGTGACTTTATGTACAATGATTTCTCTTTTTGTGAATTGTGCAGCTTTGTGTAATTTTCGTTGATTCCGAGTACGCATCTGTTATTCACGACACATGGCATATATAGTATATTTTAACAATACTACAAGCCAACTTAAAATGATATATATGTAAGTCTTAAAATTGAAACCTGCACCAATATTATAATAACCTGCAAAATGTGTTTTCGTTTCAACACAAATAACGCAAAATTAACTTAAGAGAAAACAAAGATTACCGAATACATTTCGTTACATTACTCAAAATCTTAAAATGGTTTCACCATATATTTTCATGCAAGCCATCTTGATGTTGATATTCTTATCGTAGAACAGTCGCTTTGTCGTTTTTAAAAGGTACAATGGCGCAATAAGTTAAAAATTGTATACTGTATGTAGCATATATTTGTCTAGCAACTAATATATTTTTAAGTGTTTCCATATATTAGTTGTTTATAATACATCCTTTATATAAAATTACCAAATTTCAACAAAGAAAAAAAAACAATAAAATGTTTATTTTTAACTTTATTCACAAAACATCTGTCACTTTTATGCTAAGTTTATAAGTTTCGTCCCAAATCTTTTTCAAATCTCTCCTTCAAATATTTCCGGCCTATTCATGCTACGCATTTATGATTCTTTTTTCCCACAACGTAATAACAAAGGCATATTTGGGGTCAAGGAACTTTAGATACCAGAATTTAGAAAACTAGCCATAAAGATTTTGAGTACGATTAGTTTTAAGAGCGAAACATATTATATTTCTATTGTAAGATTATGACATGAGGTATCATTAAATGTCAAAAGATATATCATAATAAACGATAGGGTATCACCATGTTTATGTGGCCGGAAAAGGAATGCAAATCCTTTTCATCTCAATAGCCGGTTATAAGTTCAAAAAGTCCGGTCTTGGATGAACAAATATTTCATCATAAATCTTCTAATAACTGATTTAAGTTGTTCTTATATTATTTCCTTTCTTCAAATTTTGTACTTGAAAGAAAAGGATAACGATAATATAAACGATTATTCTATTGAAATATATTTGAGATTTTTTAATTGAAAAGGTCCTCTCTTCAAACTACCCTGCCCCCCTGTGGCTCTATCATGATAACTGTAGAGAAACAGTAATTAAACATTCATTCTATATTGAGAATTAGATTAATTTTGGCGCACGTCTTATATTTTATAAACAGGAAAGCAGGAGACAGAACATTTGATTTCAGATTGCATGTATAACATGCATTGCACGTAACAGTTACACCAAAAACGTCATGTCATCTCCGCAGTTTAGAGTACGCATTTATAACTGCGCAGTTGTGTCCTGTGAAAATAATCTGAATAGTAAAATTTTCTTATAGTCTTTTAATATCTCATAAAAAGCTTATCTGATACAAGAATTTTAATTGTGTCGGCAAGAAAATAACAAAAATTTAATAATTTCTTATCTAAATAGCATTTTCATCTTTAGTATCATAATATAATAATGTGTTTGGTGAGTAAAATGTGATGTTTATGTGTATTTAAAGCCTAATTCTGAAAGAAAACGATGAATAAAACGCGATATTTAGATAAACACCTTTTATTTTGGACATTTCTCATGGTTGTCTGGCGATAAAATTTATTGCCTTTTATACTTTTTTTACTTTGTTAGGAAAGACATCTAGACCTGTAGTATCTCAGTTTTATCAGTGGTTTGTTTCAAATGAGGTGAACTTTATGAAATAAAATCATTATTTTGTATTACAGAAGAAAATAATTTGATGCCTTCGGCATCATTCAACTGTTGTCTCTTGCAAATCTACGGACATTTTTAACCAGTATATATGAGCTATAAGTAGCATAACAAAACTATCAAATTGTGTTTATGAAATTGCAGCAATATTTAGAGTGATGACGTAATGGCAGTCTAGAACTAAAAAAAAAAGTCATGATGTGTTTCCTTTACAGAACATTGGCAACGCTCATGTAAAAATTTAGCAGGGGTGTATCTATAGAGATCACTTATTGAATTCGTCTTTATGTATTTAAAGAACGATAAAAAGACGAAAAACACTTGCATGACATTACATGTAAAATTAAAGCATAAATGATATAAAACAAACATATACGGTGTGCCTGCATGCTTTTTATCTTATTCTTCAAATGACGTAAAGGTACATAAACATTTTATCATTGAATCTTTAAAGTAGAAAAACTATTTGGTTGCAGAAGACACGAAGGAACTTGTAGAAACTGCCCGCCGTATTCAGAGAGAAAGACGTGAAGAACAGATGAAGCGCGATTACATAGCAAGACAAAAAGCCAGAGAAAACAATGAAGAATGGACGCCGGAAATGCAGACTCCGCGTATTGGTACAGCGTCTACAACAATTTCACGCGCTTCCGTTCCAAGCATACCGGCGTCACGTGCATCATTTGCAAGTGTACAAAGTACCCGGACTAAGTCTCTTCTAGTCAAAATACGTACAGATGTAAGATTTATAAGTACACATTTTACATAAAGACATATGCAGTAGCTTTTTTAAGAATCACGGTCTATTTTGTTATTCAACAATTACTGTTGACAGCTTACATTTTCTAGCGCAAATATTGTCTTTCAATTTACAAATAAAACATGGTCTTGAGGGCAATATGCAAGTTAACGGACTGATTGGTCAGACTGAGGAAGGTATATGGCCCGAAGCGCAGCTGAGGGACATATACCTTCCGAGGTCTGACCAACCAGTCCGTAAACTTGCATTTTGCCCGAAAGGCCATGTTTTATTTGTTATATTATACCGAATCTAAATCCGTTCATCCCTTTTGTTGCTGTCATTTTTACTATATTTTGCTTTCAAATAATAATTTATTTGCTCAGTGTGTGAAATATCTCAAACCCTAGTCGGATTTTTCATTATTATTTTCAAGCGATATATACAGCAAAAAAAAATCATGCTCTCTTTTTGTCATTCAATTTTTGTTAATCAAATTAAACAGTAAAAAACCCGAACTTTAAGATTTTCACAAACTGTATAAATAAAATTAATAATCAATTTAAAGACAAATCATGACTTTTGATCAACATGTAATAAATTTATGTCAACCAAAACAATAAATTCAGTAAAAGAAACATTTAACAACAAAATAAAATATTATACCTCATTTGCATACGCCCTTCTATATTTAATATAACGTCATCCGGTCCATATAAGAATTATGGACCGCCCCCGGTCTGTATGCGGTTTATGGACCGGATGACGTCATATTAAATATAGAAGGGCGTATGCTAAAGAGGTATAATATTTGCTTTTACATATATTGTAATTCAACACTCTTAATTAGAACATGCGCTTATATCTTAGGTTGTCAACAACTGGGAAGGATTGAAGTCCGTGTTCAAATACATTGACAGAAATGGTAGTGCCTCGATTCCAATGAATGAAATGCGGGTAAGAAGACTCGTGCATGCTTAGTAGAAATACATGTAACATACTTAATTTAGCTTGAAAAAAAAAGTTTAATATCATTCGAAAACCCAGTAAATATTTCATCACTTCTCCATTTCTAATATAGAATCTACATTGTAACAGATTTTATCAAAATGAATGTCCACGACTTTGAATTAATTCTCTTATAACATAAATCTTTATTGTTATATATGTGCTTATACCTATGACCTCTGTTTGCATTTGTTACAGGAGATCATGTCAAGTATGCAGTTCAGTTTGGACGAAGAGGAGAAGGCGGAGTTATGTAAAAGATTTGATTCGCAGAAAAACGGAAGGTAACTCTACTTTTTTTACTTAAGTTACCTCCCTTGGAGCTTTTTAGATAAGTAACATCGAATGCAAGACTTCAATGATATATCATCTAATACTATTATATTTGTAATAACTGTCACAAAAGCAAGACAATTAACTATCTGTATAGGTTTAAAAAGACAAATATAAATAATTAACAAATGTTTCATACAAGGCGATAACTGTTTTTCTTTACTTCATTTAACCACTGTTTTCCTCTATAATTATAAATATTTGGTCATGAGTATACTCGGAATCTATTTTCAATTATCCATAAAATATATGTCAATTGATCATACTTTTCTCGTTTTCAGATTTAACTACCTTCAGTTTATGAAATGTTATGCACAACGCCCTAAAAAGGATAATCAGCCAAAAGCACAGGCCTACAGCAAATTTAATCATCAACTTCAAGCACAGGTTAGTCCCCTGATTGTTTATATTATAAATTAGCATTAAACACGGCTTTGGATGCAATTAAAGTCGTGCATTAAAACAGATTCCTTTTCTTACTAGATTAACAAAAATTATATCATGTAAACTAGTCTCAACAGCATTTATTTAATTGGCTGATAACAATTTGAAAATATATGAAATTGACCAATCACAGAGCTTACTTTGAGACTGGTTTCCTATGTTTAATGAGTACCACTCCCAAATTACCAAACATGATATAACACTACTTTTTTAACATTTTTTCAATTGACTAATTTTAATGAGGATTTGACAATTGCATCGTACATTAAACTATTTTCTATTAATTGTTTAATAAATAAAAAACTTTTACACTGAAACACAATTACAATTATAACAACCTGATATGTGTTTTTCCTCATTATTATTCAAAAGCTTGTACATGTATTTTGAAAACAGTTCCCAATTTATGCCATTGTGATTTTGGTCTTTATGAAATTAATGTTATTAACTGACTTATTTAATGAATATTTTACTATTGCATTGTATATTAACCTTTTTCACTATTGTTCAATATAAAAAGGTTTTACTATGAAACAAAACTTTATAATAACCATATTTGTGTTTTTCATAATTATTCAAAAACTTCTGCATGTATTTCAAACGTTTTGTGCCATTAAGATTACCTGCGCCAGCTTAGAGTGTTTTATCATGAAATAATATACATACATATATAACAGGAAGAATAAATGTTCACAAGTAAAAGAGAGTAAGTTTTTATCTGCACAATGATGTTTATGTGTATTGGCATTTGCAAAATAACTATTACTTGTTTTTTCTTGTTGCTATAGTATATTTTAACCGTTGATATGTGTGTGTTTGGTTTTCTGGCTAGTTTGACTGGTATTGGATATATAAAAAAAGTCTGAGAACCTTTCCTGAAGTATGCAATCTGACTGGTTATTTATTAAATCAAATGTTAAAATCAACCATTTGAAATTGGTCTATACGGCTTTTGTAAGGAAAGAAACTTTGTATCCTGGCTATTGTTTGTTATTATACATAATAAGTTTGCACATAAAAATATATCGTATATAGTTTGTTGAGTGATTGGTTTGATTATGTACTCTTCTATATATATTTAAGAAAATTTCAATACGCAACATTTTGACTAGACCACCACAGTTACAGGTATACGTATATGATAAAATTTGGTGAAAGATATTACGTTTTCAGTCCTTCTTTTGGAAGATGGTATAGATGTAATAATTTTAGTATGGTGTGTGATACTCTTATGGCAACGACATAGGAAACAGAATATTATAAAATAAAAACGAATACTGTTTTGTTCTAGCCAATATGTGAGGTGTCGTTACAGGTTAGACTGAATAAAATAAAACAAAAAATAACTATGAGTAAGCCTGCTCCACTTTCAGTTTTATATATTGACATTCGTTCAATGAAACATGCTGTTATTTTTTTTATTTTGGCATACAATTGGTTTTTGAAGTCTTTGAAAATGCGTACAAATTTCAATCGGCCTTTAAATTTTCAGTCCAGTACCTTTAACCATTCTTATCTACACAATTATTCCGCTAAATATCTTAAATGGTCTTGTATATATTTCAATGTGGGCATATTCATGATTCATTTTAGGGAAATTTTCAAAATACGCACTGATTGGATAGCAATGGTACGGCAACGGCCGGCTGATCTTAGATTGAACTGGTCGCAGTCCCCGCTTGAAATAGACATGGGAAATTAAGCGTCAGTAAATCATTGCAATTAACAATTTTAAACACATTCATCTGCTATCAAACTGGTAACATATAGGAACATAAACTTTGAAAACCACCTAACTGAAATCTTATGTTACAATCATACGTAATGATCGATGGAGAAAAGCGGATTGGTTAACTAAAACACAAACTCCGCCCCGTAGATACTGCTGTTGTTCATGAAAGTACATTAGATGCGGAATAAATATTACGCGAATTCTGATTGGCCAATACAATCTACGTTGATAGTTGGATTGACTGCTAATTTGTCACATTGTAAATGCATCTGCTAGCTCTAACATTATTATTTTAACTCTACAATTAACACAGACATTAATCAAAGGGAAGCAAAGGAGACCTACAATTCAAGAAGTTATTGAAATTGTTTGTGAGAAGGTGATTTGTATGTCGTGATCTGTTCTAGATTTATAGATATGGTACATTCAAGCGTACACGCTTTCACAAATTATAAACACATCTTTGCGTTGTTTACTGCCTGAAACGTTTAATTATCTCAACGATGAAACACGCTTCATTTTCTTATCAAGAAGTTAAACACGCAATGCCTTTGAAATTGAATTCATACACGCACAGTAAATAATGATTTACGTTATAATAATTTTGTATCTAGTAATTTTAGAATGTATATTTTCCTGACATTTGTTTTAATACACACGATAAACATAGTTTGCTGTTTATGTATTTTCATAACAATATGAATGTCCAAATTTATTTTCTATTTCTCCGTTTCTAAGGATAATTATTATAAAAATCATATTAATCAGTCTGTAGCACTTATCATTGTTTAAAGCGTAACAGTAACTGCCATCAACATACTGTCACAGAAAGTTAATTAAACAATCTAGTAAGATGGATTATTGTTGTTTTTCTATTTATTTACCCATGCCTTTCAAATAGAATTTCTATTTGAAATACCCTGTTGTTACTGTGTTAATCTTAATTAGCGGGGCATGTGTTTATGTTTACATTAATATACAACATTTGAGCGTTTAAAATGCGGACGCAGACTGAATGTACCATATTTTAGTAAGACTTTTATATTTCATATCTTATAATTATATTATTTTCTACACAGATTTATTGCATGTTGATTCTTGTTTTCACCTGTTGTTTTTTATCTGTTTGTACATCGTTTGACAAAAAAACTTGTTTCTATTCTTCTTTTAATGACTTCGTGAAATTTGAATTTCTTACACTGATTTTCTGCGTCATTTTTGTGTGTTCTTGAAAAATAAGATTTATAAATAAATGTATGAATAAATAACATAATATAAATTAAATTATAAGTTGACAAAATAATACTAGTATATGTAGAGTATAATAGGTTTTATTGTAAGTGGTTGATATTTTGCATGTTGTTTGTTGTTGTTTTTTCTCACAATGATTTATGTTATAATCTTGTTCTCTTACGTTTCAACAATATGCATGTTCATTATAGAATAGATAGAAACCATTTATAATTAGGTAGTCTATATAGATCTATATAAATTATTTTATAGAAAAAAAAGCATGATATTTGTGTTGGTGATTTTCTACTGGTTTGGTATTTTGTGTTTGTTTTATCCCCCTTCTAAACATATATATATATAACTAGTTATATAGCTGTTTGACAGGTTATATGGCCCGGAGTATATGAACGGTTTACAGGTTATATATAATAAACGACCTTTAATATACGACCATATAACATGCCAAAGGTATTTATATAGAATCCAAAATACTGCAAAATTGTTTTTCTTTGTTTCAAATAAAAATAAATACTGAAATTTACAGCTGACGTGTACATTGTATAATAAAAGTCATATATACGTTACGGTAGCCGTAATAATTATTTTATAGTTAATATATATTGACCAATCAAAATCAGCGTAACTACCGTGCAGTATTATCATATTATATTTTATAGTGGTATAATCCTTCTTAACATTATTTAGAAATTGACTGTAAAAATCGATAACATGAAAAGTTAAATTCAAGGTATGATGCTATTTTAAACAAAACAGTTTTAAGAGTTTTAAATGTACGTTTAAAGAAATGCATGAACGGCCTGCCTGGACTATAGTTTATCCAGTTAACTTCATTAAAAGGAAATTGTTACCGTAATAAATAAAATGTATCAAAATAAGTCACAATGTGACCGACAACCAATGTATTCAAATATCTAATAGATGTTTACAGTAAATAGATTAAATATTGATATTTTTTTCATTTTTCAACGACGATAAAAAAATCGCCCGAAGCGTTGGTCTTTTACTTATTATTTTTTTAATATGACTATTTCAGTTGTTCAAGGAACATCGCACATTACGACGAGCGTTCAAGAAATTAGATCAAGGTCATAAAGGTTATCTTAACATGAAGGACTTCCGGAAGGCCCTCAAAGAATGTAATATCAACTTTACCAATGAAGACTTCTACCATTTCCTTACTGAATTCGATCACAACATGGACGGGAAAATACCATACGAGATGTTCTTAAAGACAATGCTTTCAGTTTAGATACAGATTTATCTACAGTCAATCCTTTGTCAAAGGTCATCTGTGATAAGCGACCAGTTATCTTATAAGACTTTACATATATTATATATTTAAAAAAAATGTTGTATATTCTTATTTAGAATTTGCCTGTTATCACATAAAGATTTTTAAACAGGGTTGTAATTACTGACAGGGTTTGACTGTATTTAGAGGCATGTCTTAAGAATGAGACTTGACTGGTTTACTGCCAAATCACCATTATGTATAAAAGAGTAGATGTTCACATACACGTATAGTGTATTACAGTACATGTGATTAAGAGGCGTGTATACGTTTTTTCATTAAGACTTAAAGCAGCATGCCTCCAGATTCATGCTAATTTTCATTTAAAAAATTGAAAATGCATTAAAAGGTAAAATATTGTGAAGTGAACAAAGAAATAGTTTACATATTGCAAACGGCACTTACAACACATGTAAATTACAAAAGAAGAGGTCAAAATTTGCAAAAATAATTAGCCCATACTGCGTAAGTAATGTAAAATATGGTGAAAAATACTGCAGAAAATGTCATTTGGAAAATTCTTACGTTTATCCTGAATCTTTTTTACTTTTTGTAAAATCTCAGTACATTTTTCTCAAGTTTGAATTTCTTCACTAATTGTGGCTCATCTGGAGGCATGCAACTTAAGGAAAGTATGTTAGTTAGTTCTTGTGAATGAGATATGATGTGTGTTTACATGTCACTTTTCTTGTCTCCACAGAAAACATGATCAAATGGAAATATCATTAACAAAGTGGGCACATAGTTTTAAAAACTGTTTATGAATGTTATCCAGTTATTCTAACCGTTTCTAACCGAAGATTTAAATTTGAATATCTGTCAAATGGGTCTTTTTTCCATTACACCTGTTCACGTTTTAAGTATTAATTACTACACATTTAGTAAAAATCAAAATAAGTATGAAAGTCAAATAAAATTACGCAAAACCTTTCAAAAATGGCATTTAATTATTTGTTTGAAATTGAAATGTTCACAAATTGCATTTATTTTGCTGTTAAGTTTGAAAGATACTGTTTCATTGTTTTGTTTCTTTTTGTATAGTAGAGTATGTACATGTATCTGAAAATATGACAGAAAGATGAGCTTCATTTTTATGTTAACTTTTACCACTAAATATCATAAATAGGACTTGTCCATTTTTCAATCTGGGCAAAACCATTTATCATTTCAGGAGAGATTATTAGTAAGAATGAGAAGTGGATTTTTAGCTTTTTATTGTAACAAGTGTAACAGCTAAGAATGTGCCCATAACATTTTCTTTACAATACAGACGATGGGACAATTGCTCACCCTAATACTTTAAGATTATTTCATAACATTTTGTCACATTTTAACTGTTTCAAATGTTAACTTCTTTCTTTTCAACATTAAAAGTGTTAGTTGCAACAAAATTGTTAACTTGCAGTGTATTTAGGTGATTATTTTAAGACTGTGAGAATAAGGAAAATTGATTAGACACATACAGTGACCTTGGACACATACCGTGACCTTGGACACACATATACAGTGACCTTGAAAAACAAATGAGGACAACTCTTATTGTTATGATTTCATAATTATTTATTTTTATTGTTAAACTGTAAATGAGTAGTTTAAGTAGAGAACTTTTTATTACTGTAAAAGATTAAGAATAGATATTTATTTTTATTTGTTTTATTTATTATTTTTTTCATATATTTTGCATAATGTATTAATAATCAGTATTGTTAAAAGTTACCTGGCATATTTGGCCATAATATCTCGTTATTTTTTTTATTTTAACTCTTCATGTGTATTTTAATGACATATAAAGAAACCATGTAATGCTTACTACTGACCATAAATACATGTAGATTAAACCTAATTCTTCCGGATTTTGTAAAAAAAATAATGGACTCGTCTTTTTTTTAGATGAAGAGTTCACTAATAGATTAAAGGATTCCTAATTCTACAAATGAGTAGCCAATATAAGAGTTAATGTGAGTAAACCGACCAATCACAATTCTTATAATTACCGTTGTTGCTTAGCGCTGGGAGGGTTTAGTATGTGGAGAGTTAGAGATTTATTTTATTACATTCAGTATAATAGAATTGCCATTTCAATAAGTATATGTGGGATGCATTTAACTGACCCATATAAGACTTTGTCTTATGAAAACAATCTAAAACAAGAACTGTACAAATTCCTCCATTTTCACTTATTAGCTGCACACATTAAAGCGGAGGAGTTTTATATTTATTTAGCCAAAACGTTTAAGTGTCATCATCACTTTATCAAATTGACCAGCATTACCATATGTTTAGCAGAGAACTCAGCTTTACTCACTTAAAATCAAAATATAGAACATATTGTTCTGTTTATAATTTATTATATATTTATCAATGTACATGAATTTGTTTCTGCAAAAATGCATGTTTATTATTCAAATGTTATTTTTCCTATAAATGATTATATGAGGACATTATACTTTGGTTATACATGAAGCACTTTCATAAATACTGTGATAATATTGTTTTATGTAACAGAATTAAATTATCTCTTACAACTGGAGTAGTTTCCACTGTGTTTTGTTTGTATTCCCAAACAGCTTTTCATGTATTCTGTTTACAAAGCAGAATATGAAGAAGAGTGTCATTATGGTCCTGGATTGCTCACTTAAAGATCCTGTATGTTTTGTGATTGATATTGTTACTGTGTGTAAATTCTTCTTCTTCAATTAAGTTTATTTTAGCTCGGCGCCGGAAATTCCATATGCCCGAGATCTCAGCGTCCATGCCGGTCTACTCTAGAAGTCTCATCGGGGACGTCTTTTTCATGCCGATCTTTCTATGTCCTGTACTTCGTTCGATGGAGGAAAGACAATACTTGAAAAAGCATCAAGTTCCGTGACGGCTGCAAACAGGTGGTTGACATGAAACGGCTCTTGTTAGCGCCACCCTCCAGAGTTAGCCACGACAGGTCAACCAATCACCTCTGGTACTTGAGATGATTTGACCTTAATCTGCCGTGTGCCTTCTCGCGACGTGCACGCCTCTGGAGGGATTTGGAGAAGTTGTGTGTATACCACTCTTGCAAAAAATTATATGCAAATAAAACAATTTTCAAGCATCCAAGAATATGTAAAATGTGTACTGCAAATATGTGCACATTATATTTAATCAATAAATTACATGCATTCATTTCTTATTGGAAAATTTGACTTGGAATTTATAGAAAATGAATTTCTTATTACCTCCCTTTATTCACATGAAATGTTAAATTGGGTAATATCTTTATAAATAATGCTTATAGGAACTTACAATATTGACAAATCTTATTTTGAGCATCATATTTATGAAATAAAACCATGAAAAAATTGTGTTACAGGATCTCATGCTAGGGAAGGGTATAACCAGTAATAAAGTCACATTGAGTTTGTCATTTATTTCTTTGGGCTGCATAATTTTTAAAATATTTGTTTATAATATGTCTGCTACAAAATGCTTCATAACAAATATCTAGGCTCTTGGCATTGTAATTTCACACTGACACAAGAAGAATTTGTTTTCTATATAAGTCTATATAAACCAGGGTGAGCAAGTTTTGACCCCATGGGCATGGTTTATATAACTTTTGTAGAGGACCACAAGATCATGCTTTGTGCAAAATATCTACGCTCTGAGCATCAAACCTTTAGAAAGGAAGATTTTTTAAGGATTTTTTCTTTACAAATCTATTAACTAAGTAACCATAATTAAGGACACAGACAAAGTTCAAAGTGTAAAAACAACCCAAATATTGTGCATGACACATTGTCTTAATATGGTGATCATTTTTGTGAAATAGTTGTAAAATCCGACTTCAAATAACGAAGTTATGCGCCAAACATGATTTTGCTGCAAGGTCATGCTGTGTCATGACCTTCAAGGAAGCGACCCACATTTTGCTCACGACACATCGTCTCAATATGGTGATCATTTCTGTGAAAAAGTTTTAAAATCCGACTTCAAACAACAAAGTTATGGGCAGGACACGAATTTGGGACGTACGTACGTACGGACGGACAACCCGACGACTATATGCTCCCCCGAAATATTTCGGGGAGCATAAAAAAACATGATGGCCCGGAAGTCGCTCACCTGTATATAGGCCCCTGAAGCGGGGCCAGTTTAAACCCCCAGGACTTTTATTTGAACAAACTTGGTAGACACCCATTAGAAGATGTTTCATGCTAAACATCTAAGGTCTAGCTGGTCAAGTTATTTCTTTACACATTTAGTTAAAAACAGTGACACACCTGGGGCGGGGCCAATTTTGACCCCAGGGCTTTTATTTGAACAATCTTTGTAGACACTTACTAGAAAATGTTTCCTGCTTAATATCTAAACTCTAGCTATTCGGGTTTTTTCAAAGAATTTTTAAGTTTTTGCTATACACATATAAGGAAAATCAATTTACCCCGGGGCGGGCCCAATTTTGACCCCCAGGGCTTTTATTTGAACAAACTTTGTAGACACTCACTAGAAGATGCTTCGTGCTTAATATCTAAACTCTAGCTATTTGAGTTTCTTCAAAGAAGATTTTTTAAGTTTTTGTTATACACAAATAAGGAAAATGAATGTCCCCCGGGGCGGGGCCAATTTTGACCCCAGGGCTTTTTTTTTAACAAACTTGGTAGAGACTCACTAGAAGATGTTTCATGCTTAGTATCTAAACTCTAGCTATTTGTTTTTTTTCAAAGAAGATTTTTTAAGTTTTTGCTATACACATATAAGAGAAATCAATGACCCCCGGGGCGGGGCCAATTTTGACCCCAGGGCTTTTATTTGAACAAACTTGGTAGACACCCATCAGAAGATGTTTCATGCTAAATATCTAAGCTCTAGCTCTATGGGTTCTTTAAAAGAAGATTTTATTAAGTTTTTACTATATGCATATAGGGAAAATCAATGACCCCCTGGGGCGGGGCCTATTTTGACCCCAGGGCTTTTATTTGAACAAACTTGATAGACACTCATTAGAAGATGTTTCATGCTAAATATCTTAGCTCTAACTCTTTGGGTTCTTTAAAAGAAGATTTTATAAGTTTTTACTATATGCATATAGGGAAAATCAATGACCCCCTAGGGCGGGGCCAATTTTGACCCCAGGGCTTTTATTTGAACAAACTTGGTAGACACCCATTAGAAGATGTTTCATGCTAAATATCTTAGCTCTAGCTCTTTGGGTTCTTTAAAAGAAGATTTTATAAGTTTTTACTATATGCATATAGGGAAAATCAATGCCCCCCCTAGGGCGGGGCCAATTTTGACTCCAGGGCTTTTATTTGAACAAACTTGATAGACACTCACTAGAAGATGTTTCATGCTGAATATCTAAGCTCTACCTCTTTGGGTTTTTTAAAAGAAGATATTTTAAGTTTTTTCTATCGGTTGCCATGGCAACCAGAGTTCTACATGGAATTAAATTCTTTGAACAATTTTTAAAGGTGACCACCAAAGGAACATTCCTGTGAAGTTTGGATGAAATTGGCTCAGCGGTTTATGAGGAGATGTCATTTAAAGAAAAAGTTTACGGACGACGGACGGACAGACGGACGGATGGACGCCGGACGAAAAGCGATCACAAAAGCTCACCCTGTCACTTTGTGACAGGTGAGCTAAAAACAAAAAACAAAAAAAAAATTAACAAAAAACAAACAAACTTTTCTTCCTTAACATTTTCTTTTAATCTGACTCCACAAACGTTGACAAGTATTATTGCACCAGTCCATTAATAATTCTAGATATTTATCAAATTCATGCAATTCAAATATATCTCAGATTAAAAAAAATTGATTCAAATGCAAGAATTACAGTGTAAATTTATAACATTTGCACATATTGTAATCTATCTGGTAACACATTAAAATTATTTAGGAATAAAAGAATATGATTCATGGTATACATACACAAGTCTCAAATTTGCACCTTAGCATTGCTAAGAAAAGCACTGGTACATTAATAAATAAATATCAGACTTTTAAAATATATATTTCCCCTATCAACTTGGCATTTCTGGCTGAGAGAGTCTGACATTTGATCCATATATTCCCCCAATCAACTTGGATTGTGAAAGTTTGTTTAAACTATACATTTCCCTTATCAACTTGGCATTTTCAGTTGAGAAAAAACGTCTTTCAAACTATATATTCCCCGTATCAACTTGGCATTTCAAGCTGAGAGAGTCTGACTATAAACTCTAATAAATACATCTGTAATCTGATATCCTGTGGTTTGTTGGTGACATAGAAACCTTGAACTCCCGCCTTCTCTAGTGTAGATTGTTGATCCATCACTTTCTGGTCTAACTGCATAATAATCTTCTGATCTTTCTTTCGTATTTCCTCATCACATCTTTTCTTTGTTGTCTGAAGAAATATTGAGATTTTACCAATAGGAATTATGCCTAATACATGTATGTATAGATGTTTGAAATTAAATATTTTAATCTAGCAACATTCTATCTAACAAATTTAAGACTTAATGAAGTTAGTGTTGAAGTTAGTGTTGTCATGAGAATGCCTAGTTTGTTGGATTTTTGTTCGGTTTTACTTGTTAATCAAACCCCCCACGGTTATGGTCATATTTTACTGGTGGAGGAAAACCTCAAATGCCCCTCCAAGCTTTGCTGAAGGCATGTGCATACACCCCAAGTAGTATTGGCCTTCTGTAAGCTTTCTTGATAGCTTCCTCACATAAAGAAGTTACTTATGGAATACAAACCCAAAGCGCTAAAAGGTAAGTGATTTGAAGTCAACAACCTTAACAAATAAGCCACTGAGGAGAATAGGAAGGCCTAACATAAAACAAAACTTCATTGGAACATGCTAATAAATACTACTATTCAAAAAAATGTTAGCATTCCCCAAAAGAATTTAAAGAAAAAATCAAAAGTCTTAAAATCAATCATTACAGTTTTGATCATACAAAATTATTTACCATAAATTGACCTCATTTATGATAAGAGTTACAAGGGCACCTCCCAGTACTAAATACAAAGATTATACAAATATATTTCCACGTACAGGGTTTACAATGCTTTTTATCCTAAAAATAAATGTGATCTGACATGGTGTCATCCAAAAAAAACTTTTCCCATTGGGCTGTTCTATAACTGGGCGTGCCTGTTATTAAGAAGGGATCATCTCCACACTGTTAATCTATGATTGTATATCAAACTATCAAATATAACTTAAATTGTTGAATATAATTGCCAATCTGACAATATAATGAAGGAAGGGAAGCTACTCAATCATAAACATGTGACTTTATTTTCAGATTTACTGATGTAAAGTGAACTTTTAGAAATAGTTTTTTGTTCCTTAAAGAAATATGAAACAACTTAGCTATGTGGTTGCCATTGTCATGCAAAAACTTTAATGTTTCAAAAAGATTTTAAAATCTTTATATAATAGGCTAAATTAAAGATTTTGAATGACCATGACAACGACACAGCGATCACAATAGCTCAACTTTTTCTTTAAAACATTACAAACTAAAAATTGAGCTACCAACAGTTGAGAGCCTGGTCAGACTGCATGGTTATGCTGGCTCACCTCACTCTATACTAGTGACAAATGCTAATCAATTTCAGTTCCAGTAGGTCAAAGGTTAATTCCTACACGACTCGCATTTTTCCCAATTAAATTAGAAGAACCAGAAGTGTGTGTTATTATGCAATAAAGTCACTGTTTGACATTTATATTTAGACATGTGACGTAATCATTATACACGCGACGTAACCACTAAAAATGTGATGCAATGAAAATGAGTAGGGAAACAAATCAGGCACAATTTAGCTTATTATCAGGTACGGCAGCATTTATTTATTTATTTATGTTGTGTTAGATTCAAAATAATATGTCCAAATTGGTGATTTAATCGCTTGATAAAATCACTGTTTGTCGTTCGGATGCACATCATTATGTCAACAGTGACTTTATGAGGGTTTATTGAACATTTATGATAGAGCAGATTACCTCCATTTCTCTGTCTATCTGAGCCTTCACTAACGGTAGATTGTGAGGTTTACTCTGACAGTCCTGTAACAATGCTTTATGTTTCTTCTGAAGCTCATGTTTTTGTGCTGAAAAAAAAAACAACAAAAAAAAACACATAATATTTTCAATAAATAAAGCAAGAGTGTGAACTGATAACTTAGTGTTTAGAGAAGCTCCAATGAGGTAAAAAAACAACCCTAAAATCATATCATTTTAAATTCCTACATGAATTAATTGGTGCATTTTAAATAGAAATTTACCAAAGATAATAAATATACTTGGAATTGAATTTAAATTATTTTTGTGTGTATTTCTTATCCCGGTATGAGTTTTTGGGTTGTTTATTTTGCACAATTTATATGGTTATTCTGAAAAACAGAGTGAACTGAAATCTAACACACAAGTTATTGGACCAGAGCTTTGAGAAACTGGCCCCAGACCTACGCAAAATAGTATAAAAATCTCAACAAATTATCTTAAATTTCTAATCCCTTTAAATCAAGAACCCTCTGTCGAAACCGTTTAATGTGTTTGTCTCTCAACCAAGGGAACATAAGTAAAGGTCACTCGATCCAATCCTTAAGTAACACCAGTACTGGTGAGTATCAGGAAACAAATTTGATAATGTTTCATTAATAAGCTTCAAGCCTTCATCACAATCAAGCTGACATGAAGGTTTACCCTAAATTCTTTAAAATACATAATATCAGTAAGACAGATCTCAGTCCCATTCAAATACAGACTTCAATATTATTTCATCTGTTCATTGCATCTTATCCATAAGAATAATAAAATGTATTACCACGAAACCAAATTAATACAAATCTAGAACTAAGCAAAATTGAAAATATTCACAATATTAAGCTGTCAATATTAAAAATTTTCATCAACTGATGATAACCTTTTTAATTTTATCATGTAAACTGGGTTACTAAGTTTATAAAGACAAAAACTGGTTAATGAACATGCATTTCATTTATATCAAAGTTTTATCATATTGAGCATTGGAAATTCTGTAACTTTATGATGACATAAATTTATCAAAATAAAACATTATATATTTATCTCTTTCCAAGATTCTACATTTATAACCATAACTAAAGCTATATTTATTATTATTATTAATTTTAGGCTGGAACCAGAAGAGATTAGCTTTAGCAATCAGCATAGAGCAAGGACAGCCTACATATCTGTGCAGTCTGATCAGGCTCTAAACTGTTGGCTGACCAACTTGAAATTTTGATCTTAAATATCCTCAAAATTGCAAATGAATAGTTCCAAAAAATGTTGGAAAAGTCTACTTTTAAAGCAAAATGTTCTCTTATTTGTGATTTAGCTTAATTCAAGCTGACGCCAGAGTGGGTAGAATACCTCTGCTATCCTTTCATATTTTGAGCTAAACAAAAAGGTATTTAAGTCTTTAAATAAATATCTCCCTCATTAATATTAATACCTTTATGATCAGATATAAGTTTACTTCTCTGTTGAAACATTGCTTTCTCTTCCCATTCTTGAACTTCCTTCAAACCTAGAACAATCTGGAACACTGTGCCATCTATCAAAGCATTGGCTAGGCTAGACAAGAGGTCATAGGGCAACCGTTGCTGGTATTTTCTAAAAGACAATAATTATGTTTAGAAGTGAAAATCTGAAATGAAATGAATCTCTACATAAATCAAGCTTTTAACAATTAATTTCATAACCAAATGTAATTTATTTCAATCAGAAGTGTGTGTTTCAATTGCTCAAAAGATATTTGAATGTGGTTAAATTTGTTTCTGCTTTAAAACCAGTTTGGTAAAATATTTCTTTGTCTTTGCAAATTAAGGCAACATAATACTACATTTTCTGCTTTAGTTGAAGGTGAGACAGAAATTTTACTGATCATTTTACTTTGCTCTTTGAGCAGATTTTATCCAAAATAGCTTTAGTAAAGCCTTAAGTAATAAAGTATTTCATTCAAGCTTTAGCTTTAAATTTAACATTTGATGTTTGGTAAAGTAAGATGGTAAATACCCTTACATACCCTGGCAGTTCTCTCGCCATATTTTGAAGTTGTGAAAACAAGAAATAATGTCGCCGTTGTTGTAGTTCTCTACGCTCATACTCTTCTTTCATTGATGACCCACCACCTATCTCTGTTGGTATATATTCAGCTGTCATCCTTCTGTCTACCTCTACCTTTCAAAAGTATTAATGTTTAAAGATATATTTTAATCAGGCTAGTCTTAAAAAATATCTTTGTTTCCCCCTCCAATGATTCCATGAAGGAAAACAAAGTGACTTTGATTTTATTGTAGGCCTCACATCTTGTCAATCAGTGTGAACAATACAGTTACATTATGACAGAAAGACTTAATTAGTATGCAATGTACTTGTAAACAATTTGAAATTTGTCTTACTTAACACTCAAATCATAATGAGATTGGTTATCAAACTTGCCTAGTGTGATTGCTTATCAGTTAAACTGTGTTGGCATTGCCAATTGGTTAACACGTCAGGCTAGTTATCTAAGGATTGCTGACCATGTGGGTTCAAACCAAGTCAAGAGCAAGCCATTGTTTCCTTAAGCAAGAAACTTAACACTCATTGCTATAAAGTACTGGTTAGTTCAAGGAACAAATTCAAGAGTGTTTCAATAAGATAATAGCTTCCAACACAGTCAAACTAAAATAAATTTACATGTATACAGTATATAAACTAATCAGTTAAATATTTCATCAACATCTTTTAATCTTAAATTAACATAAACACAGAAATAACTGGGAAAAAGTCATTTTCTATATACCTGTGAAAAACTTTTTTGACAAAAATTATTCTGCCTAAAGACTAAAGTATCCATTACTGCATGAGCATTTTGTGAAAAATGGCTGTTTTCATTGAAAAGTGTCCCGTTACAAGTTCAAATTGCTATAAAACTATAAAAACTGCTTCAATACTAATCAAACTTGGCACAAATGTTGACAGGACCAATACATTTGTAACAACATGCTCAGTCTTATATTTCCTGTTACCACGGCAACAAGGGGACATCTCAAAATTGCCAGAAATCACTATCTTGTGTTAATTTTTTTCATCAAAATTGATTTCAAAGTGCTGCAAGTTCTCAATCAGTCAATGGATTGAGATAGTCAAAGGCTTTTCTGCATTGGTTACACACTACCTTATGATCGACCTGGGGTCATTTTTAGCCTCTCACAAGTCCAAAATTTTCTTTGAGATGAGGAGGGCTACTGCCCCCTTCAACCCCCGCCCCCCCAAATGGAAGGGGGCACAGCCCCCTTCTCAGGCTTCTGGCAACCCCCTGACAACGCTAGATTTTAAGTGCAAGATTTATACACAACCTTAAACAAAGCTTTGTTTCCAGTTTTGATTCTTCAAATGTAAAGAAACTGATTATGAGAACTTTTGTGGTCTAAGTTTATCTTGAAAAAGCACTCACAATTTAAAGTAGCAATACATGACAAGTAGCATCACATGCATGACTAGAAAATTGCAGCACGAATGGCCCCTGGATATTTTTTTTGATCCAGGTCTTATGTATATATTGGTACGTAAGCTGCGTGATTCATAATCTTCTGTTTCTATATCTTTTGCTAAAGTGGTTGTTTAACTAACAATATATTTATTAAACAGTAAATACCTGTCACTTTTGACGAATCACGCCATGAAATATATTAGGAATAATTCAACTTCCGGGTGTAAAAACGGTCTAGAAAATTCAGCAGTAAGTTTTTCTTCGTATGTATACAAAATAACTATTCAGTTTAGTAAAGTAATGACAATCAGAAGACTAAATGAAAGAAAATTATGAGCGACGAGAATCTATGTTACAAATGGTGGTTTCTGTAAAAGGGGCAATAACTTTGTTAAGAGCACAACCAATCGGAATATCCTCGGTTATTATCTACAATCCGGAGACTGACGGAAAGGGCCGAAAAGTTGCGATTGGTACTAAACGTACTTTTTAGAAACAGGCTATAGCAAAATGATTGTCACGTGGTTTTCTTACTGACCAATCAGAAAATGGGATTCAGATACAGATGCTGAGAAAAAATGGCTGCTCATGAGAATCAAAACATTATAGTTAGCGTTTTTTCATCACAATCATGATAAAAATAATGTAAATTAATAAAAATCAAACATGCCGAAGAGGAAGTCCCAGTCTAGTGATGATCTGGACAGCGATTTATCCGTACCACTGCCTATGCAGACATTTTTCTGGAGGCAAACGAGGTAAAACCGTATCTGAATTTAAAGAAAAATAAATGAATAATAATGTGTTGAGCCAGAAGTTGAACACAAATATTTTTTTAGGTATCTTTCATGATTGTTAAATAGAAGGAGTTGAATGATTTTAAGTTTTTATTTAAATGAAAACACAAGAAAACCTAACTATTGAAAGAATATTAGATCAACCTGGAACATACGATACGGGGACGGGAAACACAGAGATTATCGCTCCTTATGTTTTCGTTCAATCAGGAATCAGCGCCGCCATTTTACAATTTTAGTTCAAAGCGGAGGAAATGTTCGGTCAGAAAATCGATCGGTATGTTTACTTAATGGGGTTGAAGTCCCCAGAAAGTAAATGAAATAATTCTGTAAGTATCATGACATTGATCCGATGTATTTTTAACATGGTGTATAAAGTATCTAACGTGAAAAACTGTGTCTGTTGAAAGAATAAAAATTTCAATCGAACTGATGTTTTGTGTTGATCGCCGTAAAAGGGTAATTTTTGTCTGCAAAACTTCGTTTAAATAAGTAAATTACAAGAAAACTGACAGAATATTTTGATAGATCCTTTAAATATCTTTGGTTTAACGTTAAGATTATGGAATTGTAGTGAGATAAAATGAAATTTTACGGGTTCCAATTTTATGAACTGTGACAAAAATCCGAAAAATAAAATGGCGGAATGCAAACGTGATGTACATTTTTTGTCCCGTAAATGAACGTTATATGTTAATTAAATTTGTCCCATGTTAGTATTTTTTAGTAAAACATAAACATATCTATAGCAAGAAAATAAAATTGGATCAATTATCTTGTAGGATTTTTCATTACGCTGTGTCAAATTTCAACAATTTTTTGGTGAAATCTGAGACCAAACCATAAATTGACGAATTTGCAGTTAAGTCGTTTGATATTTAAAAAGTAGAAAAATAATGTTTTAGAAATAGGTAGGGTTTCTTTTAATTTTTGAAAACCATAATTTGTTATCTGAATGAAAAAAAAAACAACATCTTTATTAAAAATGATAGATTCCTTAGCTGTGTCATTGGATATCATGAATGATATCCTGCCATGGTGTCAATTGTTATTTGCACTTTTAAAGTCTTTTATTTCCTTATTTTTTGTATAATATTATTTCAATCTCAATTGCAGGTTTATCGAAGATTGAAAACTTTCCATCAGATGCTTTCTTCACAAATTTCTTTTTGCTTGAGAATACCAGTAATGATGAACAAGATCCTGAGTGTAAGGTCACAAAAGATACCATGAATTTGTCGATTCAGATTGAAGGATTAAAATATGTATTCGTGTCACAGAGAAAATGAAGTTGGACCTACTTGTGCATTCATATATCTGATGAAACATTTTTTCAAAGCCGCATGCCTCCAGATAACCCAAAATATTTCAAAGAAATTACACTTGGAAAAAAACATACTAAAACTTAAAGAAAAAGTAAACAGATCAAAGATTCAAGTGATAATTTATATCTTATGTGCAATTAATGACTGTATATTGCAGTATTTATCACCATATTTATACTGCGTTACTAACGCAGTAGGGGCCATTCATGCACATTTTGACTTCTTTTTGGTAATTTATGTAGATTATAAGTGCCGATTTCAATGTGTCAAGTATTTCTTTGTTCATTTCACAATATTTTTTGTATTTGTATTCCAATTATGTTTACATTTGTACAGCTAATATTCATAAGATGAAATAAATATTTAAAAAAAAATTGTAATGTGTAATATATTGATAAAGTGTTTTTTTATCAACTAGGTAGTCCTTCATGCTGCCTAGCCTTTTAATAAACGAGTAAAAGAATTTTAATAAGTCAGTGGTTCAGTATAAAAAATCACAGATATATTGTCCACTGGTCTGATGCATATATATACATACAGAAATGTCACATGACAAATGGGTCGAAGCTGGAACTCTAACAATGGGTATGCAGGTTGATGACCAGTATGACGTGGCCATTGCAAATATGAATCTTAGTTGTTATACTATTTACAATTGAAAAAGACCACAGTAAGAAACATTGCATAAAAAAAGTTTTTCTAACCATTAACATTCTTAACTCCATGTTTATTCCTTAAATGTCCTCTTATACCCGATACAGAATTGTATGACTTATCACACTGATCACATACATAAGTTTTTCTTTTATCCTCTTTAGATTTTACACTTATCTTATCCTCATCCTCAGAATTTTCATATTCACTAGCTGTAAATTCACCAAGAAAAAAAATCTAAATCAATATCCTCAAAGAGAACAAAATCCGATTTTCCATATGCCATATTGCAGTGTATCAGTATGTATAAATTTCATTTTTTTTTTTTAATGCGTTTATTTAAGGTCGCCGCCGGAAAGCCCATATGGGCGACCGTACACTCAAGTCGGGCCATCCTAGAGCGTCCCGCCGAGATTTTTTCGTCGATTTTGTCCAGCTTTATTGGTGGAGGAAGACCCCAGGTGCCCCTTCAGGCATTATTTCTGGCACGAGCGGGCACCTGGGTAGAACCACCGACCTTCCGTAAGCCAGCTGGATGGCTTCCTCACATGAAAGATTTCGACCCGAGTGAGGATCGAACCTACAGCGGTGAGGGACTTGTGATCTTAAGTCAGCGACCTTAACCACTCGGCCACGGAGGCCCCATATATTTCATATATGAACATTGCATCTTAAATATTATCTTTTTATGAAAAATTTGAGTTATAATTTATAATTAAAACTGTCATTCAATAGCATATTTTAAAAGGGCATTATTGTGTGAAGTAAGAAAACAATCTATTCAAAAATGAAGATTAAAGCTAAATAAGAACATAATTACAAATATATGTGAAAAATATGTTTAAACATCAAAGATTATCAAAGGCCATGTTGAAAACAAACATGAATAAAACAAAAGTCAGACATTTTATTAGACCAAAAATTATTACATGTTATAAACATGTTTATAGCAGCTGTACACTTTAATTACATAAATAATAAGTCCCAATACAAAATAATTTCTATGTTTATTGACACATTTGACATAATTATATTCTATAATTAATATAAACCATGTAATTAAAGCTATAATTGAAATTTAATGATTAAGTTATTTCTGAACGTATTTTAATTACAAAACGTAAATTTTCTATCATAATTAAATATGGTAAATTACTTTTCTGTATCTGTTTCATATTAATTAATATTAATATTTTTAAAATTGATCCAATGAAAAAAGTATTTAAGAAACCAACAATCTTTTTTTCCTACTATTTTGATTGCCCACCTCCCAAAATCACCGGAAAATTTATGCACGAAATATATCCGATCAACCGGCATGTACCGTGATTACGGCGTTTAAACACGGCGCTTATCGATCGATCGATTCCAATTGGACACCAACATTGGCACTGATAAGAAAGCGCGAGTGACATATCCCGTTATAGTACATCCCAGGATCAACTTAATAATTCAATTGTAGGCTAGATCTACCTATAAAAGAAACTTGAAGCACAGGGGTTTTGGATGGTATATACTGCTTAATGGTGACCTTAAAATGAGATTTTAGTCATAACCTTATAATATGTATATAAATATAGACAAGGCATTACTCGGTAAATACAAAATTTTCGATCACCCACAAATTCATGCGAGATTTTCCACTATTAAATAAAAAATTTCCACACACTATACTGTGTTGCATAGCCCACTTTAAGAAATTTATTCAAAATCCTTCACTTCTGTCACAAAATTGCTTAGTCGTACGAGATGTCGCAACACCAAATTCTACGGGTAAAATATCATTTTTAAAAGGGGGAGGATAGGCTAAAATAAATGCATGCCAACAATAACACAACATAGTTTCTATAACCTACCTGCACAAATAGTCGTGAAGCGCTCTACATGTACATTCGTCTGTTTCAAACAAATTCTGGTCACGGTGTACCAAGACCTTTCATCGGCTCTCGTTATAGACAACCGAACCAATGAAAGGTCTCGATAAACCGTGATCAGAGTTTCCCAAATATCTTCGCCGAAGCAGATTTCTGCACTGATTTGAAGAATTCGTTCAAAACAGACAAATGTAGAGCACTTCACGACTATTTGCGCAGGTAGGTAATAAAAACTATGTTCTGTTATTGTTTGTATGCATTTATTTGTACCTCCCCTTTTTAAAATTGATATTTTACCTGTAGAATTTGGTGTTGCAACATCTCGTACGACTAAGCAATTTTGTGACAGAAGTGAATGGTTTTGAATAAATTTCTTAAAGTGGGCTAAGGGAATCAGAATAGAGTTAGTGTTTATCAATTGTGGATTGAATAAGCTATGCAACGCAGTACAGTTAGTAAAATTTTTTATTTAATTAGTGAAAAATCTCGCATGAGTTTGTGGGTAATCGAAAATTCTCTATTTACCGAGTAATGCCCCTTGTATATATTTATATACATATTATAAGGTTATGACTAAAATCTCATTTTAAGGTCACCATCAAGCAGTATATACCATCCAAACACTGTGTGGGCCCCCTGTGACTTGAAGCAGAATTATCCTGAAACATCTTGATAAATTCGATCACATTGTTATTTCTGTGGCGCTGATGTTGTGCCAGACTAAATTGCATAAAGTCACATGTTGTCTTAACATCAACACCTGCAGAAATGCCAGATTTGATTAAATGTCAACGGCATATATTGAAATAGTTATGAAATTTTTTCCAAGCAAGTCCAATTTTTTAAAAAAGCATTGGTGTACAGAGTTTTACCATTAACCTCAGTCTAATTAACTCTTAGGTATATTTAGAATAACTATATTTATATGGTGTATGTAGAAAAGATATTTTGTAAGTTACACCAAGTGACAGATCTAGACAAGATTCCATATTTGGTAAATATTATATTTTATTTCATGCTTTCCAGTGTTTTATTGTAAAATATCAGATAATGATATTCTGATAAACCACTAGTGAAATTTATAAAATATAATTTTCACTGTATCCGAACTATATCTGAATGCGAATGAAAAGAAAATCATAACTAAATGGAATATCAGGCAGAAATAAATGCCTTCATACGTAAATTTTGTCTCTTTAGGAAAAGAAAGACGATGTCACCATACATCATGTTATAAATGTAACAAAATTAGAGAAATTTAACAGAACTATATTTCAAAATTGATGATGTGACGTCATGATGTGATGACGTCACAAAGGAGAATGCGTGACGTTACACGGCAAAATCAGTAAAAAAAATACTTAAAAAGCATGAAATAATAACAAAATTTATTTGTTTTGCATAATAAAATAATTATAAGATTGAAATATATTTCATTCGTGAACACCAGCTATTATATTTTCACTCGTGGCTACGCCACTCGTGAAAATATTGCATCTGGTGTTCACTCAGTGAAATAATATTTCAATCTTACATGCAAAACAAACAAATATCTTCTATATATGCGGACTGGGCAGGTAAAATGGCTGTCATTGTTGGATGCATTTATCATTTTGCACCCCAATTAGAGTACAAAGAAACTTGTGACACCTTCAACTATTCTTTGTGTACACATTAACAGTAGCTATACCAATGCATTGTACAACATATGAATATATTGTCACTTTAGTGCAGTAACTGGTTAACTCATTAATATTAGATTTAAAAGGACATAACCCATTACTGTACTAAGGTGACAATATGTAGTAATCACTATAACATTCAGTGAGTTCTTTTAAAATTTTGAAAAAACAAAACAAAAACTGTTGTAAATCGTTGAATAGTGGATTATAGCCTGTTGTGAAATTTTCTACAATTTATAGTAGCCCTGACTATCTTGAACAAATTCTTCAGTGGTGTTTACCTTACTGTTTAAATTTAGTTAAAAATATTCCTGGGAATGACCTGAGTGTGTCATATCATTTTTATTGTTTTTCTGAGAAAGATCAAGACTTGTTGAAATTGTACCAACCTTAAAATGAACAAATACTGATAGATACATTAATAGCTAAAAATAAATTTAAAGCATCATTTCCCCTTCCATCTATTATTAGCTAAAAACAGCTTAACTGATTGATTACTGGTTGCGCGGGATACTATTTTAGGCAACTTTGAATGTTTAAGATATGCATTTTTATTTAATTTTACCCATGAAATATGGTGCTATATCAGTCAAATATATTTCATATTAATTTTAAAAGTAAATATGAAAGTGGGCAGAGTCAAATCTCATATTAATTTTAAGGGACTTCTTTCGCCATTTTGTTTGAAAAATCTGACAAATACAAAACAACTTTTTGTTGAGTTCTGAATACTATCTAGAATGATAGAAAATGGTCTAACTAAGAAAATAAATCGGAACACCAATATCTTAAATTCAGTCATTAAAGCTGTAGAGACGTTTAAAGAGTTGTTTACTTGACGTCACAATGTAGCGCCAAATATCGCGTGCAATACAAGACACATCTATAAATAATATATTACTGCCTGCTGTACAATTGCAGTTGCGTAGCATGCTAGGGGTTTGTAACCATTTTTTCTTGATAATGAAATTAAATGAAAAGGTTATTTTTTCGTTTTTCGTTAAATATGGTACATGTATAATTATTTTCACTCAACATGATAAAATGCCAGAAATTTTCACTCGCCTTCCCGGCATGTGACAATATGCGGCATTTTATCATGTTTTATGAAAATATATTCCATATTTCACTCAAACAAAATATCCTCTTAATATAATTACATAATGATAAATTTTAGGTTTGATAAGTTGTTAGCTATTATATGATATTGTAATAAATAAATTAATTTGTATGAACTTTTTTTCAGTCCATTTATCCGTCCTAAGCTGGGAAAGCTTTGTGATGCATCATGCATTGTAAGTATTTTCATTTTCTCCAGAAGTGTATTTTTATGCCCCTGCCATAAAATGCCAGGGGCATATAGTGTTACCCTGTTTCATCATTCGGTCATCACAGTTTCCATTCATTATCTTGGCAACAGTTGCGAAAATGATCTAAAAATCTGTTAGAAGTATAACAGTGTAATGAAATGAAATTTGTTTGGTTAATCAACATACAGCTTTTATTATAAAGCTATAAGCCCGCTGTTGGCAACTGATTCCATGTAACCAGTGCAGGCCAGGATCAACTAGCACATGTGTGTTGTCTGATCATTATCTGTACTATAGGCTATTCAGTCAGTACTTGTATTGATTTTTTTTTCTAAAATAGATGAACGATTTTGTCCAGATTGAAAGATGGACAATTGCAATTTAAATTATAGATATTTATCACTGTAAGGGTTAAGATGGTCAGCCAAAGAATGAATTATTAAGATTTAAATAATTTATCATTCTATTTTTGTTTTATTACTGTTTTTGGCATGTAGAAAAGTTGTAGACATGTCTTTATCTTCGGCCTAATTTTCATTAAGACAGAGCATTAAACAACACAAACTGCATTAGACTTCTAAAAAAACCTCACTAGTACTGTGCAGTATGTTAACTTTATTCCAGTCATTTGAAAGAGTTGTTGTGCAGAACATTCTTCATGGACAATCCCTGAACTTATGTGAGGCTATACAGAGTGTGTCAAGATGGAAAGTTATACAGGTTAGTATAGGAATATTCAGATATATTGAATCATGTACTGTTTCCTCTTTGTCATATTATTTCAGTAATTTCCAAATCTGTAATTGAAGTATAGACTTTAAATATCATATTAAGTATGTCATTTTAAATGTTCTTAATGGAAACAGTGGTCTAGTGGTTAAAGTGTCTATCTCTCAACCCATGGATCCTGGGTTTGAGCTCTACCTGCATTGCAGCAGTGTTTTGGCATATGTAGAAACACATACGGCACAACCACTTATAAGTTTCAGAAAGCGGAATGAAGCTTAGAAAGATAATGTTTAAACACACAGGGCCTCCAGTAATTGAAGTTCGGGAGTCATTAAATTACTCCTTGATTTTGGCTTGTGACTTCCATTTTGAAATGTAATGCTTCTCCTTTTTCACCTATATAATGTGATTTCCAATGTAAGACATTTTTCAGTCTCTGACTTTCAAATTTTGGAATTGAGTGGAAGTCTTATACTAAATGTTTTTAAACTTCTTTGGGATTTGTGTGTTTGAAGTCATCATTTCTTTTTGGGCATAGTAGAGACAAGCATTAAAACTTTATTTTCTGTAACTGAAATTCTTTGTAACATTGTACAGTATAACATTCAACAAGAGTGTTAAAATAATAAAGCAAGTTGTTTAATTTTTCATTTATTTTAAGTATTATTCCTGTCATATATATATATATATATATATATATATATATATATAGCAGCAAAAATGGGATTGTTGTATAACCTAAAACAAAACTCTCATGATAAAGTTTATATTAAAAATGAAAATGCTTTATTTGAAAAAAAAATAACACCAAAAACAACAACAACTGAACAATCTGTGCCAGATATATATATACTTCTTTCAGATTGCCTTCCCTCATGTGATGCATGCATGTGCGGCGCTGCTGGAAAACCGTAAACAGATGCACCCTGGGGCCAAATTTTCCAACAGTGAGACCAAGTTACTATACACCCTACACTGGATAATCCTAGATGCTGCTTCTGAATGTGAAGACAACGCAACTATCTCCGATACCAAGCCCTTGATCCCAGCTGTGTTGTTACATCCATTGAAGACCATTCAGTTATTTGTGTATTTGTTTGCCCCATTGGTTAGCACCCTAGAAGACTCGGATTTTCAATCGCTGAAGTTAGAGAATGGATTAAGGCTATGGCAGCCACTATGGGATTACCATCAGCCTGATGTCCCATGCTTTTCTACTCCAGTCAAACCACAGAGAAATGTTTTAAAGGCACAGAGGAATTTATTGAAAGTGAACACAAATGCTGCAAATATTTACATAGGAAAAGGAACGTCGACGGAGAATTTGCGATTCGTATCCCCATTTGATACAGAAAGTGTACAGTCTACTGAAAGTGAAGTATCACCAACTAGACTGGCACCTCTTGCCAGAATGAGTGATAGTGACTTCTGTTTTATGTCACAGTCTGAATGCCAGTCTATATTTTCAGTGTGCGAGTTCTGTAGTAATGTGAAGACAAGCCGGGCCAATGAAGGTCCAAGTACATGCAGATGTGGCAGGAAGAACAGTTATGTTGATGTCGGGCCAGAGAACAGGCAGAGCATTTTAGAGAAGCTAGGATCTTTAGACAGGGATTTTCAGAAGAATAGACTGGCAAGTGCTGCAATGAGTGGTATTAAAGGTGTAACTGATGTCGACATTCTTAGTGCGAGCTATTTTGATGTCGCTGTTTTACAGTGTTTGTTTTGCCTTCAATGGTCGGTTGATGGTGTTCACTGGGCATTAAAGTACATTCATCAGCGTCTACTGGAAATATCAGATGAACTTTTGCATAGGGATATACAAGACCGGGAAAGAAGTCGATCATTGCCTTTTGCAGAACCAATATTACTTCGCTGTAACAGTATCCCCTCACAATCTTCCAGATCAAAAGAATCGTATGTCATGGGAATACCAAAGTCTGCTAGTAGTGCTTCACAGAAATTTGCCTCCATGTCCCCAGATTTATCAACCATACATTCTGACTCAGAACCAGCCTCTCCGGCTATAAAACCATTTTTAACAGAACTACGCAGGGAACCACCATTCAAGAAAGTGTGTATGGTGGAACTTAGACAATATCCGGACAGCTCAAAAGCTTATGTAACACGTAAATCATCCCCTTCAAGATCTGAAACCTCTCCAACCAGGATTGCTTTTAAGACCAAATTAGATCAGTACCCTCTCCCTAGGACACATAGAGAATATTCTAGTATGTACAACTGGAATACAAACAGGGGTAGAGCATCTGTAGATATTTCTGCTAAACAGTCTACCGGCAAGGACAAACCTGTGAAAACCAGTCAAAGTTGGGACACTGACTTGGTAGCTTCTAACAACAAATTTGCTGCTACACCTTCCCCGGATCAGGACTCCGAGGCCAGCAGTCAGCACAGTAGCAATGATTCATCCAGTTTGTCTCATGCAGGAGACACTGCTTTTGGGGGAACGACAAGTACAAGATTTGGGCCTGCAGGGAAACCAATTATAACTATAACTGCTGATACACCACAGAGAACAAAACCAACATGGCCGCAAGTGTTTGATTTCTCCAAACAAGACATTGCTGAAGTAGAGGGAGCCGAGGGTGGAGAGGAACAAGGGGCAGGACTTTCTCGAAGTATGACAGATTCTAACATTTGTTACCAGCAAGAGGAAGAAGTCCATGAAGTACCAGGCTCTGTTCACTATATTCAAAAAAATGGTCACCTGAACTATAAAGTTATTCTACAGGTGTGTATGAAAAAACATTTTTTTGGATACTTAATATTCTCAACACATTTAAATTTATTTTTAGAACATTTTGAAAATTATTGAGAATTTTCACGCAATTTTGACTGTATCTCACAAAGGCCAGTTTTGAGTTAGCAAGATATTGTTCCACAAAAGTATGAAACTAGCTGACATTGGCAAAAATTTGTTTGAAATGACTACCAGTAGTTAAGAATTTAAAGTTATTACAGTCGACTCTCGTTACCTCAAAGTCATTGGGACCGTCCAAAAAATATCCAGATAACGAAATGCCGTTATAAACATATTAGGGTTTGAATAAGGCAGAAACTGATTTTTACAAAAGACATGTGCATACTTTAAGTCAAATAAACTATGATATCCCCATGTCTTGTTTTCATAGGCCTAGTCGATATTTAACAAAGTAACATTAGCGGATGTTTACCAGCAGAAATACGGGTGTCTGTGATCAAAACACATAGTGAGGTTTACTCAGTAATACACCAATATAGTGAAAACATTGTTTTCAGGGTGGTTGATCCCAGGTTATTTATCGGGTCTTTCTCGAGATTGTTCAACCTCTGATTGATTTGGTGGTGATGTTGTGAAACAATATTGCAACGATAGCGTTTCTATACCACTATTTCATTTACATTTAAACTCATAATGAATTGATACAGTGGTCGAATATTTATAAAGAACGTAAAATTCACTCATTTTGGACATAAGTCAATCAACATTCTCAATAGATTAACTTTTATAAAAACAGCTAAACTTGTTACAAACATAATCATCATTATAAAACACGCTATTAAGCAATCATCGTCTAGTTTGTGTTTTTCACATGTCTGAAGGGAACAGACGAAAGAAAACTATTAGTCGAGACAAAACAAAGGATAATAGTGTGAAAATAACTGTTGGGGCTGAAATTTTACATCGAGATACTGAAAATATCGAAATAAAAATATCGAGATAAACAAATATTTCCAATATAGATAAAGAAGGAGGAAAATTGGGACTTTCAAAATTTCATCGAGATAACGAAATATCGAGAAAAGCGATGTCGAGATAACGATAGTTGACTGTATTTATAGTACATATGAAAATTTTCATTTTCTTTTAACTTTACTAAAGTAAACAGGCCTGTACATATATTGTTATCATTAAAAAAGCATTTTATCTTTCAGGCAATACATTTTGTCTCGAAAAACCAGAATGGAGAAAGAATCTGTGAAGTGTCCCTTAATTTATTGAGCTGTCTGTTTGACTTGGATATAATAGAAAGGAAACGTGACATGGACAAGCTCTCTGAAATGGAGAAGAAATCAGAAGATGAGCAATCAACGACTACTGACAGTGGGAAACCTGAGATAACAGCCTTTGATCTAGCCATGGACAGTGTTATCAGGTCAGTTTTGTCTTATATTGTTTAAACTTTTAACCTGGCTCCAATGTTATTTAGGAATTATCTATGTTCAAACTCAGATCTCTGGTATTTGATTGGTCAAAACCCAACAAAAAATGTGCACTGACCTATGAAAATCATGAGATCCAAGACTGATCTCAGAAAAAGTTAACTCAGATCCTAGGTATTTGATTGGTCAGAACTCAACAAAAAATGTACACTGACCAATGAAAATCATGAGATCAGAGACTGATATCAGAAAAAGTTTTATAACCCTGATGCTTGTTAAATTTGTGCAATGGATTTTCCCTGGTTTGAATTTCGAGCAGTCCATTTTAAAATTAATGGATTTCAAGATTAAAATACAAAAAATGAGCTACTAACAGTATAAAGCTTTATAATACATGCAGTCTGACCAGGCACCATACTAGTGGGAAAAGGCTAAAAAAAATAGAATATTAAGGGTTAAAGGTACCAGACTCGCTATAAATATATAGAAAACACATAATACACACTATTTTAAAAAGATACATTGGAGAGATTGTGTAAAAGACTGAAGAAAAACAATAACTTTATGATTTTTAAATTTTCTCATACATTATGAATACACATATTGATATCTCTAAAAAAATAAAGATAAGTTTCAAATTGTCCTGTTAAAATCTACTTACTAATTCAGTTCATATTAGATCGCATACATCTTTAACAATGATTATTTACACTTTTAAGAACAAACTTAAGATAAGACAATATAAATTGACATTAAATTTTAGTCTTACTGAAATCAATCAGCTTATAATGATTATTTATTTTTTTTTCTTTTTCATCATAAGTAATCATATTTTATAAATGTCTGAATTTACTGAATGTGCAGCAATACATCATATGACCATATTGTCTTGGATAACTTATAAAAAAAAGCACACTTCATCCACTCAGAACACTTGTAACTATTTCAGTATATATAAGTCACTTGGATGCCCTCACGGTTGTGGTGATGGATTAAGAGGTCGCCATGGAGATCTACTCCGACAGAAAGGTCACAACTGCTTACAGCGACTACAGAAGTTAAATCCTCCATTATTTAGTAGTTATATGAAGGAAACCGTGAAATCCAGGCCAATACAAGAGGTGGTGGATTTCTTCCATGCTTTCCTTGGATTTTGTGTTGATCCAGCATACCTTTTACAACCTCAACAAAGTAAGTTTTACATGTCTGATATGTTACCAGTCTTACCTGAATGATTACAAAAAGATCTGAAAGAATTTTTTAGATAAGTTCAAATCATATGTAATCAAAGAAGTTCAAATTATATGTAATCAAAGAAGTTCAAATTGTATGTAATTAAAGAAGTTCAAATTATATGTAATCAAAGAAGTTCAAATTGTATGTAATCAAAGAAGTTCAAATTATATGTAATCAAAGAAGTTCAAATTGTATGTAATCAAAGAAGTTCAAATTATATGTAATCAAAGAAGTTCAAATTGTATGTAATCAAAGAAGTTCAAATTATATGTAATCAAAGAAGTTCAAATTATATGTAATCAAAGAAGTTCAAATTATATGTAATCAAAGAAGATCAAATTGTATGTAATCAAAGTTCAAATTATATGTAATCAAAGAAGTTCAAATTGTATGTAATCAAAGAAGTTCAAATTGTATGTAATCAAAGAAGTTCAAATTGTATGTAATCAAAGAAGTTCAAATTATATGTAATCAAAGAAGTTCAAATTGTATGTAATCAAAGAAGTTCATATTATACTGTAACAGTGCATCAAATTGGTATTTCAAAAAGTTCTAAAAATTATAAGATAAGTTCAAATTATATGCAATAAAAAAGTTAAAATTTTGCTTTATACGTAGTCCAAAGTAAGACATCTGTTTGAAATTTTCCCTGTAGGATTTATATTTATAAACATTTGCTTTGGTTTTGTTGAGAACAAGTGAAGATATGTGGTGAAAATAATCATACTTAATAAAATAAAGGTTCATTTAAGGAAATCAGTAGTTAAGTATTGCCCAGGCAAATGACTTAGACATTTTTCTCAGGTCTCACAAGTTAAGTCATCAATGCAGTATGTCTTTTCAGGGAAATTACAAACTGATGTGACTAGTTTTGTCAAAATTTTCTTTTGATCATTTGCCTTAATTTTCTTCTACTTTTAAAAATGGCAAGTCTTGAATGTGTGCTTGATTGGGAAGTGTTAAAAGGACTTAATTCCATGTGACACTGTGCCATTATTGAAAATAACTTTTATTTGTTGGTATCAGTCTGATCAAGTATGATCAAGTGCATAAAACATAGCTATCTATAACAAATAAGACAGAAATTGTAAAATCTTGGCAGCATAATTATACATGTATGTAGACAGTAAATTGTAGAAACTTGAGACTCTCAAACATCAGCATCTTGTTATACCGGCAGTAAACCTTCAGAGAAAATCAATATCAAGAAAACCATTTCCAATATCTGTGACTTTATGTACAAGTTGTACAACTTCTCTAGATATTCAGGAATTACTGCTGTGACAGTGGTGTTTTACATGAAGTCAACAAAATTATAGGGTTAAATGTTCAATCAATGAATAAAGTTGAAAGTGTGGTGATTTTATTTAAGAGAATTATCTGGCCATATGTTACATCTAGTGTGAGCTGTTTACAGTGTTATCTCATAAAATATACCTTTAAAGCAGCATGCCTCATGTTAATTTTCATAAAAATTTTGAAAATGTATTTAAAAGTAAAATAATGTGAGGTGAACAAATAAAGTAATTTACACATTGCAATCGGCACTTACAGTCCATGAAAATTACAAAAAAAAAGGTCAACACATGTAAAAACAGCCCTTACTGCATTAGTAACAAAGTAGAAATATGTTGAAAGCAGTCTTTAACCACATATAACAGTCATGTAAAATATCACTTGGATCTTGAATGTTTTTACCTTTCTTAAAAATTTTTTAATGCATTTTTCACTATATTGATTTTCTTGAAATATTTTGGCTCATCTGGAGGCGTGCAGCTTTAACATTTATACAATTTGACTAGACCCTTTACTGTTGCCTGCCTTATTTAATATAAGTATCCATTAGTTTACCTTGGGATGGATGGTTCAAAATTCAAAGTAGGACATTTCACTTATGCAAATTCAGTGATAAAAGGTTTAGAACTTGCATTTAAGAAATACCAGTATTTACTTCCCTTTGGTTGCTTGCTAAAGTTAAAAATCAGTGTTGTAAAAAATGGCAAACTAACGTCAATCGAAAAAAATATAAAAACATAGATGTTAAAATGCCCTGTGTTTTAAGACATGAAAATGCTTTTTTAAGACAGATATACTTTATTTCCTTCAATGTACATGAAAAGCTGAGATATTATTACTTAAAGATGCTTTATAAAGACTTGTAGATGCTATTTTAAGACAATTATGGTGAAGCTATTTTAAGACATGAAGATGCTATTTTAAGGCATTAAGATGCTATTTTAAAACATGAAGAATTTATTTTAAGACAGTCATGGTGATGCTATTTTAAGACTTGAAGATACTTTTTTAAGACATAAAGATGCTATTTTAAGACATGAAGATGCTATGTTAAGACATGAAGATGCTATTTTAAGACATGAAGATGCTATTTTCAGCTTCAAAGAAAACTAGCACAGTATCTGGAACAGCTAGCCCCACTTCACAAGCTTCAGGTTACTGGAATTTCAAGCTTTTCTAAAATATTCAACCATTTTCAGTTTATTCTTGTTATAGCATGTAAACTGTATATTCATCATTTGTTACAGATTTGGTTTCATTTGTTACATAAATGTTACCTCTGTTATTAATTATTCTCAACCATAATACCAGAAAAAAATGTTTCCCTTGTTATCCCCCACCCCAATGTTACAGAAACCATTTATCACTAAAATTGCCCATCCCTGAAATCACAAGGACAGTTTTAAATTCCACAAAGCATCCTGGAAATTTTAGTGTACGTCAAAACATCAGATCAAATTTCATACAAATGAAATATTGCTATCCATTAGTCAAAATCTATAGATCCTGAATATTTCATTTTGAATTTGAAGTAACAGTAATTACAAGTACCGTTTCAGTAATGAACATTAGTTTCAACAAAAATGTTGAAAATATAAATCTGTACCTTCTTGTTTGGTTGATATCTGTTTTTTACTTATATCTTTCCTTTAAGATTGTGCTCACTTTATTTAAATGATATATGTGTAAGGATATAGTATAAAGTGCAAACGACTTTCCCAGCTATTGTTACCTTATGAAAGATATGTTGAAGGTCTCTCCTTTGTTTATGGGTTAAAAATTATTATGTCTTTTTTCCCCCAATCTTTCTTCAGCATGCAGCTAGTGATTTAATTCTGTCTCACTTCTTTTTTCTCCTATCACCCACAATGGTTTTATTTGTGTTAATTTTTACATTTATTGAAGGGAAACTGCTCATTAATTGGAGTTGTATAAAAAGTTATCATTGATGTTAACAAATATGAAATAGAGAAAAACAGAATCCCTAAAATATGTCAAAAATGACAAAATTGAAAATGTTGCTGGCTCGGTTTGATTGAGCCTAAAATTTAACCTAGAATTAAAGATAGGAGTGGCCCAGTGGACAACGTGTCTGGCTCTTAACCAAGGTGTATTAGGTTTGAGCCCTTCAGAGGTTACAAACATATTTCCTCATAGGTCATCTGTAATGGTTCCAGGAGACTACCCTTAAAGTTGTTCAAGGAAGCTTTTAGTTTTCACTATAAGCAAGCTATGATTGTTTCATGGCCACCTTTGTGATGCAGCAACGACTTTAAAATTTTTTAATAGTGGCAATGACCCTTGTGACTGGCTGCCCAACGCAGTACTGTCTGTAATTTGTTTGTTTCTGTTATATTAATTTCATTAGCATGGAATTAATTTATTCATTTGCAAAATAAGAATACAAAATAATGTAGCTATTAAGTATGAATGGCTGTTCTATGTTTACATGTTGAACTAATCAAGTGTTAGCTGTGTTGCACGATACAAAATAGCTCTCTGTTCTATAGAGTTCCATATTTATATTTCATATTTATGTGTTGTTCTTATTTGTAGGAAATTTCTAAACGGGTTATGGCTGGTGATAGTATTATAACTTACATTAGTTTCTTAAATTGTTTTAAATCAATTTTGGATTTTGTAAATTTATGATTAAATTTATGATTAAATAACTTGATGGCAATTCGGCACTTGCATTTCTAGAATTTTTTTTACTGAAAATCATTTACTCTAAACTTAATTATGATAAAAATGATAGATAAATGACAAAAATAACAGATATATGACAATTGTGTATTTTTGAGTATATCAGGATTGATTTATATGGTAGAATTTTCTTTCAACAATTCCTTCTTCTTATTTAGCTTAATATCTAAATGAAAAATTGAAACCAATGAAATAGCATTGCTTAATGTATGAACATTGTATGCTTCAAATGAGTTATAGGTCTCTTGTTTTCTTTAAGTAGGTGACAGACAAGTATTTTTTCTACATGGCTACAAATGAACTTAGTTCATGTATCTAGCATTTTCTGATATTTAGGTCACAGAAAGTCGGCATCACAAGAAGCTCTGGTCAACAGTGGTTTTGCCAACAACTTTGGTCACAGTATTGGAGGGGTGGGGTATAGGGGCGTGGAGGGTGTGCTCATGTCTAACAGTATGAAGACTTTCATCTCTAGATGTGTAGAAAGTACTAAGGAATTATACAACAGTGATAATATTGTAAGTATACATCATTGTATAACTCTTCTTGTGCTGGCAACAACTAATATTACCATTGTGACAAATGTAGACCAAGACAAACCAGCACATCCATGCCATCTGATCATGGTCTGCACTGTTTACTGTTTGCTATTAATTAATACGGTTCAGAACTGTTCACTATTTATTGGAGAAGATATTTAAGCAGCTGGATAGCTCAGTCAGTAGAGCCGCGTTACGGTATTTCGAGGGTCCCGAGTTCGAGTCCTGTTTAGGCTGCACATTTTTCTCCCCCTGTGACACTTATTAAAACATTTCTCTGTTTTTAAATTTCTGTAAAAGTGATGAATGGTTTAGTCCAGATTGAAAACTGGACAAGCCCATTTAAGGTATTTAATGTGGTAAGGATAAAATAAAGATAATAAGTACTTTGCCTTTTGTATGCCTATCATCAGTTTGCAGTTTTCTTGTTATAATACTGTATCTGCCTGGGGACAACTTTAATCTGCCTTAACAATATTAAACACCTTTATTTAAGCTAGAGTTGGAACATGCATTTCAATTTAAATAATATTTTCAACTTTAATATCAAATATTTGTTACTAAAGAAGATTTTTAGTGTCATCTTTAAAAAGGTGGGAAAATTACTAGATTCCAGATTTCATGTTTCACTTATTTGAATGTATTACTGGAATGCATTCCTAAATAAAAGATTCCTTCAAACCTTTCCTTAGATGTAGATGTTTGGAAATTATTATATTTATTGCTTCTGTATGTCATATTTTGTCTTTGCTCTGCACTCTGATATTATATTGGTGAGCTGTGGCCTTGGTGTCTAACTTAAAACCAAGAGATCAAGGGTTTGACCTCTACTGAGGTCATATTATAGCACTTCAGGAAGCAGACTAGAGAGTGGTTAAAATAAATCCTGCAGTTTTCATTACAATTGGGCTGATATAGATATATCTAATCTATACTAGTATGGGAATTGTATGTAAAACATTATTATACTGTCTATTTATAGAGTATGTTCTGCGATGTCCGCCAGTTGATTACATATTTCAAAGAGATCCATGGTGGGACATTCAGAAGAGTTGCACTCAGTGGCCTTCTAGACTCGTACTTTGATGTGAAAAATAGAGCAGAACAGGTGAAGGAGGTGGCCACTCCCATGTCTCATCCTATAAGGTGAGTTTTTATAGGTGCTCCAGCTAAAAATTTCAGGCATTTTCTTTGCTTGTAGTGTTATACTGTCATCAATTGAAATTCTTGCTATCAAAGTATAAAGTTTTAATGTTTTCCTGAAATATTTATATTGTTTTCATAATTTTTCTTAATTAACAAGGCCTATACTTATCTTAATTTAAGATTACTGCATACTTTTTTTAAATGGATCATTGGTTACAGGGCAAAAGGCATTATAAACAAGTTAATTGGTCTGCTAAACCATCTGTTTTCAATTTGATCAATATCTCCTTTGTTGATAAAGGTAAATTGTGGTTAACAGTGAAAGGATTTATCAGATTTTCTTTTATTGTTGAACTGCTGTAAGTTTCATCAAGAGTTGCTGGCCTTTGCTTCAATCTATTTTTAGACTTTTACACCTTTTATCCATTTTAGTGTAATTTCTTTAAATGTATGTTTTCATGGTTTATTTATAGTTAACAGTTTAATTTCTTATATTGATAATTTTTTTCTTAATTCGTTTTATAAATTATTATGAAGACTTCAGTTAGTGTTTAATTATCCTTTATGAAGAAAGGAACAACTTAAAGTTATTGTAATATTTGAGCAAATGAAAAGCTATTTTGATTTTGATATAAAACCCAGAATTTAGGCTGTAATAAGCATACTTACCTGGTACAGGGAAAACCATGATCACCAAGGTGGTTTCCCCAGAAAGAGGCCCTTCCATTGCACTTCGGTTGGGCTGACGTCTGCGATAGCCCCAAATGTGGGTTACTCGGGTACGCAATTTATTTGTGTGGGGACTGCGTTCGCGCTATCCCTGAACTGTAAACTCATCTCTTAATTAATTTTGAATGCCTTTATGAAGTTGCATTGCAAGCATTAATCTTTACAGATTTAGAAATTCATCATTGACTAATCATGCTTTGACTCTGAAACTCCTGGTAAATGACATTGAATTTAAGTATATCAAAATAGTTAATACTTAAACTGAGCAGCCAGACTTGCAGAGTCTGGTCAAACTGTGTGGATGGACAAGTTGGCCCTGCTCTAACTAGTGACATAGGCCTGTCGTAATTTTTGATATTAGCCAACAAATTATTCAAAGTGTGTGTGTTTTTTTTATACATTTTATAGTCGGACAACATCCGTGACATCAGAAAGTGGGGATGAAAGAGATGCTCAGAAAGCAGCCACTCTCAGTAGCATAGCAACAGAACTGAAGGATCATGGGAAATCTAGAAAATCTATATTCAGAAAGAAACTGAAAAAGGTATGCCGGCAAAAGTTTAAAATGAATTAAATAGTAGAAAAAGGTTACAACTTGAAGTTTAAAAAACTAATTACCAGAAGATAATATTTTCTGTTATGAATTTATAGGTAAGGTTTTTCTAGGTTTTGTTGGGGTTTTTTGTTGCTTTTTTTTTACAATATTTTATGAATAAATTACAAAGTGTATTAATTTCTTTATGTCATATTGTTTGGAAAAAACAAGAGTATTTGTTCATAAAATATCTTAATATTCATTTTAAAAGAAATTGAGCATTCTTACACTGATTAAATATTATTTTAGTTACAAAAAAATAATAACATTTTTGACCAGTTCTGTATCAAAAACAGAGTTTTAAGTAATTTTATTTTTATGTTCTACTTTCGTTAAAAAATAATGGTTAAAATATTGTTCCAGCAACTGATGTTACAACAGCAGTACGCTGCCAGTGACTCGGAGATCATAGATGACCTTGTATTTAAAGGGAGCCCAAGGGCTAGTTTGTCAGCTACAGAGGATGAGACTCCCTCTGGCACTGTCACACCTCGAAGAAAATTCAGCAAATTTCATATTGGTATGTAGCTATTATATGTCAGTTTGTTTTTATCTCCTATCATTGATACATTATCATTTATTATCAGCATTTGAGAAAGAAAAATCCTTATTTAATTTAGAAACATAAATATATAATTCTGATTTTGTTCTTCAATTTGTGGCTGAGTGGTTAAAGGATTGCTGACTGTGTGGGTTCAAACCCTGTCAGGGTCAGGTTGTTGTGTCCATGAGCAAGAAACTTTACATTCATTGCTTAGTACTGGCTGGTTCCAGCAACAGATTAGAGAGTGTTTCAATCATCTCATAGCTTCCAACACAATCAAAATAGAATAGATTTGTATAAACTAACTAATTTTCTATAAAGGTCGTTTCAAGCAAGTCCTTTGTATTTGATCTAGATTTGTGAAATATGTGTAGAACTTTAATTCCAGAAATCAACTTGATTGCATTTTGAATTGATATGAATTTAGTATGATAATAAAGTTGTGACTTTTGTCACTCACCAAAATATTTTAAAGACATCCCTTTTCAAACTTCATGTTTTCAGTCAGTCTATTTGATTAGTAGTAGAATTTTTCAGTATCTTATAAATAAAGTAATATGATTTAATAAACATTGATATGCAGATGAAGAAGAGTTTGAATGTTTGGTATATATATTCACATGAAGGTTGGAGGAAACCAAAATCTGACCATGAAGAGGACAGCCCTAGTGACCAGAGTCCTGCAGATGTCAGTAAAAGTGACAGTAGTTTCCAGCGACATGCTAGGCGAGGAAAGATGTCATTTAAAACAGCTAGCCAGGCAACTCTCACCTTCCTCAGTGCCAGGAGAAGAATTGAAGGTGGACTGAAGAGCCTTGGGAAGAAAGCTCACAAAGCAGATCAAGCTAAAGGTAATAGTTACACATACTGAAGTATTTAACATTTTACAATTTATTCACTTCTCAATTTGTATATTTAGTATAATAATTAACTTGGGTTGGGTTTGATGATGAAAATGTTAATTATGATAAATTTAGATAATGTTTTCACCTAATAAGACAACTTCATTGATTATACTTGTTATGAAGGACTTGCATGTTTCTTAGACTTTAAACTGACTAGTTAGATAATTTCAAGTAAGAACCAGAGCTATGCTTGCATTTTTGTTTACAGTTATCCTGTACCTTACTAACTTACCTGTATATTTTGGAAATATAATTGCCATACTGATTAAGGCTGTTTGTCAAGTATTGTTTATGCTTTGTATAAGTCACTGGCCAGAGTATTTAGATATACTTTAGGTAAAAAATGTGATCTTTTGCTAATTGTAATCTTACATATATTAGAAGATTTTGATTATTTCAAATAAATCACAAAGCCATACTTCAGGTAAAATAACATGATCTGTTTGCTGATAGTATTCTTGCATCTATATCTGACCATCATGATTATTTCAGAAATAAGAAATATTTCCATACTATAAGTGAAACAACATGATTTGTCAGGGCTGGCAAAATCTGATTTTGACTTGTCTGTTTTTATCTGAAACTTGTCCATATAAAATTTATATAGTAAATTATTGAAGATTTCCACTTGTCTGTACAAACTGTCGGACAACCTGGGCAATATGGACAATTGATTTTGCCATCCATGATTGTAATCTTGTGTATGTCAGACCAGCGTGATGATTTTATTTCTGTGTATGTCTGACCAGTGTGATTATTTCAGATATAAAACAGAGTCACACTGATCTTACTGAAGATACAGATGATGTTGGTCTAGTTATGAGAGAAAAGAGATTGGTAGATAGATTTATCATCAAATCTGGAATGTTACGCTTCAATTTTCTCCTAGAATGTTGTCATCCTGGCACTGTGCCAGATCCCCAGCTAGTTGCTGCCATGATACAACTTGTAAGTAATATAATTATGGTCTATTTTCCACTAATTGATTATTTGTGAGGTATGACCGTGGTCATGTGTTTACATAATGTAAGGTTTATAAATCTGCAATGCTATAATATAATATACTTTGGGAGCAGTAGTCCAGTGGTAGGACGCGCGCTTAGGGTTCAAGAGGTCCCGGGTTCGAACCCCACCAGGGGCACTGCTAATTTCCTTGAGCAAGAAATTTACCTGTGATTGCTTCACTTCACCCAGGTGTAAATGGGTACCTGCGAGGGTGGTATAATTCCGTTGCGCCAATGTGTCGGCTGCACTAAGCGGAGTTAAAAGACTCCCCAGGGAGATTGATAGATAGATACCAGTAGCCCGATGACCAGGGGTAATAGCTGTTAAGTCGGTGAACGTGCGTAAGCATGAAACTTAGACTATAAAATGCAATTACTTTTATAAGAAATTTTAACTGTATGTCCCATTTTATTGGAACACTATTCTTGTGTAGTCTTATTTCTAATTGATACTTAATAAAGTTTGAGAAATGGCAGAAATAATTTTAAAAAATGTAGAGCATGAAAATAATTTGATAAATATGTATATTTATTTAAACTTGTTCCTGACAATTTCAATATAGGATGCCCCAGTGTCTGCTCGAGCTACACTATTGTTAGAATGTGCCCACTTTGTACATCGGTGTAACCATGGTGACTGGCCTAACTGGATGCGTCTTAACCTACCAAGTTTCCGACACTCCTCATCTGCCCTCCATTCCCGAGGCCAACCCTCGGGATACAGGAGGACACTGAATCTACAGAAGGCTGCAGGAAGACTCTTCTATGCTTGGGCAGAGGTAAAAATCATACATAATAATTTTGTTTCTGTGGTTAATTTTTCCTGACAGTGTAACACATACATGCTGCAAACTCAATATCTATATCAGATTTAGATTAAGTCTTTTTTGCAGAGTATTTATTGTCCACAACCATTTTGTGTAGTTCAAATAAAGAACTTGGCAAGAGCTTTTCTAAGATTTCATTTTAACAGGTACAATATTTAGGTACTCTTTGTCATGAATAGGGCAACATCACCTATGAAATTGTATGAATGACTACGTGATAATATGATTTGTGTATTCCAGAACTTGGGTTATCAGTTAGAGTATATAATGGCGAAGGAACAGCAGTCTCAGCTTAGTCATGTAGAGGTAGTCCATGATGAAAAAAAGAGAAGACAACTCCGTATTGAAGATGATATTGAAGATTTTCTGGATGAAAGTATGTTTTGTTTTGATAATTTTCATACTGATTGAAACTGCTTTCTGGTGACATATTTTAAACTATAGTTGCTAAGAAGATCTGGAGCTATTACAAGAAAATGTAATAAATTATGTAGTTTATGTATACTTTGACTTTCTAATGGAAAAAAAAATGTTTGTTTTCCATGATTTGTGTAAAAATTTATACATAATGGAGAGATTGCCAAGTGGTTAATATGTTTGCCCCTCAACCATGGGGATCATGGGTTTGAGACCTACTGAGGTCACATCATGATTCTTTATAAATTATCATATGGTACCATTACTGGTTAGTTCCAGGAAGTGGACTTAAGAGTGATTTCACCTAAGATCTGTAAGCTTTCGAAACATTCTAACGTATATAAATGTTTTTTCCAACTAAATTATACTATTATCAGAGATAATTACTTGCCGGAAAAGAAAAATTGAAAGAAAAGTTTGTTTGAATATTAATCAAGCAAAGTTTCACTGTAAATCAATTCTAGCAAATGTGAAATGATAGATAAGAGACATTACCCTACATTATTTATGTTTTTACAGATACAGTTAATGCCAATGGTAACAATTGCCCATACGCTTTGAAGATGTTAGCCTGCCTTGTACTTGAAGAGATCACAACATTCTTGCGTGAGACATTTCAGTACCTACCACGTAAGAAGCACAAGCTGGAGCCTGGCTGGGACAAACATCTGACATCTCGTAGATACAGCAGTATTATCTCTAGTCCAGGTCACTCTGATAAAAGTTCAGAGTCTAATGTTGGTGATGTTCCTCAACCTTCTCCTGGTAAGTGCAACTGGATTTTATTTTTGTATAATATTTTTAGGAGGAAAGGCATCATGGGATAAGCAGGAAACCGCTGTTACATAATTCATTAAATGAACAAGTAACCGATGCTGTGATGAAACAAGGATTATGTTACCAATATAAATAAATTATAATTTATGTCATATTTTATAGAAAAAGAATGATTCTGTAGAAAGAACAGTGATGAGATATTTCTGATCTAGGAGCCTTAATGCCTTACTATGTTATATTATTCCATATGAGACAGTAATTAATCTTCCTTACCAACGGTTAGTAGTTTTACCAAAGTACCCATTTCAGCCCAATAAACAAGGCCTAGTGTGCCCGCATTAAACAAATTTTATTTGAAAAAATCCACTTCCAGGTGGAGCTATGGGTAGCCCTGGGGACAGAAAAATCAGTTTTGCAGTACAGATGGAGAGGTCTGACTCCCTGAATAGCAGTCAAACATCACTGTCCATAGATCCTATGGCATCTCCACATACACCAGTGGAGGAAAGAAAAGGTATTTACGAGTTATAGAGTAAGATTTAATACTTAATTAGCATAGAACTTGCAAAGTTGAGAGGCGGGATTGATTCAGAAATCATGTAGGATTAAAGAAGTTAGCCACTTGCAGAGAAATTGGTAATTACTGGTTTGTTATCCAGGAAAACTTATATGTATAAACCTACAAGATATGACCAAAAGTGTTTAAATTTGCATAAAAACCTGAAAAAATTCATTTGACATAAATTTGAATAGATTTAGAACATGCTCCACTGTTATATTTTATATTGTGTAGACTTAATCTAAAGCAAATAATTTTTGTATTTTTTGTAGGTCGAAGGCTTGCACAAGGCCGCCAAAAATTGTTGAAGCATATACGGCGTGGGTCAACACATAACACTAGTTTCAGCAACAAAAACAGAAGTTTTCGTCTCCGCAGACAGGAAGGTGGAAGTAAGTTTATGTTCAACTTTAATTTTCAGTTATAAAATAGAATACTTAAAATCAGTATATAATATTAGTAAATCAAATCAACTAAAATTAAAGCTGTAACATTAAGTGAGACAATGTCATGTTTAGTTGGGTTCAAGCTTTATTTGATTTTTGCTACTAAACTTATATGGAACTAAAGATTTTCGAATAGTTTTATGTACATACCTTGGAGTAAATCATTTCAAAGGGTTGAAGGTAAGTAATATCAATTTTAAGATAAATAGGTAAGGATCAGGAAAGGATGTATCTGATTGTATGAAGTTGAAAGATTTAATAGTTGCTGTGCTTTCATAGGACTGATTTTGCAATATTTTCAGGTATTAAACTCTATGGTAGTATAAAGTCACGTAAAGTAAGTAGTCAGTCAATACACTCTGACAGTAAGTTTATGGATGGTGAGCCGAGTTGTGAGGATCTGGAATCAATGACAATATTTAATGAGGAGGCACAAGAGGCCGCCACTGAAGACCAGCAAGAGATCGAGGATGAACGCATGTTTCAAAATATGCCCTGGATCAAGGTAAGATATCATTTTTATAAAAACCAGCACTTTTAAGTTCTTGTGCCCCTAAATATTGCACAAATGCATATGAGGCCGGCAAGTATCACCACCAATAAATATAACCTTCTCAGTATTAAATATAAATTGATGTGTTGATATGAAAGGATATACTTTTGTTTATTATCACTGGTGGTTTATAACTAAACAATTTGATTAGACTCCTCAATTGCTTCAACTTTGTATTGGAAATGAAAATTTTTGAATCAATCGTAAATTTTCAAAATCTTCATAGATGTAATTTCAGAAACTATTTTTTGGCAATTAGAAACTTCATGGACTTCAATACATTTATTGTTATTCTTAGTTCATTGAGGTACACTTTTCACTGAGTTCAGCATTTTTGCTTTGAACTCTTAAAGCAGATTTCTTATCAAATGATCCGAGGCTGAAAGTATTAACTAAATTTCATTAAAAATAAAATCATTATATCAATGTTTTCTCAAATATCACTGTTATGTATTCATTTCCCTTCAGGTTGTGATACAGTTGTCAAATATGTCCAACTTTATATGTCCCCACCAAGGATATTGTCACCCAGACTGCTATGAAAGACAGAGAAGAAGTTGTTCCCGGCTTGTGACAGCTGTGAAGAAAATATATGAGTCAACAGAAGAGGAACCGGTCAAAGAATCTGAGAAGAAACTTGACCAGAGGAGAGATATGATGAAAGAAAAATTTAAAAGAAGGGTAACAGTTTGTTTTAATAGCAGAATTCATCTCTCATAAGGGACAAGGGATGATGGATCTCGTTGAGAAGAAGTGCAGTGCAAAAGAATTTGTACTCTGCACTTCATGATTTTTGAGTTATTGCCCTTTGTAAATTTTCATACTTAATAGGCTTGTCCAGAACATAACTTGGTCACTGTAAGTTTGATTGACTCTAAATTTGGTATGCAAGCTTTTTTCATTGACCTGAAGTGCAGTGCACAGGAATACATCATAGAGTCCTCCATTTGATCTGTCGGTGTAAAACTTCCATGGTATTTTTATATTTGATAATATAACAGTTTTATTAATCCTGATGTAACATTGTTACAATCAGTTGAAATGCCAGTAAAGTAAAGGTAAATGTACATAGAGCAGTGCTTATAAATAACCTATATTTTAGAAGAAAATGCCTAACCTACAGCTATACTGTTGACAAGGCGACACATCCGACTTGCGGAGTTCTAGTTTTAACATGTGTCTTATAATTAATGATTTTACTGATTAGAATAAAAATCAAATGGTAAATGATGTGTTTGCATTTGTTGACAGTAATATCTAGTAATATGTATATTTACAAATGTTCATTAGCCAAGTTTTCTTCTTTTTTCAGGAGTCAATATTCCAGCAAGCATCACCAATCAAAAGAAGGGAGAGCACTCCACTGCTTGAGAAGATAAAGACAGATGTTTCCATAGTGAAACAGAAATTGACTAACTGGAAGAAACCAGAAAAGCCCAAGGAGAAGAAAGAAGACTCGCCCATGGTTAAATATATCATATCACAGGTAACACAATATTTCTATTTTTAAATGTCATTGTTATTTCTATGGTTACAATTTGTATCTGGGGGAAATTTCAGAAGTTCATCCTTATTTTTAGCTCACCTGTCACAAAGTGACAGGGTGAGCTTTTGTGGTCGCTTTTCGTCCGGCGTCCGGCCGTCTGTCCGTAAACTTTTACTTTAAATGACATCTCCTCATAAACCACTAAGCCAATTTCATCCAAACTTCACAGGAATGTTCCTTTGGTGGTCACCTTTAAAAATTGTTCAAAGAATTTAATTCCATGCAGAACTCTGGTTGCCATGGCAACCGAAAGAAAAAACTTTAAATATCTTCTTTTAAAAAACCCTAAGAGCTAGAGCTTAGATATTTGGCATGAAACATCTTCTAGTGAGTGTCTACAAAGATGGTCAAATAAAATCCCTTGGGTCAAAATTGGCCCCGCTCCAGGGGGTCATTGATTTTCCTATATGCATATAGTAAAAACTTAAAAAATCTTCTTTTAAAGAACCCAAAGAGCTAGAGCTAAGATATTTAGCATGAAACATCTTCTAATGAGTGTCTACCAAGTTTGTTCAAATAAAAGCCCTGGGGTCAAAATTGCCCCCCCCCCCCAGGGGGTCATTGATTTTCCCTATATGCATATAGTAAAAAATTTAAAAAATCTTCTTTTGTAAAAGAACTCCAAAAGACGTAGAGCTAAGATTTTAGCATGAAACATTTTAATGGGTGCTTACCAAGTTTGTTCAATAAAACCCCGGGGTCAAAATTGACCCCGCCCCAGGGGGTCATTGATTTTCCCCTATATGCATATAGTAAAACCTTAAAAAATCTTCTTTTAAAGAAGTTCAAAGCAGCTAGAGCTAAGATTTTCAGCATTGAAACATCTTCTAATTTGGTGTTTACAAGTTTACGTTCAATGAAAAAAGCCCTAGGGTCAAAATATAGGCCCCGCCCCAGGGGGTCATTGATTTTATAACTTATATGTGTTTTGCAAAAACTTAAAAAATCTTCTTTGAAAAAAACCAAATGCTAGATTTTTAGTTTTAAGCATAAACATTTTCTAGGAGGTCTACAAAGTTTGTTCAAATAAAAGCCCGGGGGTCAAAACTGGCCCCCCCCAGGGGTGTCTTTTTTTTTAACTATATGTTATAGTAAAAACTTTAAAAAATCTTTTTTAAAAAAACCCCAATGAGTAGATTAGAGTTTACATGAAACATCTTCTTAGGGGTATTTTTTCCCAAAAGTTTTTTTTCAAAAAAAACCCCTTTGGGGGTTAAAAATTTGGGCCCCCTGGCGGGGGGGGGGAAAGAAGGGGGTGGGGGCGGGGGCCTTATAAAGGAGCGCCCTCGGGGCCCCACATGGCCCTTTTTAATTTTTTTAAAGGGTTTTTAAAATACAATTTGGGTTTTTTTCATGCAAAAAATGTTGTCAACATTTGATTATGATAAATTTGTCTATTTCAAATGTTTCAAAAAAGAGTGTGCATGTGCATAATATTTAAACTAGTTTCTCACAATAATAATACTAAAGTTTCTTTAATGTATTTGTGAGACTGAGTCAACGTTTTGATACAAAGTATAATTTGAAGATAAGATGTCTTATAATTATAAACTGGTTATGGTATGTATCTTTCTGTTTTAAAAAGTCCGCTTTTTGTAAAAGTTTTTATATTTTCTAGGCAAAAATTGACAATGTCCATTGATTTTTCTAACTAAAGCTGCCCCAAATATTAGCTGGGGATAATTTTCCCTTGACATATCCCTTTTGCCTGGGAACTGATATGGGAGATGACCAGGAAGGTCTCTGCTGCGGGAAAAGACATTTTATTGTTACTAATGAATTAAATTTGTTACTAAAAGGAAAAGATGTTTAATTTGAAAAGTTAAAATTTTATTTTGGATTAATAGTTTGTAAAACCAGCAAATGAACATATTAGATAATAATTCCTTCAGATGTAATTATGGGTAAGAAATGGAATTAGTAATTAATTGATTTTTTTTCTTGAATCATATTACGCACAGACAAGCCCTTAAGACTTCATTTTAAAATTCCTATCTTGATTGGGTATTATATTTGTTTTAATACCTATCTTGTCGCTTGATTGGGTATTATATTTGTCTAAATAGGTTACTATACTATGGATTTTGTAAAAATATTTGCTCTTTTGTAATCTATGGCAGAAGTTTAATTTTTGCTGAGACTTTCAATCTTTGTGTATTAAGATCTGTTGTATTTACACATTTTTTAGAAGATAGTTTAGTTTTGATTATGATATGTATTAATTGTTAAATCGTTAACATTTACAGCCACAATGTTCCTGATAGCATCAGTAAAGGCATCAGAGAAAGCCCAGACTATGGTGTTTAAAGAGCTGCAACATGAAGATCCAGTTATCAGAACAAATGCTGTACTGAGGTATGTTATCTCTGTGTACAGAACTGGTCACCAATTTTCTCTTAAATGTTGTATTATTATTTTCTGTAATATTATTTTCAGTCTTCAAATTTATAAAGATATTTTCTTTGCGTTCATGATGCAATAGAATCTTTGGTAAAAATTGGGGTAAATACTCTTTATTTTAAGCACAGGAATCTGATTTTGTTTCAATGATTTTTCTTCAATTACAATTATAATCACATACCACATGATCCCATACAACATACCTATTTGCAATTTCTTTTATGCATATAAGAATGTGACATGTGTGACAATACCAGGTTTCTGTGATGTGAGCAGAGTTATTTTTGCCCTGATCAATTTAAATTTACCAGTAATAAGACCAGAGGCATCCAGTCAAATGATCATGTTTTTCAAAAGACAACCTTTGAATTGTGTCAATTTTTATTCTCCTTGTTTTGTAAACAAGTTTTCTATATGTAAGAAATGCAGGAAATATGTTTTTTTGTTAATTTTTCAATTAAATCAACTATAAATGTTAAGTATTCCTTGAAGTGTAATTGGACAATAATTTTGTATATATTTATGTGCAATATATTTGTTTAGATTTGGTATACTATGGAAGTTCAGGCATCAAGTCTGGCCAAGAATGGAGGAAGGAGCCCAGCTTCATTTTAAGGTATGAACATTAGGTTTCTCCCTCATGTTCAGACTCTGTCAAACCGAGTCTGCAATTTTTATTTATAACAACCATCTAAACTCAATTGTTCATTACAACAAGAGCATAACCTGTAAATAAAAACAAGAAAAAAGTCTGTAGACCTAGACTTACACATTGTGGTCACACTATTACTTGTTATGATGTAGACTTTTTGATTATATTTAAACACTGTGAGATACGTAGCACGAGTTAAATGCAGGATTTTTCATTTTTTTAGAATATTTAATGACTTTCTATCTTTCAGGTTCTACCACCAGGAATAGATTTCACCTTGCCATCTCCAACTATAGGTCTGCCAAACCAGGTACCAGTAGATCCGCCCTGGATACCACACTTTAAGGCTAAGATAGAGGAGGTTACTGTAAACCAAGACCAAACAGTAAGTGGATACATTTATATGTATCAGTATCTGTTTTTATTTAGAATGTCTGTAAATGATAATGTTATCATTTTTTGTCAAAATTTAATGACAATTTAAGGTATCGTTATTATCAGTTTTTCCTTTGATTTTTTTTGTCAAACTTATTGAGCATAAAATAAATAGTTGTTCATATCATTGACATTTGATTGTATGATGTTTTACCACCAGTCAAATTTATGTTCATTTAGATATGAAATCCTTAACTGAGTAGTAAAGGTTGCTGACTTCAAATCTTTTGCCCCTTATTGCTGTCTGTTTGAATCTTATCTTGGACTTTGGATTCCTTCATGTTAGGAAGTTATCCAGCTAGCTAGTAGAAAGTCAGTGGTTCTACTCAAGTGCCAGCTTGTGCCTGAAATAATGTATGAAGGGGCACCTGAGGTTTTCTCCACAAGTAAATCTAGAAAGTCACCATATGACATTTATTGTTGGTGTCCGTATAAAAAAAAACACATAAAAAATAAAAAACTGTTATTTTACATTGCTTTTTTTAAAGACTGTATCTACATGTACATGTATATGAGATTTTGAAATAGTTTTTTGAGATATCATATTTCTAGTACAATATTTTAAAAAATATGTTATTTTTATAATTTCTAGAAATCCCTTGTAACTGCCACTACGACCAGACGTAAACAGCAACAGGAAATGATAAGGAGAGCTCTTCAGCGTGAGGAGGAGAGAAAGAGGATTGGACGAGAGACGTTTCCAATGACAACAGTATCTGTTACACAGCTAGCAGCTCTAGAGCCGTCTTTACATCATGTAGGGGAAGACCATGAGGAAGGTAAAAAACACAACTTGGAAATGGTTGAAAAAATAAAACAAATAAAATTTGAAAATTAGATGATTATGATGTAACCTTAAAATTATCAGGCAAATGGGAAGTTTTTCCTTTTCGTAGATTTGTTGGATTTAAAAAAAAAAACAATTGAAATGTGATTTCTGTAAGTCTAAATAATATTTTAGTAAAGGAAATCTATATACATTCCATGGAAAATTTGCCAATATTTGTTAATATTTCAGGTAAATAAATGTTCAAGTGTTAATTTTAATTTTTTCTCTATTTGTACCACACTGAAATTTTTTCTAATGAAATAATGTCAAGAGATAGGTTGTTGGGTTAGTTATTCAAACTGTGTGTAGAAATAATCTAGTTTAAATGACTTGTGAACATTTCAGTAGGACAGTATTTAATTGAACATTTACTACTCAAGACAGGAAGAAAATGAAATGAGCCACGTCACGACAAAACCAACATATTTGGGTTTGCAACCAGCATGGATCCAGACCAGCCTGCGCATCCGCACAGTCTGATCAGGATCCATGCTGTTCGCTATCAGTTTCACTACTTGTTATAGAGTTTGTAAGCAAACAGCATGGATCCTGATTAGACTGCGCGGATGCGCAGGCTGGTCTTGATCCATGCTGGTCGCAAACCCATTATGTTGGTTTTGTCGTGACACGGCTCAAATGTTGCTTGAAAAATAAGTTGACTTGCATTTAGTTACATTGTAACTTTTATGCAGATATTTTGTTGATACAATTGTATGTTTATTTGGTGTTGCTAATATCTGTTTCTTTCTGTATATAGCATTTTGGTGACCTGTAGTCTATTTATAGCATATTGATGACCTTGACATTGTCATGACCCTTTGACCTTTGATTTTAGCTGCATGCCTAGAAGCTGAGTGCTTGCATGGATCCCTGTAATAAAAAAATGGTATTTAGTTTAGCATTATCTTTACTTGAAATTTTCTATTCATTTGCTTTGCTTAATAGTTTTATTCATTTATATAATAATTACTAAATACATTGTTTTCATGTTAAAAAATAAAAGTGATTGAATTGTAAGGCTTTCACTTAGGAAATAGAGTGAATTTAGTTTAAATGCTTAATCTTTTTTTTTGTATCAAAAAGAATTTAAATAATTCACATTTTAAGTGAATTTCAAGTGCATTTTTCCCCCACACTTAGATGATAAAGCATGCTTTGGTATTTCATTTCAAGTTAAGGAATTGGTGGTGGTTTTCTGCTTTTTATTTCCCGAAAAAAAAATCGGGGAAGGAAAATATTGTTACTGAAAGAAGCAAACACATGTTATGAAATTTATTTCTAAGTTGCATATAACTTATTTTTCATATGTAATGTTTATTTTCTGTTTAATATTTAAAGGCGTTAGTTATTAAAAATTATTTTGAAAAATGGAACCAGTAAAAGTAAAAATGTACCAGTATTATAAAGCCAGAACTGGCTCTTTACTGCGAGTGCTCAATATATATCAAACTGATACTGAGGTTCCTGAGCACAAACACAAAAAAATGAATTATGTAAAGTTCTGTAATCAAAGCAGGACATGAACATTACACAAATTCAATTAGGTAATTGTACAACCAAGGGATGAAAAAATTTCTAACGCACAAAAATTGAAATATTATTTGATGTAGGTTAATTGAAGCTTTTATACTTGTTTTGATAGTATGCTTTGTACTGCAGATGGATTTTGTTTAATTTTTTGTTCATTTTCTTTTTCATATTGAAGCAAGTGTTTTATTAAGTTGCACCTGAGTTTATTGCGAAAATGGCACCCTATCTAATGTATATTTAAAAATACTTGTTTTTATCATAGCATATGTGCCTTCTGTATATGTTCTTGTCTTGTTACATCAATGTGTCTATATGTTGATGGAGTTAAGTTTTTATTCTTGAAGGACAATGATTTAAAGTTAGTTAAAGCAGTGTAACATTTTAGAAGTTGTTTGAAAAATTTCGTTAGTTTAAGCTGAACACAAATGGTTAGTAACATTTACAGCAACTCCAGATGAGTTGGAAACTTTACCGATATTCAAAAATAAGAAAAACAAATTAAACACATGTGCAGTACAATTTTATGAAAGGCACATTTTTTTACACTGAATTTCATCAAGTGCTCATTTAATCATTTTTGGGAGAATAATAGTCCTATTTTATAATATATAATATTTATTTTTTTACATAAGTAATATTGAGGTCAAACTTTTTTTTTCTTTTATTTTTTTTGACGAAATCCCGTCACTTGTTATACCCTTCATCATATGATTTTTGGGTTAAGACACATAAATTCTCACTTATCTGTCTGTCCATCTGCAAGTTATCTAAATTTTAATATGTAATATGGTCATATTTCATAGAAATGTTTGAGCAAGTGTGTTGTTATGATGCTGTATGAGGTTATATTTTAAACTCAACACAGCTGCAACTGTTGACTTAACTTCAATTTTTTGCTTGAGTTGGGAAGAGTCACTTTAATTAAGAGTTATAGCCCTTGTCTATTACACCCATCACAGTATATGATCCTGTTTTTGTTTTATTAAGGTTTTTTTTGTTGAGCTTTATAACTAAATATTAGAATGTTTCTGGTCAAAGTTTATTATATTATACTCTATGTTAACTTATTATAGTCAGAAAATATTTTCATAGTATTTTATTCTTAACCCACATATTTATTTAAAGGTTAATACATTGTTCAGTTCCAGTTATGTAGATTTGTTTGATTTACATAGATTTATATAGAACTTTCTTTCACTGTTTGATAAGAACTCCTGAAGAATTGCTGTGATCAGAAAGATGGTTTTAGGATATTAAAATACCATTCTTGATAAACCATGTTAACATTTTAAGTTTAAATAAGTCTTGAATCTACCATTCAAATAATATCGCAATAGATTTACCATATTAGTAATTCTTAAAATAGTTAATATAATTTTGATATATGAAAATAGATAATGATGTTGATTCAAGTCCTGAACAGTGTTCCATGTTTAAACATTTACAAATATATAAAGAATTTTTAGATAAAATTCTTTGCTGGAAAATGGAAAAGTGTAGGTTTACTGTTGGAATATTGTTTTGATAGAACAGATGTGCAAAATGATTTTAATAGGACATCATGTTAAGCCCTTAATCTGCTGGAACCAAAAGTGATTAGTTGCCACCAGTATAAAGCCAGACCAGCCTGAACATCTATGAAGTGTGACAAGGCTCTATACTATTGGTTTGCATGATATGAATTTTCATCTTGATACTCCCAGCATTGATAATGGACAGTCCTGAATATGAAAGTTGGACAAGTCCATTTAAGAAATTCATCAGGTTTAGGGGCCAAAATCAATTGTTGGACAGTGTTTTAAATCATGCATTACTATTGACTACTGTCACTACTGTCATATTTGTAGGCCATTAATGATATATCATCAACAAGCCTCTTCTGGTGGAATGAATTTTTTTAGAAATAAAAAGGAAATAAAGTTTGTTTAAATATCATTTTCAAGGATAAACATTTTTGCATGGTATCATATGTATATTGATATATGTATATAACATTATATGTAGACACACAAGCATGCATGTGTACTTCTACTCTAGCTTTGCAAGAGGAGATAAATTTGGCAGCACGTCGCGTGTCTTTCGCCCCCATGAATCGTAACAATGTGACTAGCCGAAGCATGTCGTGGAGGACAAGCAGTATGCATTGGGCACGACTAACAACCTTGCAAGGTACTCCAGTGTATCAAACACATATTTCAGATATATATACATTTTTTTTTTCAAAACAAAAATGTTTGTGGCACAGAGATTTGGTTTCGCCTTAATGTTTATGGATTTCCAGAAAAAGCAGCAGTGTTTTATAATCAACTTCTGTATGTGGCAGTTTTCAATGAAGATTTATTTTGTATCATGTTGTTTGAACTAAACATTAAACAATATTGTTCTATATTTGATATATTTTGTATTCTATGTTAATATAACATTAAGTTTAGGGATATAGCAGGGTGCTAAGCCTTGCAGTCATATTGTAAAAGGGTATGAAAATATTAAAAATGCTAGTTTTAAGCACTCTTTTTTAATTTAGTAGTGTTAATTTTTTTTCTGATCAATAAAATAGACAATTTTTTATACCCATTCAGGAAGGTGTAGAAAAATTACATTTTTAATCAGGTGTTCAATTTGTGTGTTGGTTTGTGTTTGCATCTGTATGTCCATTTGAATTTTTGTTTGTGTTCCAAATGCATATGTCCATTCCAGAACTTCCATTTAAAATTTATTTTGAAAACTATTTTGGATGCCCTCATCACAGAATTCTGAGGCCCACATGAAGGGTCAGGAAACTGAATGTGACAGCCTCGTTAAATAAAGGCGTAACTTACATACTTACTATAGCCTTTTCATATAATGTGTATTTCAGGTTTGAAAATTCAATATACATTGTCGGCTTGTAGAAAGTGTTATTACAATTTTTTCCATTATTGTCATTTTTTTGTAACTTATTAAGAGGTAGATGCCTCTATGTGCTTAAAGCTAGCATTTTTTGTTTTCCATCAACATCCATTCAAAGATATTAAGATTGATGAGGTAACAAATATTGAAACAATAACTTATTTACCAATATTAAATGTACAATCTGCTCGCAGGTTGTTTTTCTTTTTTGATCTATCAGATAACAATTAAAACATCAATGTGGTATGTTCAACGTATTTGTCCTTGTTTTCATACTGTCAGAATGTCCTGTCTAGTTCTTACATAGAACCTGTGTCATTTGCCTTGTATATTATAGGTAAATTATTGTAAACTTTTTCAATATTTTTTTTTTTTGCAGCTTGTCGACGATGGCTTGTACAAGTACTGCTTGAAATTTCTCGTGCAACTTTTTCCATCTTTTTTCCTTTTTTCCCATGATCCTCATATACCTGAACCTATTTTACCATATGTACATGCATTCTTTTAGCACCCTGCTATATTGGACTAACCTATACATTGTAACTGCATCTGTAAATAAAACCATTTTTTTATCTGTACCTTTTTAATCTTATCTGTATATATGGAGTGTGACTATATTTTTCCGGAAAAACAAAAATATTGATAATCCCCTCCTATGTTATCCTTCTTTAACAAATCTCTATCAAAGTACCATAAGAAAAAATGTGAAAGAGAAAAAGGTTTTGTATTCACATTATATTGTACTGAACTTTTCTTTAACACTGTGTACATGTAAACCAAAAATAACATGATCTTTGGTCACATTATTATGCAAAGTTATGTTGCAGCGTAATGTGTGGGAAATGACTGAAACAGTTTTATGTATTTGAAGGGAATGTTTTTATTGAAAATACAAAATGGTCAAAGTAAATCTGTGTGATTTATGTGAATACATTGTCTTAAATCTACTGTTAGGGCATCCTATATTATCTTTGTGTATGACCGAATTAGATGATATGTAATATAAACGTCTAATTTGCATTTAGTATATAGTATATATGATGTACATGTGTCATTAGGATAATCCAGTGACTGTTTTACTATAGTGCTTATTAACTAACTCATTTTAACGTATGTCCTTCATATCACCATGGTTACTCGAGTTCTATCTCAGGACTGATGTGAATTTTTAAAGATATGTCAAATCTTGGGAACTGTTAAATCTTTGCTTAAAGAGCAGTCTCTAAGAAAGGGAAACATGATTCTTTAATTGCAGATGGCCTCTGAGAAATGGGTAGATTGTTGTATTTTGATTTACAACTGCTTAGATGTAAGAAGAAAATGTTGGATTTTAGTGAAATATTTTTCATTGGGAAGGTGGACTTGAATACATGTGTGATTGTAGTCTAGAAGGATTTCTCACAATTTGTCCAGTCCAACTGAATTTTCTTTTTTGTTGTTGTTGATTTGGGTCTGTTGAAAATTATTTTCATTAGGTTTACTTGGTGTCAATGACATTAATCTCCTTGCATATACTTAATCTACCATTGTAATGTACCATTATTCATAAAGGTTTAAAGACTTTTCGATTTGATGGGGAGGGGCTTACATTGAAGTAACTGAATCAAAACTTGTATATGAAATATATTTATTGATTTTATATGCACTGTATTGTGTACAAATGTTTATATTTGAGTACTATGTGTTCAGGTGATGAGGAGAGACAAGAACACGGTCATCATGTATTGCTGGCTCAGACATTTTTCCCATCATCCATCTGTGCTGTTGTGTTACCCATAATACATCTGCTAGAAGATGGAGAAGTCAGTGACGATGGTGTAGCTGGTGAGTGTGAATCGTTAATGCACACCTGGCAACCTGATTAAAGTGACAGGAAAAATCTGATTTTGTTTTATTTTAACAATTTCTTAACTTGTATGATATCTATAAATTCTGTAAAAATGTCAGTTGCCCATACAGCCTCTGGGATAACCTTGGCAATAATGTCAATTTATTTTGCCGCTCTTGACACATAATTCATGGTCAAATTTTTAGTGACCTTTTTAGATAGGAAAGTGTCAAGCCATTATCTATGGAAGTGGTCAATAGATGACCACTAAATACGAGATCAAAATCATTACTACTTTGTCTTGTGCTTTTGCCAACTTTCAACTTCTGGGTTTTACATCACCATGAAAGATAAACTCAATTTTATTGCACATTGGTTACCTAGGTCACCATCTTGGAGTCATGTATTGATAAGCAATTTAAATTAAATTGGAAATGATAACTAGAATGAATCCTGGAAATATGAAATAGTTCTACATTCAACAAATTATCTGGTCTGAAATGTATTGATTAATACCGACAGACAAATTAATGATATGTTTGCTTAGTTACAGAGTTAACAAAATGTAGGTGAGAAGTTTTGTACACCAAATCTATGTTAAGATATATTTTAACAAGTAAATTTACAAAGAATTAGAAGAGATTTAATGGACACATGGTGAAGGAAGATTGAATATTTTCAGTATGTGAGGTGGCAGAGAAGATTATCTGGAATTGCCTGGTGGAAGACCCTGTCTTATTTATGAGACATTTCCTTGAGAAACTTACACACAAAGATAAACATGTAAGATAGTTCACTTCACAATTTTATTGTTTTTGTTGGGACTAATAAAGGTTACATGTAGTGGTATACTACTAATTTTATCATACTGCTAGGATGTTTTATTTTATTTTAAAGTTAATGCAATTACAAAGTCATCTAATGTTAATGTATTATATCATGTAAAAGATAACTGAGCAACAGAAAATTGTGGAGAATAAATCATGCAAAAATACGAAAAAGCCTGATTTGAAAGATATATATTTTATAGGAGGAGTTACTGTTCCTGTTACGTAAATTGGTGATGTTTTACAGAGAATTACCCTCACAGATGGCACACTCTCTGTTCAATTACTTGGTAAGATTTGATCTTATTCTATTATTAGAAGAATGGCAGCATAATATTAGGGTATAAAGCTATATCTCGTGAAATATTTTGTATAAAATTTATGAACAGTAATATCCTAAATGATAGATTCTCAAAAGATTTGTTTTATACAGAATTTATTTTACTTTGATTGTGTAGGAAGCTATTGGCTTATAGACACACTTTCGAATCCGTTACTGGAACCAACCAGTACTGAGCAAAGAGTAAAGTTTCCTGCTCAAGGAATCAAAGACTTTACCCTGACAGGGTTTGAACCCATACGGCTAGGGATCATTAGATTACTAGTCCGATGCATTAACCACTTGGCCATGCCGCCACAAAAGATTTGTTACGTAGAATGTCTCTGTTATTTAACACACAAGTATTGTAGAGAATTAAATTTTCTGGGACAAAAGATTATGCTGCTATTTTAAGTAGGGTTTATACCAAAACATCTGCAGTTGTTTCTTTATTCAAAATTTTACCATTTCATGCTTAATGTTGAATTCTGTTTAAGCTGGTGCTAGAGGCTGTGAACAGTAGTTTACACTTTCTAGTACCTTTCATGAACAGACTCAAACTAAGCCTGTATCATTTTTAATTTGCCGTTTTGGATATTATTTAGGAATAATAGCATATTCTTTGCGAAAAGTAAAACAAAAATTTTGTTTACTGTATACAGCAGATATATAGCTTTAAACACTTTAATAATAATAATATTGAACAGACTTTTCAAGCATTTAAAGCTGTATTTGGTTGTCTGCTTTATGCTACAAATGATATCAATGTACAGTTACTTTAAAGAATAATGTTTGTAACTTCACATGAATGCATGTTACATACACACTTGACAATTGCTAAAACTGACATTAATAAATGAAAATAGAATATTTTGTAAGGAACGTTTTATCTTTTTAATTTAGAATATCCATTTTTATTACTCAAACACCAACACTCCTTGTTTTCTTGGGGAAAGAGACCATGAGAATGTGAATCAATGTGATAGTATTCGTTTGAACTTACTGCAACCGAGTGTATTTGACAAGTTAAAGATTTACATCCCTAAAGTAACAGATGTAACTGACATATAAAATTAAAACATTTGAATTCAAAATTTTACTCAAAGATACATAACAACATTGAAATTTCAGATTATATTTATATTTGAATTCATAATTTTACTCTCTAAAACATTATGATTATTAAATTTCAGGTTAGAGATGTGTTTGAATTAATACTTTAACTCTTAAAAACATATCTACAGATGAGCCACGTCACGACAAAACCAACATAATGGGTTTGCGACCAGCATGGATCCAGACCAGCCTGCGCATCCACACAGTCTGATCAGGATCCATACTGTCCGCTATCAGTTTCTCTTCTTGTTATAGGGTTTGTAAGCGAACAGCATGGTTCCTGATCAGACTGCGTGGATGCGCAGGCTGGTCTGGGTCCATGCTGGTCGCAAACGCATTATGTTGGTTTTGTCATGACGCGGCTCATATTTATTTAATTTTCAGATTGGGTATGTGATGTTTTATGTAAGAACACCACAGACATATGGACAGGAAGCTATTGCTGGTGCTCTGGCATTACTGTGGCAGGTTTGTTTGGCTGTGATTATATCATCATGTATAATTTTCACAACTATACAATTCATTTTTATAAATATGAATTTAAAGTTTGAGCGATAGAGTGATTGTTGTTTTGTCCTCAAGTCTTATTTGTTCTGTTAACAGTATTGCTCTGCTTAAACAAGGGAGTATTTGACAACTTTAAAAAGTGTTTGATATTTTTGTAGTATTATGTAAATGGTGAAAAACAGACATCAATGAATGTATACAGAAAATACATTATTTTTGAGTTTTTGTTTTAATGTTCATTTCATTTGATGTAAAATTTAAATTAAGATGTGTGAAATTAGGGAAAGCTTTTGTTTATTGTTAACAAACATTAGAATTTTATATGTTATTGTAAATGAATTTATTGTGTTCAACAGATAGTTCCAAGTGTTGAGGGCATTTACTTCAAAGATCTTAAACAGACATTGAAGAAGGAACAGTGTGATGTATGTGTTGGTTTGTTGTTAACATTTCTTTGAACATAGTATTGTGTATCTTTGCTTATTATCTGGTGATTTTAAACACATAATATGTATCATGGAAAAACAAAATCTCTTCTGTGATATAGTTGACAAACATGTTTATAAATTGGTGTTCAAAGACAGATATAAGTAAAATTGTTTATCAGTTTGTTGACCAATATCTGAAGAAATGTTCCATCATAAAATGATGGAAATTTTATAAATCTTTTTGACATTATTATTAAAGCCAGTTGTAAGTCGGCAATAACATTTGAGATAAAGCAGCTATTTCTTTAGTTTTGACTTCATAACCATAAAAATCATTTTGAAAATTGTGTATAAATGTTTAAGAATGAAAAATATTATAAACACATACTCTAAGAGGAAGATGAACTTAACACTTGCAGTATACACAAAATAACTATGTATTAAACTTAATGTTGACGGTCTGTTGTCACTTGTGTATTTTTTGGCTTGACAATTTAAAGAATAGGGAAAGCTGTTTTAGTCATCCAGGCATCTGCCTTGCTGTCACACTTTGGTTAAGTTTTTGCATGCAGGTTGTTTTCTTCAAAACCACTGTGTGGAATAGATTAAACATCAATTTTGACATAATTATGGCCATTTTTGAACTTAAAAAATTCTGTTTTATCCAAGCTAAACATGGAGAATAGTGTCACATGTTGCTCTAATGACCGATCGTTTTATTTACATTTCAGACTTACGACCTTTATCAAAATAATACATTTCTAGTAAAGTTTTATTGTTCTAGTAGAAATGATTATTAGTAGAATGACATGATGAAAAAACTTCACTAGATCTAGCATTGTTATATTTTGATACAGGTTGTAATGGTTGTAAGGCCAATATATAAATAGAAAAAAGACATAAAAAAAAACTAGTGACAATATAGTTTGTATTTAACAATTTATAATCCTGACAGATTACATCAGTTATAAATATGGACAGTTATGATATATATTTATTCATTACAGCCAAACATTATGATATCAGCTAATGTTCCTAGTGCCAAGAAGATAATTGTACATGGACCAGATCTTACCAGTATACCTTCACAATTCCCTGTTCATGAGGTAACTTGTAGTTCATGTCTTATTATAGGTAGTAGAAGTCTTAGGTGATACATGTATACAATTTCCATGTAGTCGCCATGTTGTCAAGTACAGGTATAATATTTAGTACCCTTTTTTCTGGCTCTTTGTTCGAATTTGTTTCAATTAGAGAATGTTTCATTCAAAGGTAGACATTAGAAGGGCCTCGTTTCCAGCAAGTGTCCATTATTAGATTACATGAATAATAATATAGTTATAGCCCTTTTATACTTATATCCACAAACACTTGTCATGCAATATTGTATGACACATTTGTTTTGTTTGTCTTTGTTTACCTTATTCAGTGTTTTAATCTGGCTGTATTTTGCCCATACATTTTTTTCAGCATTAACGCTTAGACTTTCTCATGAAAAGTTATCGGGCTTATTTTTTGGGCAGGTGTCACTGTTAATTCATCTCTTTGTTAAATAATGCTATCAATATTTTATGAAAGTTGGTATAATTTTATGATTTTAAACTACAGGATACACAGTTCAATGTAATTCATCAGGACAGTTTAGATTTCTTCAACATACCAGAGGATGAACAGAATTCTTACTTTCTTGTTGATACCAAGTCTAGTAAGTTAAATCATTCAAAGGAGAAAATTGTTTAAAGTTTTAAAAAAAAATCTGTCATACAGTGACTTGAAGAAAACTCATTTTATTGCAAATCTATGATAAAATCCTATCTTATTTTAAGGAATTATAAAATTATTCGAAACATCTTAGACTCAGGTAAAGATTGACTATTGGTTAGTTTCAAAAGACAAGTCACAGTTCTAGGGCAAGGGGCATTATCCTGAAAGAAACATTTTTAGTCATGCCCCTTTTTAACTTGGACTATTTGTAAAAATATGGATATTGCTAGAAAAATTGGAAAACTATCAAATATTTACTCATTCTTTCCATATTTGCTGATAGGTAAGATTTGTAGGACAAGGGACATAACTAAGTGATCAGTACTTTTAGAGTTATGCCCATTTTCATATGCATAATTGCAAGAAATATATATTGCATGAATGTTTTTGTGAAAGTGATATATTTTCTTATTTTTCAGATCAAATCCACAACATGAACTCCTATGTGCGAGACTTTTACTTCTTCCGACGTAACTTTTATCCCCAGCTAAGCCTTGTACACATGGACCCTGAAGAGGCTCAGGAGAATCTACAGAAACAAGCTCTGCTTCTGAAGTTTGGGGAGATAGGGAAAGTCTTGTTTACAGTATCAGTGTTACAGAGTACAAGCTCTCACCAGGTTAGTAATAAGGATTTGGAGTTTGTTAACCTTAAAGTCACGAAGAAGGTGTATATTATTTAATTTGTTAGTACCTAAGAAAATTATCCTATTTAAAGAGATGGTTCATAGAGAGAAATTAAGATTTTGTAAACAAATTTTAAAAAAAGTTGACAAAGGTTGCTTCTATAAAAGGACAGTATAGTAGTGATCCAGTGATTGATGATCATTAGTAATGTCTTAAAAATTTATAATCTACACCATGAATACAATGACTGTTATTTTGAAACATTATTGACTTTGTGCATAGATATTTGAACAAATACTGTTTTATCTCTGTGGAAACAGTGTGTAACATGTACTGGTACATGTATTACTTAAGAATATACTCATTGCTTGAGTTTGAGAGTCATATATGTTAAGATCTTCATCTCTGTTAAAGAGGGAAATTATACTGACCATGAAGGATTCTGAGACAGGTAGTATATGTGTGACAAGTTTATTTACAATAAAAACTAGCCACTTTCAACTGTGATAGTGGTTTTTTCCCACCACATCAGCACATAAGATAATTCTCTATATTAGGCACATAATGTTGTTGGTGTATTTAACTGTGGTGTTGTGACTTTGAACACATGGATTTACTTAGCTGGATTCTGTTTACTACCTATACACTATAGCACACACATCTTTATTTCTCACAATGAATCATTTTCTGGAATGATATACAAAACCTCTGTGATTCCAAATTTATAGTGAAGAGTCGTACCAGCAAATTAAAAAAATTAAAACAGCACTTTAACATTTCACTTTGATTGTCCACTTCCTGCTATGTCCTCTTATTTTATAATTCTACCTTGCTTTGCTTGGAACCTCTTAATTGACAGTTTATGCCAAAAACTGAATTTCAAGTTATGTAAAAAAAAATTGTCCTGCGTATGGAATTATATGTATTGATGAATATTACTGTATTATTAAAATAACTAGGTGATAAATAGAGACAAATTGACCTTAGGAAAATAGACTGCATATGGAAATCCTGGAGTTGCAGGCCAGTCATATGATCTCCAATTAGAAAAACTAAACGTGCAAAAATTGTTTTTATTTGTGAGACCATTTGTCAAAAGAGCTTATGTATTTGTAAATGCAGGTTCGAGTTTCATATATAACATAATTATATCATATATACTCTTTTATTTACAAGTTTAAAAGTTGTACTTACTGCGCATTGAATATATACATGTACAGAATTTGAATAATTGTATTGATAACCTTTTTTTTCTGTGTTGATATAGCTTCAGAACCACATAAGTTTTCTACATGAAGAGTTAAACAAGTTGCCATCATTCCCCAGGAAGGCTCTAGATGCCGAGTTCAGTCTTTATGATGGTAGTCTGGGAAAGGTATCTTTTTATTTATGCATACATTTTCAGCACTAGTATAATATGCCCTTGGAAATTGTTCAGTTAACTAGTACAATATTTTATACTTAAGACTAATGTATATAATCTATACAAAGCAGGGCTCGAATTTAACACTCGCAAACTCGTAAAATGCTAGTTGAAAAATGATTTTGCGAGTTAGATTTATGACTACTCGCAATTTTTTGCGAGTTGGAGAAAAAAAGGAATACGCTCGTCAGGAAAATTTGAAATATAAATGGGGCGTAATATTCGCAGGTAGCCGAGTTATAAACTATGCGCGCACTTGCTGTCTGGTTTACATTTTCTATACCTTAACCTCGCTTAAAAAAGTACCCAAATTTAAACCAGTCCAAATGTCATTTTGTCCATGTAAATCAAGCGTGATCGGAATAAAATGTCTAAACTTAAAATAACAAACTTCTTCCCACTTACTGAAGCAAATGTGTCTTCCGATAACAACACTCTGAGTACAGAAGATGATTCACAGTCTATCAAAAGAAAGACAATCAGACCTTCAGTTAAAACGGTTAAAAAAGGGGAGAAAGAACTGCACGTCAGTCTTACTTACGAACTTGATGACGATGGAAATGTTGCCAAAATATTTTGTGCCGATTTTTGTTCGCATAATCCAGACCAGACATCGGCGGTATGGCGACAATATTGCATTATTGTTTTTACATGTAGATTGACATTTGATAAGAATCCCTGTCCCCTAAATCAAGTTTTTGAGTAGAAAGTTACGTTGCTGATTCGTACCCCGGGCAGTTTGAACTCGTCCAAATAAATTACAATTTTAATTTTGTTATTCTATATATCCAGCAACAACTTTGTCTTCAAGCACATCAAATAATTAAATTTACACGAAAGTTTAAACAATTTTGGAATTAAAAAATCATTGTCGTAAAAAGTGCTAGTTGAATTCAGTTTTGCTAGTTAAAAATTTGTTCACTAGCAAAAAATTGCTAGTGGCCAAAAAAGTTAAATTCGAGCCCTGCAAAGATAAGACTAATGTATATAATCTATACAAAGATAAGACTAATGTATATAATCTATACAAAGATAAGACTAATGTATATAATCTATACAAAGATAAGACTAATGTATATAATCTATACAAAGATAAGACTAATGTATATAATCTATACAAAGATAAGACTAATGTATATAATCTATACAAAGATAAGACTAATGTATATAATCTATACAAAGATAAGACTCATGTATATAATCTATACAAAGATAAGACTCATGTATATAATCTATACAAAGATAAGACTCATGTATATAATCTATACAAAGATAAGACTAATGTATATAATCTATACAAAGATAAGACTCATGTATATAATCTATACAAAGATAAGACTCATGTATATAATCTATACAAAGATAAGACTCATGTATATAATCTATACAAAGATAAGACTCATGTATATAATCTATACAAAGATAAGACAAATAATATACAAAGATAAGACTAATGTATATAATCTATACAAAGATAAGACTCATGTATATAATCTATACAAAGATAAGACTCATGTATATAATCTATACAAAGATAAGACTCATGTATATAATCTATACAAAGATAAGACTCATGTATATAATCTATACAAAGATAAGACTCATGTATATAATCTATACAAAGATAAGACTCATGTATATAATCTATACAAAGATAAGACTCATGTATATAATCTATACAAAGATAAGACTCATGTATATAATCTATACAAAGATAAGACTCATGTATATAATCTATACAAAGATAAGACTCATGTATATAATCTAAACAAAGATAAGACTCATGTATATAATCTATACAAAGATAAGACTCATGTATATAATCTATACAAAGATAAGACTCATGTATATAATCTATACAAAGATAAGACTCATGTATATAATCTATACAAAGATAAGACTCATGTATATAATCTATACAAAGATAAGACTCATGTATATAATCTATACAAAGATAAGACTCATGTATATAATCTATACAAAGATAAGACTAATGTATATAATCTATACAAAGATAAGACTAATGTATATAATCTATACAAAGATAAGACTAATGTATATAATCTATACAAAGATAAGACTAATGTATATAATCTATACAAAGATAAGACTCATGTATATAATCTATACAAAGATAAGACTAATGTATATAATCTATACAAAGATAAGACTCATGTATATAATCTATACAAAGATAAGACTCATGTATATAATCTATACAAAGATAAGACTCATGTATATAATCTATACAAAGATAAGACTAATGTATATAATCTATACAAAGATAAGACTAATGTATATAATCTATACAAAGATAAGACTCATGTATATAATCTATACAAAGATAAGACTAATGTATATAATCTATACAAAGATAAGACTAATGTATATAATCTATACAAAGATAAGACTCATGTATATAATCTATACAAAGATAAGACTAATGTATATAATCTATACAACGATTAATATAGCTTGTACTAAACACTATAAAGTGATGGTTATTATTTGTAGCATCTGACATTGAAATTGAATATTAGCAGAAATAATGATGAACTTTGTTGATCAAAGTTTTAAAGTTGTATTGTGGCCTTTTCATATGATTTACTTATGGCAAACATTTAATTAAAACTGAAATGCTTATTTGCTAATGATAATATGTTTCTGAAAAATATTGTACAATTTTCTTGATGGTTACTTCAACATACTTTATATATTTACACGATCTTTTATAGGTAGTAAATATAATTATAGAATGAAGAGATTGAGATTTCTTACATGTTTATAATTTAAGTTTTTGTTCATTTAAGTTGGAAAAAATATGTCTTTAAATATAAGTGACATTGAAGCATTATTTTGTTTGCAGGAACTGTTTGGATTAGATACTCTTCACAAATTCTCTTGGGTGAAGGTAGGTAACACAGTAAAACATAAAACACAATTATCTGTTTGAAAATTTCCACTTTCTTTGTAATGTAGCTTATAGAGCAGAATGGGAATTGCAAAGGAAATTAATACTACATATAGTAACATCTAAACTGTCATCTGACGTAGTAAAAGCAATCACAAATATTTGTGAAATAGTATTTGCAGAAATACCGGGATGTAGGGCTAGGAATTTTAGAAAGTCTGGCGCATCTGTGTCTGAGTGGTTAATGTCGTTGACTTCAAAATGATTACCCGTCACTAATGTGAGTTCTCTAGATATTTTCATATAAGAAAGCTACCCAGTTAGCTTACAGAGCATTTGCGGTTTTATTCTGGTGCCCATTCGTGCCTGAAATCATGCATGGAAGAGCACCCTAGGTCTTCATTAATCAGTAAAGCTTTTTTGATTGGTAATTCCATGTTTTGTTATTTATTTTTTTGTACAAGGAAACGAGTTTCATAATGCTTTCTTTATGTAAGTATGATGTTATTATACAGTTATGTTTTGACTATAATATTACCAGGGTTGTCATTGTAGTAGGGCATAATGTAAAATGTGCAATAACAGCTCATGCCTTGCATGACTTTATCTGTTAGTTCATGATTTCTTTTTTGTTAATATATCCATGCAAGTGTAGATTGTGTGCAAGAATAAAGAATTCTTCACCAATTTTATATTTCAGTTGATGGATAAAATGTTCTCATTAATGAATAGCACATTCAACTGGTCGCAGGATCTATGTTTGTTCCTGAATGTGATTAATGGATGTATAATATTACATTGTGAAGACTCGGCCCTGCTCAGATACAGTCTAGCCACACTTCTCAACACATGTATACACTTCAAACAAATATTCTCAATGAATGGGTAAATATTTTCATTTTCTTGCATATTTTAATGTAGATTTTTAAAAATGTAAACATTGTGTGATATTTTATCTGTAGTAGGAGAGAAAAGATAATGATGTGAAGGTATATGTTGACCTCTAATTATATGTTGTCATGATAACTATTTGTGGTGTGCACTTGTTGTCGGACAGGTTTCATGTTTAGAACCACATATACATGTTCAGACAATATTGAGTGTTAAGATTATCAATGTGATATTCAGAATGTTATCTCTCCAATTAAAATATAATATTTTATTAGATATGAAAAGCATAATCAGTATTATCATATTTTTTGAAATTTTAGATGGGGGAATATAGTTTCCATTTAGTTATACAGGTACTTCTTAATAATTCCCACAGCTACCTTTATTTATTGACTGGTATCTTAGAAATTTGGTGTATTAGTATCTTCCATGGACATCTACAGTCAGATAGGGATTTATGGTGATTGGCTCAAGGTCACTGAACCTAATAATAGATGTTCCTACTTTCCTAATTGGTAGTGCCATGCTTTAAATTTATCAAGTTAAACTGACAAAAAAAAATCACAATTGATACCAATTTTCTTGTCTATATTTATGTGGCCATTAATGAGAGGTGGTATTTACTCATCACAGATTTGACTGTATTTACATTGCTGATGTTTGATATTTACAGATTCCTGAATGTGGTTCCTACTTTACTGAGGACATATAGTAACCACCAACCAAACCCTGTCATCTGTAAGGCTATACAGTTTGTGTGTAAACAATTCTACATACTACATAGGAAACCATTTATGTTACAGGTATTGTTTATATAAGACTTTGTTCGGAAATGAGACTTACAGTCTGCAACCTTTTCAGTTTTACTGTTTTGGATGTTCTTTAGGAATTTCATTATTCTCTATATTGAAAAAAGTAAACTAAGATTATATTTGTTGACCAAGATCTACCCATGTGCCCATGTGTTTATGGTTGTTTCTTAATAATTTTATTTTTGGATTATATTCATTTGACAAAGATAAGGATTTCATTTATATATCTTCTTTTTAAAAAAAAAAATGAAAAACTTAAGCCTTTTCTTATTTTAACTAAGTTAAATTAGATTTGATACCACATGTTTTCCTGGCAGCATATCTACTTAAATACATACATAGATTTTGAACAAATTTTCATAAAAATTATACATTATAATAGTAATATGATTTGTATATTTAATCAGTGTATGAAAGTTTAACTTTGTTTTGCAGTTGTTTGGCAGTACTGCACCAATATTGGATTTCCAGTCTTCATCAACTGGTTTAAAAGACACAACCAAGGTTTGTTATGTCTTGTTATATTCTTCTGATCTGAATAGGGACTTTATTGAAAGTCAAAAGAACTTTGTAAAGTATAAATGATTCTCAAATTTTGATATTTTATTTAGGCAGAACCAGTGCCATCCTTTTATGTTAAAATGAATGTCAGTGGCTTAATACATTAAGGACTGCATTTCAGGACATTTTTGTGTAGCTTCTACAGAGTAGTGGAATCGGATCACTTCTCCATGGTCTGTCCAACATCTGTCTGTCCATAAGTCACATAACTTTTAGCTGCAATATGCACTTCACTATCATCAGGCCACACATGTGATCACTGATCACTAATGTATGAATATATGGATATGACATAAAATAAGCTGATATTTCAAGAAATCAGAATATTTTCAAATGTATTTCATTCATGCTTTGAGTGGAAGCCTACAACAGATGTGATGTGTAGACTGGTAGTTCTGACTTTTTAATTTTTCAGGTACAACCAGATTGCTTGTTTGATTTACTGTTGTCTCTAGAAAAAGATGTTCCGGACATGCTGTCTATATTGGATATAGTTAATTGGGAGAAACGGTTCAAAGCTTTGGTATGTACATGTATATATCTGTATTGTTGATACTTGACATATCATATTTCTTTAAACTTTACAAGTATTGTCTCAGAACTGTTAAGCCTATTTTATCTATTTGCCATTAAATTTAAAGTGATTTTCTTTTACGTAGTTTTGAATGTTGCCAGATGGTATTAAAATTGTTTGGTTTCAGATCTTGTTGTCTGCAAAAATTCATCTGAACGTATTCTAATTCATTTATGTTAATGGTAATCTGAACAAACTTGCATATGCCCAATGTGAATTTTGATTATCTCATTGTCAAGTTACCAGGTTATTTTACACCTAGTATATTTAAGTTTGATTGTGTAGGAAGCTATTATCTTAATTGGCACCCTTTCCAGTACCAGAACTAAGCACTGAGTGAAAGGTTTTTTGCTTAAGATAACAAAGGCATGGGCCTGATTGATTTTGAACCTGAAATTGTCAGGTTATCATGTATAGTTCTTTATAGAGTTTAGAACCCTTTGTCTAGTTTAACCCTGTTGTTATATTAGTGGCAAAAGGTTGAGCAATTTTGTTTCCAGCATTTTATAGGATAAACATTTTTATTTTTTGTAGGATTTTTGTTATGAGAATGAGCCCGACACTTTCAATTTGATAGATGTTATAGACATGTGTGTAACAGTGGTCGTGTATTCCCCAGACTCCTTCAGGAGTGTACAGATGCTGGTATGTATAACAAAACTTGCTTAATAGTAATGTTTGTAGATATTCAAACATTTTCTTTATAATCTATTAAATATACTGCCAAAAAAAAAAGATTATGTTTGTCAAAAATGATGTACATAATATTATATTGCTAAGGTTAGATTGGATAAATTTTCAAAAATTAGGGTATTTCTAAGTTACATCATGTTACATTGTCAAAAATACCAACATCAATTTTAGGTGAAGAAATATAAATAATGTTGATATATTGCCAATTAAAAGTCAATTATATGTTGAGAAAAGTGCCAAAATAGACTGCACAATGTTAAAGCAATGGCATAGCCATATTTTAAATAAAAAATTATCATACATTTAGTTTATTGAAATATTCTGTTAATAATGAATAAACTTAATTGAATCATTTACTTAATTAATCTTGCACATGAATATTTTCTTAACAATAATCAGTCAATGAATGCAGAAAAAGTATATGCATAGAAGAAAAGTAATGTGGACAGTGTTTTTAAAAAATGCCTGGATATAATTTTATCCTAGATTCCTTAAATAGAGAAAAATATAAAAGAAAAGATCATTTGCACACCTTCACAGTACTCATATATTATCATTGTAAATTACATGATTTATAGACAACTTTGGAGACAGTACTGCCACGATATTTAGAGCATATGAAGAATGAGACAAACAAGAAAGATAACCCACCAGCTGCCAGGGCCGAGATAAACATGATCAGTAATATAGGATCATCAATCAGGGCTCTCATCACGTCATGTGATTTCTTCTCCAGGTAAATATCAAACATAAAAATTTAACTGAAGCTTGTATGGAGAAATAGGAAACAACCATATTATCAGATTGATAACGGAGCTTTATTAAATGTATATCATGAACAAGACTATGGTAAATTTTCCACATATCTGGCAGGGAAAAACTGCCGCCATAAGTAATATATGAACAATATTATGTGATTGTGTTGGGAAGATATGTCAATAAAAATTGGTCCTTATTTACTTGTAGAAGTATGAGTTTACCTCTACGTCAACTTGAAGCAGAGAAATCCAGTACGAAAGACAAAGGTCGAGGTGGGTCCCCTGTAGAGACAAGTGTATTTTATGATGAAAGAGAGGACTCTACATGCGGGTAAGATTTGTTAATGTTTTCAATATTCAACACAACACTAAAATCACAAATTTTAAAATAGATGTGACAGTTATTACCATCTTTGTACCAAGTTATTACCACCCCTTGCTACCAAGTTATTACCACCCTTGCCACCAAGTTATTACCTCACTTGCTATCAAGTTATTACCACCCTTGCTATCAAGTTATTACCACCCTTGCTACCAAGTTATTACCACCCTTGCTACCAAGTTATTACCACCCTTGCTACCAAGATATTACCACCCTTGCTACCAAGTTATTACCACCCTTGCTACCAAGTTATTACCACCCTTGCTACCAAGTTATTACCACCCTTGCTACCAAGTTATTACCACCCTTTGCTACCAAGATATTACCACCCTTGCTACACAGTTATTACCACCTTGCTACCAAGTTATTACCACCCTTGCTACCAAGTTATTACCACCCTTGCTACCAAGTTATTACCACCCTTGCTACCAAGTTATTACCACCCCTTGCTACCAAGTTATTACCACCTTGCTACCAAGTTATTACCACCCTTGCTACCAAGTTATTACCACCCTTGCTACCAAGTTATTACCTCACTTGCTACCAAGTTATTACCACCCTTGCTACCAAGATATTACCACCCTTGCTACCAAGATATTACCACCCTTGCTTCCAAGTTATTACCACCCTTGCTACCAAGATATTACCACCTTGCTACCAAGTTATTACCAACCTTTGCTACCAAGTTATTACCACCCTTGCTACAAGTTATTACCACCCTTGCTACCAAGTTATTACCACCCCTTGCTACCAAGTTATTACCAACCCTTGCTACCAAGATATTACCACCCTTGCTACCAAGATATTACCACCCTTGCTACCAAGTTATTACCACCCTTGCTACCAGTAAAGAGGCAAACTGGCTTGAACTTTATTATACTCTAATCAGACACTTTTCATTTTTTTTTTTTTTTTCGCAGCCTACTTTTAGCATCTTAATAGTGTAATACCTAAAATTTAACAATGAATTCCTTACATTTACATTAGAGCAAAATATGAAAAACAGAATGGTACTTGAAAGCCAGTCTATAAGCATATGTGTGCATCTCATGAAAAGTGTTGACCAAACACTTTTAAAAATCATGTTATGACTTTTTGCTGCTCAAATCTTATTGAAAAATGAGCATAACATAATTTTTGTTATATTCATATTTCATTTTCTGATAATTTTGCATATGTATTGATGTGAATAAATCATATATTGAGCAATTTTCTTTAAGTACACACTGCAAAATTTATCATAGTGTAAACAGTGTTATTGTTTCTGTCTTTGTGTTCATATAGATCACAGTCAATTTATTGTCCCCCGCCTTTTCGAAGAAAAAAGGGGGATATAGTAATAGGCTCCGTCTGTCTGTCCATCCGTCCGAGCAAACATTTTGGGTTTAGGGGCTATGTAACAGTAAAGAGAACAAAAGAGAACAATAGGTTCATTCCGTGATCAAAGGGTTTATGGGCTAGTAGCCCTTAAGAAAACAAAGAAAATAGCCCCTAAACCCAAAATGTTGGAACCTCCATCCGTCCGTGTGTCACACTTTCGTGTCCGGTCCATAACTTTTTTCATTTATCAAAGGAATCTGAAATAACTTGGCACAAATGTTTGTTATAATAAGACGATGTGTCATGGGCATCAACCAGACCCCTACCTCCAGGGTCAAGGTCGCACTTGCTCATTCAAGGTCAACATTGTCTATTTGATGGTATATGTCGTGTCCGGTCCATAACTTTCTTATCTTTGAAGGGATTTTGTAAATACTTGCCACAATTGTTCACAATAATGAGATGATGTGTCATGCACAACAACCTGTCACCTACCTCCAAGGACAAGGTCACACTTGGAGGTCAAAGATTAACATAGTCTATTACGGGGTATATTTTGTGTCCGGTCCATAACTTTTTCATTTATCAAAGGAATCTGAAATTACTTGGCACAAATGTTTGTTATAATAAGACGATGTGTCATGCGCAACAACCAGACCCCTACCTCCAGGGTCAAGGTCGCACTTGCTCATTCAAGGTCAACATTGTCTATTTGATGGTATATCGTGTCCGGTCCATAACTTTCTTATCTTTGAAGGGATTTTGTAAATACTTGCCACAATTGTTCACAATAATGAGACGATGTGTCATGAGCAACAACCGGTCACCTACCTCCAAGGTCAAGGTCACACTTGAAGGTCAAAGATTAACATAGTCTTTTACAGGGTATTTTTTGTGTCCAGTCCCTAACTTTTTCATAGATCAAAGGATTTTGTAAATACTTGCCACAAATAGTCTATATAATAAGACAATGTGTCTTCCGCAACACCTGCATCCCTACCTCCAAGTTCAAGGTCACACTTAGGGGTCAAAAGTTAACATAGTCTGTTTTAGGGTATAATTTGTGTCTGATCTAGAACTTCTTCAGGATTTTGAAATAACTAGGCACAAATAGTCACAATAATAAGATGATATGTCATGCATAACACATGTGTCCCTACCTCCAAGGTCAAGGTCACACATAGAGGTCAAAGATTTACATAGTCTGTTATAGGGTATATTTTGTGTCCAGTCCATAACCTGGGATTTTAAAAATACTTTGCACAAATAATCACAATAATAAGATGATATGTCAGGTGCAAAACATGGGTCCCTACCTCCAAGGTCACACTTAAAAGTCAAAGATTGACATAGTCTGTTATCTAAAGGGTATATTTTGTGTCTAATCTATAACTTCTACATAGTTAAAGGGATTTTGAAAATACTTGGCACAAATTGTAATATTAATAAGACGATATGTCATGCACAACACCTGCACCCCTACCTCCAAGGTCAAGGTCACACTTAGAGGTCAAAGGTTAACATGATAGAATTTTAAATTCCATGTTTCATTTTACTAGTATTTCTTTAATAAATTTATTGTTGCATTTGCAGATCTAGCATTGATCATAATTTTGGACTGAAAGTCCTGAAATCCATACCTCAATCTTTTGAAATAGCACTATTTTATGCTTCATATGAAACTTCCCCGAGGTGGGGGACGTTGGTAACTCTGTTACAAATTCTTGTTAAACTTAAATTTATGTTTCAGATTATAGTTTTCAATGAATATTTCTAGATTTAAGTATTTATTTTTCTGAGAATATTTTTAGAGGTGATAATTGATGATATAATCTTGTTGTATACAAAATTTTATTGTTGGAAAGAGTATTTCTGTATGATAATTATTGAACCAGGCATATGGAGGAAGGCAGAAGTAGAAAAGGGACACACTACGACCAGGACGACGAGGATCTTCAGATGAGAAACGATTTCCGTAAACCTCGAGACAGTCTACTCAATGTAATAGCAGAGTTCTATTCTACCTGTCAGCCAAGACTGCGGGAGCTGAGGAAAATACTGGCAGATCCTTCTTTCAGACCACCAGAACTGCTGGATCATAAGTCTCATAATGTTAGTATAACTAAATCAAACAATATTTTTATTATCTGGTCAAAATGAAACAAGATACATGTATTTATTATCTTTTAGTTCTCTTTTGTTATGTTTACACGTTTCTTGTGTCCTCTCTTATTTTTTTATACTTTTTACCTGTTTGATTTTGATACTTGTTTATGCTTAAGTTTCTTTTTGGTTTTTATGATATATTTAAAGTGGATTAGTCTACAATGGTGTCATTTTCCATAAGTTTTTCAAATATTGATAAAAACAATAGAAATCTATCATTTGGATATTCTTATAAGGTGTCTCTTGAAAAATAAATAAGTGATTTAAGTATGAACATTTATATGATGAAAAATTTTAATTAATTTTCACTATATATACATGTAGATACACTGCGAAAAATATACTGATATACGGGAATATACGGTCCCGTATTTTTGACAAATACGGGCGTGTACAGGATGTATTTGTCGAATATACGGACCAAGTATACGAGTCCGTATAGGGAACACCGGTATACGGGAAGGGATGGGATATACGGAATTGCATTTTCTAGTTTTATACAGGGTATACAGAACTGTATTTTCGAGATAAAAGAAGGTACAGATAATATCAAAAGCATGTATTTACATATAAGTGACACCTATACATGACCGAAATGCAGGCTTGTACAATAGAACATGTTTGATTACACATTGTGAATGGGAACTGTAAAGTCATATGCTTAAGAACTTTATCTTCACAATTGGAGTATTTCAAATAATAAAGTAAAAACCAAATCGAGTCACTCTTAAATATTTATTATTTCTTAAACATATATTCAATATGTATACATATATTAAACAAAATAAACATGTCTTCGCTTCAACAGTCATATATTGTTGTAAGCCTTATTCTAGAGGGACACATTAATGTAGCGTTGCAACGGAATAGCGATATACCGGTATGTTGCGATACAGAGTCATGTAATACGTATCACAGTGCAGAACATCCTCATCGCGATATTTTCTTCAAAGATCGAATTATACATGTACATGTTTCGATATTTTCAAGCCGTAACCTTTATGAATTGCATGTTGTTTAAATCTAGAACAAACTATACCAACTTGACTTTCTTTTCTGATTATCTTAACAATGATTTTTATGAGCCACTTATATTACAGCCATAAAACATTTTAAAGATATTAATATCATTTTTTTCGTGTTAACATTCACATATTATTTTAGGAAAATGAGTCCATAGCACAAATTGATTATAACAGAAAGTTTTAATAATAACCATTAAAACTAAAAATCCGTATTCACAGAAATTCGACATTCAAACACTGTTCTTAAAAGCACTTAAATATATCAATCATCTATAATAGGAATGTTACGTAGACCAGTGTAACGGTGTCTATTTCTTGACGAAGGAAATGTTTTCTCCAGATATTACAATCTTCTTCGGCATGTGTGTATCTGAAAATAGAGAGTTTAAAATCCTGTTTAAACAGTGTCATGAAATAGTTATCACAACTTTCAAAAAGACTATACACAAGCATTTTATTTAAGCGTATACATATATTATTTACATTTTTTTTCTTACGCAAATTTCATTTTTTTTTTATATTATTAGGATAAAGATGTCATATATAAGCAACAATTTACACAGGATTTAAATGAAATGATTAATCTATGACGGATGATAAGTTATATTTTTTGTTATAAAACCTTTTCGAATATATATATTTCACACATGTAATATATAGAGGATATTGAATGAGTGTAGGTTTAATACTAAATTTATTGAACGAGTTGAATAAAATCATATTATGCGAGCCTCTGGCGAGCATAATATTGTTTTATTCAACGAGTTCAATAAATTTAGTATTGAATCTACACGAATATAATATTCTATTTATCACATATATAAAATAAGAACGGTAAACTGTTAACAAAAGACATATTTCTTTGACGAGCCTATAGTGTAACGCTAATATTAGCGCGCTTTAACGCTATGTTTATAGTGCAAATGACGTGACGTCAAAGTGTTATTACACTAGTGTAATATTGTCTAGTGTAATATCGTTTTTATTAAATGGCTTTAATACACTCCTGCGCCGCGGTCTATGTGATAAACCATTATATTACATGTGTGAAATATATATATTCGAAAAGGTTTTATAACAAAAAATAATAACACCAGAGGCTCGCATAATATGATTTTATTCAACTCGTTCAATAAATTTAGTATTAAACCTACACTCATTCAATATCCTCTATATCTTTGTTCTATGTAAAGAGTATTTTATTGATTAAAAATATATTAAACTAAGTAATCAAGGAGAGGATGGAAAACAACACGTCAGGAACACCAGAGTGAGTTTAAGTGAATTTATTTATCTACTGGTTTCGGTCATATAATGACCTTCATCAGGATAATACAGAAATATTTTAAAATTTAGGCCCTGAAGTATACTAAATGTGTAAACTTAAAAGTCACGTGACAATACTATATTTGGTTATGTTCTGGAAATGTGCCAAGAATTTTTTGGAATTTTGCCAATATGTTGTTAATAAATATAAAATGAAAATGTTGTTATTATAAGTCCTACTTAGTTTCACGAAAAATACCATAAATGGATCCAATAGAAATTATCTGTTCATTGGTTTGACTAAACTGTCCGAATTCATCTTCGCACAAGGTTTCAGAGCTGTTGTTCTTACTTGGATTTAATGGAGATATAGGTTCTGGTATTTGAAAGTTCATAGTTTCAATGTCCATGTTGATCTTCTGTGTTTTGTTGATGTTCTTAGTTTTTTTGTTCTGTTTCTTGTTGATTAGTTGTGGTGTTCCTCTATTGTTAATGATTCGAAATGTAGGCATCTTTTTTAGTATCCTATATTTGTTTTCAGTTGGTTTGGGTGTTGTTCTTGGTTTATCAATTTTGATATTTTCAAACTTTGTTTCATTGAATCCATGTACGTTTATGGAGTGTCTTTTAAGTGAATCCCGTCTAGCATAGTGCTTATTGCACCAGGAGCAAATGAACTTGGTTATGTATTCAGCATGAGTTTTTTGGTGTTGGTACCATCTGTTTTATCAGTGTAAACGATATCGCAAGTTTCACATAATTTGGTATATCTGGGTTTAGGCCATTCTTCTTCAGTTATTTTTCGTGCATAATATATTTCTTCCGATTTTACATAAGATTTAAGCCGCTTGGAGTTCTTGTTTTTAATTTCCTGATCCATACCTCTTCCGTTCTTAATCTAATATTGATGTTTCTTTCAGTTGTTTGTATTATTGTGACGTCGAATTCACTATGTCCGTTGATATTAAAATGGCGCGAAACGGGCTTGACGTTGTTTTTACTTCGAATGTCGGCTAAATGGCCGTAGAATCGATCTCTTAGTGAATTGCCAGTTTGTCCTACATACTGTAATTTGCATTGTTTACATGTTATTAAATAAATTAAGCTTACAGTTTTACATGTATGATGTCCAAAGATTTTAAATGTTTCATTTGTAGCGGTACTTTTAAATTCTATAGTATTAGACATGAATTTACATGTAAGACAATTTTGTCTGCACGGGTAACTGCCATTCGAGAATTTATCGCTAGAAATGTCTGATTTAACTAAGATTCGCCTTATGTTATTTGATCGACGATATACTGCTACAATTTTAGAGCTCCTAATGAAAGTAGTGAAATCATTGTCACTTAATATGTTAAGGTACGAGTTCAAAATTTTTTGAGCTGGTGGTATGTATGGATTGAAAGTAGTTATAAACGGAATGATTTTCTTCTCTTGTGGTTCGTTTTTATTAACAGAGAAGAGAATAGATCTATTAAGTTCTGATGCTTTCTTTATGGCATTTCTTACAAGTTTTGTAGGATACCCTCTGGCACGTAGATTGTTGAATAATTGATCAGTGCATGCTTTATAGTATGTATCATTGCTGCATATACGACATATGCGGACAGCCTGACTGTAGGGAATGCTATTTTTCTGGTGTGTAGGGTGGAACGACGTGTAGTGGAGGTACATATGAGCGTCCGTAGGTTTGGTATACAGAGTTGTTTGAAGATTTCCATTGTCGTCTTTTATTATATGAACATCTAGAAAATTGGCCGATTCTAAGTTAATGTCATAGGTAAATTTAATTGTATCATGATAACTGTTTAAGGCCTCCATGAAGGAATGCAATTCCCTAAGAGTATGAGGCCAGATTATAAAAATGTCATCTATAAATCTCCACCAGACTGATGGGGTAAGTCTTTGGGTATTAAGAAAATTAGACTCCAATTCAGACATAAAGATAATGGCATAACTGGGTGCACATTTAGTACCCATAGTGGTCCCTGAAACTTGTTTGTAGTATTTATTGTTGAACTTGAAACTTGTTTTTTGTAGTACAAACAGCATTAGTACAAAATAACATTGTATTGGGGAAAAGTGCTGACATAATCTGTTTGATCGTTTTAAAATGTATATTAGCATCGTTAGGAGGAATCAATTCGTTTAAAATGTACAGATATGCGAAAGTACAACTCTATTTGCTACTCAGATGTAGATCCGTGTTTGCACAATGATATCAAGTTAAATAAAATGCGGAATACCCAGTTATACCCTTCATTAATATAAAAACGTAAATCTTAACAAATTTGGATTATTGTTTGTTTCAGTTTCAATTATTTCAAAAACTATCTCATCACAACTTCACAGCAACGAATGAATACCTTCAATATACAATAGTGTAGATTAATATGTTTTATTGTTAAGACTGTTTAACTAGGTAAGTTGACAATAGAATCTCTTACAGTGTGCCATCACTAAAAATAAAGTGATAATTCTCACAAAAATTATCAAAATATCCTCCCTTGCCTGTAGCATTAATCTGATAGTATGAAATCAAATTCAGATAATAAAATATACGTATCATATGTGACAATCGCATAAAATAACATAGGAAATATTTTGATTAATACATGCGAATGCGACAGTATTAGTGCGCACGTGAAACATTTACGTATCAACGCAATATGTTTCACGTGCGCACAAATAATGTGCGTTTAGTATAATAATTTAGTGACGAGGTGGTCAAGTCCACTATACAGGTGTAAAACAGCTATCATATTGTGTTTATTATATTCAAACAGGCTAGCTATATAAATTAAATTATCAACAAATTTACCAACTCTCAGCGTAATGCAGGTAAAGGTTGTGGTAAATATCAATACAAGACAGCTAGATTCGGATTGCACATTTTTCCCAAAAATATTGCTTTATAATTATCAATCAAGTAAGAAAATTTTGTATTATTTATTGTAAAGATTATAAATACTGTGCTATTTTCTATTATCTTCTCATTTTGTTTTAAATGTAGCTATATTTAGCCCTATTTAATAATTTGGTGCAAACTTATACGGAATGCATGATACTGTGCACAGACTGTTCCAACTATACTGCAAAAGTACTATGACTACTTCATACTACACAGTTTGAAATTTCGCTGTTTCACTCTGTAGCGATATTAATCTCAATCTTTGTTTTTTTATTTTTTTCTATTGTCTTGATATTAAATTTATGTATGCATGCGTAAATTATTACATGAATTGAACGATCAGTATTAACGCATTTAACTTTCAATAAGCTAACATTCTATGCGACCTGCATATTTTTATCCCCCATTTATGTCACATCCGGTCAGGGAAGAAACTCTTCCCTGACTGTTATCGCTTAAATGAAAGGGTCTATACAGGGTAAAAATCACTATCATCTGTACATGTATATCTAAATTATTAAATACCGTAACAAAACTGCCTTTATATCCCAATTCATTTTTCTAATGTAAAAAAATAAAAAAAATATATGGAAAGAAAATCGTGAGATCGAACTTGTGATAAAATTTAATGTGTATGACATTCTAGTGACTTTACTAACTTTGCCATCAAGACATTTCAAATTCTGTTTCTAATCTTACATTATATTCGCTTCTGAAAACCCTGTTTTACATATTCAGACAAAGGTTGTTAACTTTAGTGTACATGTACAAAAAAAAATGTAACGTCACTCTCACATTATCAAAGCGGCGTACTTATCGCTTATGCACGAAGTAAATAAAAAACATATATGAGCCGCGTCACGACAAAACCAACATAATGGATTTGCGACCAACATGGATCCAGACCAGCCTGCGCATCCGCGCAGTCTGATCAGGATCCATGCTGTTCGCTTACAGACCCTATAACAAGTAAGACAAGTAAATAAACTGATAGCGAACAGCATGGATCCTGACTGGTCGCAAACCCATTATGTTGGTTTTGTCATGACGCGGCTCATATAAAAGTGATTAAACAGTAAAGAAATACGTATCTTTTTGATACAGTAATATGTTTTAGAAAAGAAAACAGTGCATCTATATTAAACCATTGTGTGCGTTGGAATTGTTTCTTATATTTTATATACTTGATTTTTGCATATTAAAAGTATGGATGTTTTAGCATTTTCAAATGCGCAGCAAAATGCTTAAATGCCTTAATTGACGTCATTGGTGAAGTGTGACATCATTCTACATTAGAATTGATTCTAATAAGATATAAAAGAGAACCAATGTAAGTTTTATATTTAACCCCATTTATTCATGTCAAAATAAATTCGTGTAATTAAGGAAATTTGACTTTGCCTTTGTCTGGAGAAAGAAATTTTGAATAAAACACATGCTGTCAGTACGGATGGGAATATATGAGTCTGGGTAACTCTTCTTTACAGACAGTACCTCCGTGTTATTGTCTTATTTTATTCACAAAGTACAACAATGAATATATACGTGAACTTACATCTATATAACTTGCTTCCATACTTTGCTTCATCTATAATTGCTGTAAAGAGGGCACAGTTGCATTTCTGGAAGATTAAAACACGCTTTCCACTGTCCTGAAAAAATCATAATATTACTTATATATAATAATTATAAAGAGCACATTGAAAATATTTCATAAGTGATCACATGTGCGAAAGTGTTAATACTGTAGAAACGTGTTCACTTTTTTTATGCATGTGTTTATGCAATTTAAAATCTGGGTAATCCTGAACATCGTAGATAAATAACCAAGAATATCGAATGAAAACCAAGAGTTGTCTTTCCTGAATTGCGAGTAAACTCGATCTTGCTAATGCTAAAACAATACAAACAAACCCGTTTTAAAACTTCTAGTTCGTTGCGATATTTTATATTCACGAGTTTTAAAATTCTTACACCGACAACAGGCTCGTGATCTAAGCTTAGTATCAATGTAAAAATAAACATATCTTTTGTACGGAAACGTATAGCGACCACCCCTATATGTTACTTAAACATATTTTTTGACAATTTATTTAATACATATTATATACCTGACCAAATTTAACAAACTTACTTGATCTGAAATATTTACCTTTATTATTTAGTAATATCTACAGCCCCTGCATGTTGCTAAAAACAGAATTTAAGACAGTTTATTTAACACACGATATATATATTTGACCAATATTTACATTGTTATTATATCATTTACTCAATCTGCTGTTAATATTGCTGGATTCAAATTTATGTGACATTTTTCTGTTCATTTATATGTATTAGTTATTTATAGTGAGGTTTTTTATTCGCATACCTCTATCGTTATAAAATATAATATAACATATTTTTTCCATTTATATTTGATAATGAGGACAAAAAAATCTCGCACAGTAGTAAGCCTTTTTAAAGATTATATATGAAACATTTGATTGAGCTTTTTGTATTCCAAAGATGAAGGAATGTTTAAATAATTGTGCTTCAGATAGTGTTACAAGATAAAGATTATATAAAAAGGACAAACTCCGTTAGTTGTTGATAAGCATGAAGTAATACCTGATGTAAATTAGTTATCATAGAAACCATTATATTCTTGTAAGATATATATAATATATATATATAGCTTAAAACGACAATTTCTGACAAATTTACCATTTTAAATGTATGTACAGAGGATGGTACATGATAAATATTAAAAAAAGGTATATTCGACCACTTGATGTTATCATAGGAACATAGATCCCAAAGCTTAAGCGATATTTGTCTTATATGATGTGTGACACGAGAAAAGTCAAGACATTTGTATTTGATAAAGGAAGCAATTGAAAAATCATATATAATACGTATTTTTTGTAATCAATAGTACGTTTTTATCTTGTAATGCAAGATAAACTACTTTTAACTTTTTGACAAAATGGAACTGTTACAATAAAACACTTACATCTTTTTAAATATGTAATTCTTTCCTCAAATCATATTTGCATATAACAAACATACTATAAAAAAAGTCATAAAATTTGATATACATCATATAGGGATGGTCGCTATACGTGTCCGTACTTTTGACACCAAGGGTAAGTGAATTAACAGTTAACTGATAAACTTACCACCTGTCGGCCACATTACATGCAATTATACAGATATATATCTGACATTCTTTGTATTAATGTAAATAACACATTCTGACAAATATTTTCAAGTTTTTTATTCATCCTATTGTATAATGATTTAAATGGAAAAAAAATATTTGTTTGCTATTTTTGTTTCAGATTTTTATTCATTTAAGAGTAGGTTAATATAAATAAGAAATATATAACAACATGTGTACAGAAACTTGTGAATAAAAATGAAAAGACCGGCGTCTTTAAATTGACCTATGTTTGCATCAAATAATGGGGATTTGTATATTTGCGAATATAAAACAAGTATTCTGAACGTTAAATTATCAAGACAGAGAAAGACAATTTTATCTAAAAATTTATAAACATATTTTTTAGAAGTACTAAGTAATTTAATTTTAAATATCTTTTAGAATATGTTAATCTGTTAAATCTGATAATTTTTGTTATTATAATTGTTATTATTATAAAATAAATTAAAAAAATAACCTATTTTTCATACATAAAATAGTGTGTCTTGTCGATATGATCTTTCGCACCCCTGATTTTAAGTGATAATTGAGATCGCTCAAGATTATAAAGTCCAATCAGTTGACCAATCAAGCATACATAGGTCGTGTCACACACACTGATTAATCCTTTAGTACGACCATGTCCAGGGGCTGTAATAGTAATACATTGACATCTTCGATGTTTAAATGTCGTTATTTTAACGCGGTGTCTTTTTTACCCTAAAGGGAAGTTATATATGATTAACAAATTTAAGAAATGCCCTTTTCATTTTTTTGCATTTTTCAAACAAATTATTAATTAAAAAAAATATACAGTTTAGAAATCAAAATCAAACTCGTAACCTCCCAGTCTAAATCCCTGCTTTAATTATCTAATCCGGTGGCCATATTGGATAGCGAAACAGATTAAACAGTGGTCAAATTTTCTAAAAACAAATCAGTTTAACCCTGAAATAAGCTGTTGTTCACAAAATTCAACTATTCTATTGATCGCATTTTGATATTAAAACGATAAAAAAAACCTTTTAACCTACCTTGTTTTGCAATATTCTATATTTTATTCATCATCCATTTCCAATCGTGTTTTTTTCTTTTTTCATTTCGCCCACGCTATATCTGATTGGTTGATATGATTCACGTGATACCAAACCAACGCTTTAATCTCATTGGTTGTTTTAAAAATGCGTGATATGCCTAGATACCGTTTGTGTAATAAAGCATTTAGCATTAATAATGCCACGGATTTATATTAATGGCTAATGCGGAAGAAACTAGCATACTAAGACCTTAATTTGATTAAAAATAATACAATATTTAATTGAAAATATTATGTATCTATAAACGATAACTTTGCATACATGTATAATATAAACATTGATACTTTTTCATAGGCAAAACTTTGATTCTAATGCTTAATCGGTTATTTATTATTATTAATAATGATAATACTTACGATGATGATGATGATAATAATAATAATAATAATAATAATAATAATAATAATAATAAAGACGTTTAAGAAGCATTAAGAAATATTCATAAATTACACAAATTTTTGTAACTACAACAATAAGCGGGTAAAACATGAAAATAAAAAATAACTTCTCTAGAGAATGTACTTCTTATATATTTCTTTATTTTTTTAGTTGAATTGTCAAAATTTTAAAATATTAAATTGTTTTAATAAAGGATTGATAATTAATAGTAAAATTTATCATATAGTTTAGTTTGACAACTGTAATTAAATAAATGTGTGTGTGTTGAAAGCTCAATACTTATATTAGAAAAAACTTTTTATTCATTATCTGCTCTTATGGAATAACTGTTCTGTTTGGGACTTTATTCATATTATGTCCCAGTTTCTATTATGCAGAAGACACTTCATTTCATTCAAATAGGCTTTAAAGCCAATGAGGACACTTATTACTTTATGTAAATATTTTATGTTTATTGGAGGTGACTTATAGGCCCATTGGGCCGTGTGTATTTTTTGGGCCGGGTGTATTTAATATGTTGTAAAATTAGATTTGTAAAATATGTTTACACACGTCACTAAAATAAATAAATTACTTACTAACTTACTTATACACAGAATAAAAAAAAAATTAAAGATCCCTTCACATTATCTGCGGATTTCAAAATTGAAATAAATTTTTACCAGTATAAGAATATGAGGAGTATCGGTTACAATTCAAAAGTCCAATTTGAAAAATGATTTTACTTTCAATATATAATTTATTATGTTCTAAACTTGATTTTTTTACAACAAATTGCGACAATTTTTATTTTTTAAACAAAGAATTACTTATACAAAAACTGTTACCAAGATACATAGTTTATTATAACCAGGGTACACATGTTTAATTTACATAGTACGGCCATGTTCCCCTGTCCTGAACAATGTTCAAGTCACCGAATTATGCAGAAACAAGGCTGATGGGAGACGAGGAAACTCGGAAGATGATGATGATATTTTCCAAGAAATGCTATTTCGAATAATTTGACATCATCTATCAACAATACACGTACATACACCGCAGTGATATTCATCTGATTCTAGCTTTTTAACTTAGATATAATTGGACCTGGCGGCAGTGTACTTCAGAATTTACTTTAAGATATAACTTAATTGTGTCTTGTTTAAATGACGAAATCGGCAAGATAAAAGGATAACAACAACACTACGCTGCAAAAACATTCGCTATATCTGTTTCATTTTAATATGTCAGGTTAGAGTCTTTATAATATCTGGAATAAAATGACATAGAGACTCTGTTATAAGATCCCAAACTAATTCCATTTTTTCTTACAAGAAATTAACAGTGAAAATTACCGTTAAGACATTCAACGCCAATTGCGCGAACTTACATAATCGGAGAAAACCGACACTCGTGATACCCTGCTGCGTTTATGATCAATATCCGGATCAATATCCGGCTTTATCAGTATTGGCTTCGATTATCGCAATACAGCACGTGGCTGTTACGCAATATATTATGTCAGAAATGAGACAGCGTGAAAATAATTAAAATTGGGGAATTCGGAACTTCATAAGATTTCTATTCCAAACTTGTGTATAAAAATGCAAGTCTTTATGTTTCCTGAAATAAATGATTAAATAAATAAATGATAAATAAATAAATAAATAAATAAATAAATAAAATAATAAATGAGTGGTGATGAATGAATGAATGATTGATTGTTTTATCGGTGATTGATTGATTGATTGATTGATTGATTGATTGACTGACTGACTGACTGACTGGCTGACTGATTGATTGATTGATTGATTGATTGATTGATTGAATGAATGTGAATTAATGAATTAATGAGATACCATTCACATTGTTGTAACAGTTGTTTTTTACATATGCAAGTACATGTATTAAATTATTTATAGGATATATATAAACTGTGTGTGGACAATCCCGATTTCATCTTCTTTATTTCATAATTTTACCTTTCACGATTTCAACTTCACGGATCCACGATTTTAATATATTTAATTTATGTTTTGAACATCACAATTTTAACTTTATCATTTTCTCATGTTTGGCTTATCATTTTAAATTATTATAATGATAATGATAAAGAAGTTACAAATACAAAAAGTACTATCTAATCGTCAATCGCAATTGTAAAGTATTCGCTATTTATCTGCGGCTGTATGCTAAAAAGCAAACCAAGCGGTATTGAGCTAGAATACCACGTTGCCTTGTATACAAAAGAAGATATTTCAATATACGTTGTCGTTCTTTGTCTGCATGCTACAGATGGATTTTTTACACGTTCTGTGCACTGACGATATTATTAGTATGCAATTAACGTGTTAATACTTCCAGAAAATATTACATCGTGTAAAAGCGTTCCTGTTTTATGTTAGTTTGTCAAATGTCTGACAAATATTAGATAAGACTATTTCTTTCCTCTTATAGGTAATAGGCGATTTAGAAGTAAATCTTCATTTGCTATTTCTATATACAGAATCCGTATTTGCACGAATACGGAATTTCGTATTTTAGTAATATACGGACTTGATATAAAAATTCCGTATATCATTAAAATACGGACTTCGTATATCAAAGTTCCCGTATATTACGAGTGTACGGATTTACCGTATATTGGTCATTTACGGACTGACCTAATATACGGTCCCGTACATCTCCGTATTTCCAGTTTCCCGTATTCTTACCCGTATATTAATGATATACGGAATTCCGTACACTTCCGTATATCCATACCTTTTTCGCAGTGATATGCCATATCAGATCATGTATCTCACATTTACCAATAAATTCATGTATAATTTGTTCATGGTTAGTTGTCTCTCGTGATATATACATGTAATACATATATCAATTTAATTATTTGTGGTATAACAGACCAATTCATTGATTCATTTACTATATTTATAAGTACCATACACATGAGATATAGCAATGAAAATATGTTAAATAATGATGTTTGTGTTATATGTATTGACATTGTTATTTTACAGAGATTAGCTGAGATAGCGCATACATTTTTGAAGTTGGCACCTTATGATTCAGAAACCATGGGCTGTGCTGGCATGCAAAGGTAGGCAGATATTTAAAAAGTCAATTTTTCTCTATCACTTAATTGTGACTGGGTTGTTTTCTTTGCAGGTTTTTTTGGCAGACATTTTAGCCATGTGTTGGCAACTGATTAACAAATCATTCATTTAGATTCCAAATGAAACCTGATCTTGATGAGTAAATTTTATCAGTTGTACATATACCTTTTGGCCTGGGAGACCCCTTAGTTTTGAAGAAAGTTTGATATGTTATGTTGCAATTTTTAACATATATGCATTCAATAATAGACTGAACACGTGCCTCACAAGTTAGTAATGATAAATCCCGAAATGTAAACATTTTGTTATTTACAGTCAAGATGTCTTGTGATATATTTGTTTATCAAAATATAAATAGTTGTTAATTATTGTCTCTTTTCTTCATGTATTCCTCCGTTAGGTCAGGAAGTATATTTGCTTTGTAAATTACTAATTTGCTATTATTGCATTAATTAAAAACATAATTTACTTCTTTATAATCATGTACAGGTATATGACAGAGATTTTACCAATCACAGACTGGTCCCAGGAGCCTGTCAGACCTGCTCTCAATCTTATACTGAGACGTCTGGATAGACTCTTCAGTAAACTCTCCAAGAACAAGAACAATCTCAAGGTATTTCATTTCTATACTATATAGTCACACACCTATAGATTCTCTCTCTGTAAATACCATACTATATATTCTGATTCTATGATTCCCAGTTTAAACCTCTGAATTAATGCCAGTCTTTACAAAACACTTTCATGGCTATTGTATGTGACTTTTTAAGGGTATGTTTGTAGACAAGTTTTTGTTCGAAGAAGTTTTTATAATCTAATATTGTTACAATTATCTAGTCTTTATTATAAAATTTGTGCCATGTCAATTAAGCATCTGTCAATTAAAATAAGCATGATCATTTTTAGCTCACCTGTCACAAAGTGACAGGGTAAGCTTTTGTGATCGCTTTTCGTCCGGCGTCCGTCCGTCCGGCGTCCGTCCGTCGTCCGTAAACTTTTACTTTAAATGACATCTCCTCATAAACCACTAAGCCAATTTCATCCAAACTTCACAGGAATGTTCCTTTGGTGGTCGCCTTTGAAAATTGTTCAAAGAATTTAATTCCATGCAGAACTCCTGTTGCCATAGCAACCAAAAGAAAAAACTTTAAATATCTTCTTCTAAAAAACCCAAAGAGCTAGAGTTTAGATATTAAGCACGAAGCATCTTCTAGTGAGTGTCTACCAAGTTTGTTCAAATAAAAGCCCTGGGGTCAAAATTGACCCCGCCCAAGGGGGTCATTGATTTTCCCTATATGCATATAGTAAAAACTTAAAAAATCTTCTTTTAAAGAACCCAAAGAGCTAGAGCTAAGAAATTTAGCATGAAACATCTTCTAATGGGTGTCTACAAAGTTTGTTCAAATAAAAGCCCTGGGGTCAAAATTGGCCCCACCCCGGGGGTCATTGATTTTCCTTATATGTGTATAGCAAAAACTTAAAAATCTTCTTCGTAAAATCGGAATAGCTAGAGTTCAGATATTAAGCATGAAACATTTTCTAGTAAGTGTCTACAAAGATTGTTCAAATGAAAGCCCTGGGGTCCAAACTGGCCCTGCCCCAGGTGTGTCATTGTTTGTAACTATATGTGTAAAGAAAAAACTTGACCAGCTAGACCTTAGATGTTTAGCATGAAACATCTTCTAATGGGTGTCTACCAAGTTTGTTCAAATAAAAGCCCTGGGGTTAAAACTGGCCCGCTACGGGGGCCTATATACAGGTGAGAGATTTCAGGGCCATCATGGCCCTCTTGTTTTATTTTTATCTTTCATGTAAGAAAAATTATTGTATTTACATTATATAAGATTTTTTTACCTGTTCTTTCTATCTTTACAGAGAAAATGTGACTGGGAAGCTGCTGCTAATCTGCTTAAAGGTGAGCTAATATATATATGGTCAAAAAAGGGGCTTCATTTCAGCAGAGTTGGTACGTCCTTGGCTGAGTAGTTGAAGTCGTTGACTTCAAACCACTTGCTCATCACTGTGACAGGGACTTTGGATTCTTTCATATGTCTGTGGTTCTGCTTAGGTGCAAGTTTGTGCTTGAAATAATGTACAGAAGGGCACCGAGGTCTCCCTCCACTAGTAAAGCTGTAAATTCGCCATATGACCTTATACTATTTTGGTGTGGCGTAAAACCTTATGAAGCAGAGTTAGATATTATTATATGAATGTTGTTAAGTGCGGAACCTTTAATGTTTTTGTTGTAGTTGTGGCCTGCTGAAGTTGCAATACATTTCTTTTTAGTCTCACTGTTTTACTATTGCAAGGCTCTTGCACACTAGTGACTTATATGATAAGATTAGAAATTTACAATGTGATAAAATATTTATACTTTTATGAATATTTCAGGTGTATTCATGACATTGAGGAAATTCCCTTACATTGCACATTTACCACATTTAAAGGTAAGTTTACTTCATGTATTATTGAAGTATAATTTGAATTAGATGTCACCTTGATCGGGTAGTAATGGTTTCTTACAATGAAATAGTTGTTAATTACTTTCCTTGGTAACATCCCTGCAATATTATGATATGAAATTATATTTCTTACAGTTTTTTTTTTTCATATCCTTAGCCAAAAACAATTTGTGCTTAAAAAAATCCTAAATCTTTGATGGAATTATATGAATGACATGTCTTTATTCTTATCAGTGTCTAGGGCAATTTATTGGAGGAAAAAATCAATTATTAACTTGATTTCTTTTTTACTGGTAATGTCTGCTTATTTGATTATTTATCTACATTTAAAGCTCATTGTATAATATTTTGAAGGGTGTATTTGGGCAAATGGTAAAGGCTACTGAACCACTGGCTCCTCACTGCTGCAGGTACACATTATTCATGTGACTTGTGAAAATGCATGAAGAGGTTCATCATATCTTATATAAGCTGTAACACTGAGTCTGTGAATGACCTTTACATTGTATGACTTGAAGAAAATCTGAATTCATTCAAGTAGTATAATTTTATTTGTCATTGTTCTTTCTTTCAGACTCTGATCAACATTTTGATAACTATAGTCTTGTCAAGTGGCTCTCAGACCGTGATGGAGAGTTTACCAGGAATGGGCGTGTTTAGGGCGGAGAATAGTAGCTCTATAATCCCACCCATTTTCTGCTCGGAGGTTGTCAAGCTGGTTGCTATGCAGATGCAAGCACTAGGGGTATGACATTTTTATATTTTACTTTTCAATTTGTTTTGATGCCTATTTTTTATAATGGTGAAAATAGTTCTGATTGTTATGTTGCTTTTGTTATTTATTCAAAACAATATACTTTTTTTTCTTAATTTCTTTTTTCACGCTTTTTATTATCTTTTTAAACTATTTTTTTTACACTGGTTTTTGTATTGTTCATTTTCTTAAGAAACATGTCAGTATTTTAGATACTTAATATGTTCTTTTGTATTTTGAATATTAATGTGCTAGTAATATGTTGAAATTACCTGGTAAATATCTTTTAACAGTATACTTTGAGCATTTCAAAATGGACGTTATGATAAAAAAAATTCAGTTGCACATTTTAGAAAAGTTGTAGATTCAGGGTTTGTTGAAAAGTTGTTTTTGTCTATGATGATGAAAACAATTTTTCAGTAAATTCAAGAAATGTGATGTTTTCTACAGCTATATATAGGTAAATATGCACCACATGTTAAGCGTATGTGACACACATGTTTTACATATGGTAAAACATATGATTTTTCCAAGAAAAGTACCCAATATGTTTTACATATGGTACAAACACATGTTTTCCATATGTTTTTCATATGGTTACACATGAATAACATATGTTTTTCACATGGTAGGAAACAGTGTTTCTCCAAGAAAAGGACACCTTTTTTTATCTAATTTTATGTTTATATTTTTGTGTGGCTGACAAATTCACCAATTGATTCATGTTTTGTGTTGACTTTGTTTTGTCCGGATATGTTTGTTACCCAGTGTTCTCATGATGGTAGATCAGTAATGTACTGTGGCTTTCACTATAATTTTTTTCATACCACCTAATAGTCTAGCTTATACATTGTAATTGATTAATTTGTGAATGGAATGAAATTTTTTTTCGATACAGCCATTTCTTAAAGCATAAGTAGCAGTGCTCATATACAGGATGAAAACTGCTTAACAAAATTTATTTTAACATTGCATGATCTTAGAATGTGATTAATAAAATGTTTTTAGGAAAATGAATATTAAGAGTAACCAAAGTCGTCATAGAGTTATCAAATTATATGACTTGGAGAATTTTTGAAAGTTTATTGAGATACAATAATGTTATAATGAATGCTCAGTCTGAAACCAGAAGGTAAGTAGTTCTCCTTTGGTGCCTATTTATACCTAAAAAATGCACAAAGTCACCTTAACTTGCCTTCCACCTGTGAAGTTGAAAATTCGCAGTATGACTGTAACAATGTTGTTGCGATGTTAGGGATTTCATTTTTCTTTACTTTAAACCTTAAAGCAAATAGTATGAAACCTGAATGCTGGCAATTAAAAGTAAGCTTGAACTATTTTATTTATCAGTTACATTCGCATTCACATTTTTCGAAAATCACACTTTTGAGACTGAAACCTAGGGATGAATTCTGGATCTAATAGAAAATTTAACTTATTCTGATCAAAAATATGTCAAAATCACATAAAAAACACACACACAGAAAAATAAACCTAAAAAAGTCAGGGATATACATAGACAAGAATGCCAAGTTTTTAACATGCTCAAAAGTTTACCTAAGATATTTTACTTGTGAGTAGTCTGGAAACCCATCCATAAGGTCAGATGGGAAATTGTGATTCTTATCCATGAGGAGTTTTATATCAAATATTAAACATTCATTTAAACTAGAGCTTTTGTGTCAGTGTTTTTCTTTCATTTTCTTTGTGTTACACTGTTTTTGTCCTGTGTTTTGTAGTGTGTTCTACTATTGTTTTCTTTTTGAACGTAATTTTTCTTAGAATAAACATTTTGTTCTCTTGTGTTGTGCCAGTATACAGGCTACTACGGGTGGATCCGAGCTGAACTCATGCTACAAACCAATAATGTAAGAGCACGCACATATGTATATGCTGCAGTTTATATATATATATATTTTCTCCAGAATGTATATGTTGTGTAAATATTGTACTTTGACTGCTGCCCTGTACCAAATATATATATCTATATAATTATGTATTATAATGTTCCTATGTATATAGACATAATCCACTCCTGTGATAATTAAAGTGAATGCTGTATATTAGTTTTTAGATGATGTGAATATTGAAAATAAAATTATGTATACATTAACTCACTATCCCAAGTCCAACTTCTCCTTTACATCAATTGCCCATTTCCTGTCAGTAAATTGCCCATATGATATGTTTGAAAATTTACCATATCCATGTGTAAAATCCAATAACTTCTCTACCAAAACAACCATTCGTTGAACCTGAGTGTAACTCTTCTGTCTACCTTAGTGTAACTCCTCTTCAGTCCTTATGTTTCCCCCTTACAGAAGGAATTATGAAATATCTTGGTATTTTTTTACCCAGTCAATCTGCCTCTGTCTCAATTGATATCTATTCATTAGTTTAAGTACCATATGACCAAGAGCCATCAAAGTTCGTTTCAGGTTTATTTATCTATAGACACATCAGTGTCACATGACTTTTAGTATGAGAAATGTTCATCTCATTAATTGGGGTCCATAGCCTTGTTTACCTTTACTTAAAAGAGTGTCCATATTGCTTTGGTGTTGCTTATTGGTAATTTGTGCAAGGTAACAGTTCTTGCTGTTGTGAAAAGATGTTTTCACTCAATAGCATAAAGTATCATTGACCTATAACCTTCAAACTTCATAGACAGTCAATCTATGTTGAGCAGAAGATGACATTGGATCGGGGACATTATGGCAAATTCAAGGTCACATCGTATTTGAAATTTGATTCTAAACTTGATATAATCCACCTTCTTCTAGATATGTATTATATTATCTCTGAACATTTGCAGGGGTGGGGATATATATTGTATTTTATAGTATTTCTTTAACTAAAGATTTCTCATCAAATCTCTTGGAAATAAAATTCTCTTCCTTATTTTTTACAGTTTAATAAGATAATTGATAAGGATCTGTTATTGACAGCTACAAACATCTGTTCCTGTAGGCAGAATGAACAAAATTAAATCTTTGCTCCAATCCTTAAATTTTTAGTAATCTCCTGTGGGATAGGGGAAGGAGATTATAGGAATGACCTCAGCAACATCCAATTCCTACCACCAAGGTCAAGGTCACTCCAAAAGGTCAAATGTAAAAAAAAGTCATCCTTGAGACTGCTTTTTTGCATGCTGAAAAGTTACTGATCATAATGAATATTGCTGCATATTTAATGAATAAAAAAAGAAAAAAGAAAAACCTGTGTTTGTGACCAGATCCATTGATTTTGTTTAATGCCAGAAATTTACATTTTGCTGCCTAATAATTGGAATTCTATGGAGTAATATTCAGGATAAATAAAAAACCAAACAAATTATGATGTGACTCAAATGTTTCTATGAACCAATGAAAACTGTATTATGTTAAATATGCTTAAAAATGCTATAGCCTAAGTTAATTGCAATAGAAAAAGCTTGGTTATTGATAATTTATTTCTCGTTTTTTTGTACATTTTCAATTGAAAAATTTATGTATATTCAGTTGCCATTCATTATGTGAAGCTAATTGATTATGTTGTTTGTAATATGCCTGTTATGCCCCATATTTTACATCAAATTCTTTAGAGTTAAGATTTCTAAAGAATTTATTATTGTAAAAATAGCTTGTATGTATATAGTTGATTATATTTGTATTTTCATTTTTTTTGTATGTTTTTAAATGGTTTTATGTATATTTTTTTGTTAAATGAAAACTGTTAAATGACAATTAATATTTCTTTTCAAAAACCCTAAACTTTGGAAGCCATTTAGGAAATTATTAATCTTAAGGATATTAATTAAATAAACATCCCATACTCTAGTAAAAACTGTCATAATCTCAAGTCTGCCTAGAGTAATAAATTTATAATATCTTTTTGAAAAACTTGTTAACCTATCATCACTTTCTGTGTTAAATAATGATGATATTTCCTCTATATGTATAAAATGTGTGAAACTTATCAAAAAGTCGATTTATCTATAATCCTTTGGCTTCCAGCTTGTTTGTCACCTGGAATCAGTATTTTCCTATTTAAGCAACTGAAATCCATCCAACTTCATCATTCGAAGTTCGGAATTGGATATTAATAAAATAAAAAGTTAAATTTATTTTCAACTCTTGATTCCAGGTATGTTTAATTACTTACATATACTTCTTTATTGTTGCATTATATGATATTGATTGTAACATTATAAATATTGTGTTTTTCATATTCATATAGAATTTGTACTTTTGTAAATATAGTTTAAAACTTGTTAACATTTTTAATAGCAAGTATCATAACAAAATATTGTTATACTGATGTAAGAGTCAAACATGAACCTTTAATTATAAGTATTATTTTACTTAATTTGTTTTAATATTTCATGTCTTGAACATATAATATAGAATTACAGTATGTTGTACATAATTTCATTTACTGTACATTTTGATTTACAAAGTAAATTTTTCATAAACAAAGTCTTGTAAAAAGTAAGCTTTGTTACAATTATAATACAAATAGTTTAAGTAAAAAAGTAAAAATAAAAGCTTTTTGAAATCATAGTAAAATGTTATTGTAAAGTTCTTTTTAATATTTCGGTGTCGACAGGTACTTCTTACTAAGTCAATAAGCGAGTTATTTCCCTTGTATTATTAATTCCCTATTTTTATAAAATAAAGTATTCTTTGTAAATTTTTGTACACTATTTTGAATGCTTAAATGATCTGCTGTACATGTTTAATGATCATGTAAATGATTGTGTACTTTGTAGTTTCATTTCATTCTATAGTTATTCCCCTTTAATGTGTTAATTCCCTGTTCTTTAATTAAAGTAATTTTAAGGTATTGTCTTATACTATTTTGAATGTTTAAATGATTTTACTGTACATGTTTAATAATCATGTAAATGATTGTGTACCTTGTAGTCATTTCATTCTATAGTTATTTTATTTTATTCTTCTTGTATTTGTAAATCATTCGAAGTTCGGAATTGGATATTAATAAAATAAAAAGTTAAATTTATTTTCAACTCTTGATTCCAGCCCGGCACCTTCCATATCCTTAGTCCCATAGGTACTCCTCGTATCATAGTGTAATATCAACAACAGAGAATTCTTGCGCGTATCAACCAAGAATATTCAGCGCATATCAACTGGTGGGGAATAAAGTGGTGAAATCTCATGTCGACACCTTTAAATAAGCACTACAATCTACGAAGTATCCCTCTTGTGGAAACTGAAGCTGAGGTTACATATGCAGATGGTGACGGCTCACTGAACTTAAGTGACGCTAGTGATACAGAGTACAATAGTGAACAAGAAACCGTGGACTCACAGGTAAACACTTATAATATGGCACTTCATCTTACGATGCCCCTCTTCCGTGGGAGGCCAGGTGACCGTGCAGAGGAATGGTTGGACACTTTTAATAATTATTGCAAAGCATTAAAAGTGAGTGATGAACAGAAAGCAAGCATTTTTGAATTCCAGCTTGCAGATCATGCCTTAGGTTGGTACAAAGCTCTTTCTCATGAGCAGAAAACAAATTTTAATTCAGTTTTAAATGACTTTAAGACAAGATTCAATGGCTCAGATGGATTGTTGCCAGACATGGCTATACTCTCACTCCAACAAAAACCAAATGAAAGAGTTTGTGACTTCATGACAAGGGTTACAACACAAACAGCCAGACAAGGACTTGGAGATGCCATGATAGCTTCACTAGCTATAAAGGGTCTGAGACCAGAGTTACAAGAAAAGGTGATGCCACAAAATCTAGGAACTCTCGAGGAAGTAAGACGTGCTGCAACTCTTGCAGAAAGAACTGTTGAGACATTAAAAATGGAAAGTGTTGCAGCAGTACAAACTGTTGATATTCGAAACCTTACAAACACTGTCAGTGATCATGTGATTACAGCGCTAACCTCAAAGTTTGGTGACATGTTCCGGAAATCATCCCAGCCTGAACCGCACCAGCAATCAAGTTATGGACAAGAGAGGCAGCCATATCAGAGGCCACCAGCTAGGAATGACAAACCCTGCAGAAGATGTGGAGGTAAGGCTTGTTCCTCTCTTGAAACTTGTGTTGCTAAGGGCATACAATGTGCATTTTGTAATAGGTGGAATCATTTTACTGAAACTTGTTTAATAAAAAAACGTCAAGAGTCAAATAATAGGAGATAGGAAATTGCGCCTATCCGTGTGAACAAAGCTCATACGGATGGGCACAGCAAGGGCAAAACTTCACATCAGGGTAAACCACCTTTTGTAGAAACAGAATTTTACTATCAGACTTCAAAAAAACCTAATACTACATCAACCTGTAACACTTTTAATGACAAAAATCAATGTGCTCAAACTAACAAATGCCAAAATGGTGCTACAAAAACAAATGCTGGTACACAAAGTGCTAATTTTGGAAACCTTAATCCAAGTGCTAAAATAGTAGGTTCTAAAACAAGGCAATGTAAAACTGATTCAGTTCCTCAATCCCTGAATGCTAGGATAGATGCTTCTACTCAAACCCCTTATGAGGAGATTTTTGTTGCTACTTCACTTGATAGAAATACTATTGTGATAAATCTAAATGGCAAAACCTGTCGGGCACTTGTCGACTCAGGGGCTAGCGTCAGTTGTATTGAAAAGTCTTTATTTGATAAATATGCCAACCATGTTACACTAGAACCTTCTCAATTGTTTGGTATCATAGGAGTAGGTGGTGAAAGGCATCCCGTACTAGGACAAGCCAAATTTACTCTCAATTTCTCTGGCTTAAAAGTTGAACATACTTTTATTGTTCTTCAAAAATTGCAAAATTCAGCACAAGTAATCATAGGGTTAGATTTCATGAAAAATAACAATGTAAATATTGACTTTCAAAGAAAATTGTTCACTGTAGGTGACATTGCATCAGTAAATCTTGTTTGTGAAAGTAAATATGGTTATGCAAAATGTGTTAAGTCTGAAATCATACCTGCAGAAAGTGAAGTTGTCTTACCAGTTAAGTTAGTAAATTGTAATTTTGAAGGCACTGTCCTGCTGGAACCATCAAATTGGCTGCCTAATTCATTGCTTATGGGGGCAAAATGTTTAGTTGATGTTAAGAAAAATAAATGTGCTATGAGATTAATAAATCCAACCAAGAATGACATTAAAATATCCCCAAAAAGAGTTATCGCAAATGTAAACTTAATTGACTTACAACAAATTCATGAGTTTGAAAATGAGAATGACTTAAAAAGTACTCTTTCAAATGATGACAATATGGCACATGTTTTCAATACTGAAAGCAGTACAAACACAAATTTCTCTGACGAAAGTTCATTGCAATTTGAAATTGATAATGCAAACTTATCACAAGATGAAAAACAAAAACTTCAAAATTTCTTAGCTAAAAATAGGGATATATTTTCAACATCTTTGGATGATATAGGCAAAACAGGTCTTTTCAAACATACAATTGAAACTATTCCCGATGCCAAACCGGTGCATTCAAACTTCTATAGACAAGATCCAATTAAAAAGGCTGAAACAGAGCGACAAGTTAATGACTTTTTGAATTCAGGTATATGTAAACCTTCTGATTCAGTTTGGAACTCACCCGTAGTTTTGGTTAAAAAGTCAGATGGTTCATGGAGATTTGCCGTGGACTATCGTAAGCTAAACAAAATTACAATCCCAATTTCTCACCCTCTACCCCGTGTGGAGGATGTCTTTGATGCTTTAGGAGAAAACAAACCAACTATATTCTCTACTCTAGATTTGAATTCAGCTTACTTTCAAATGGAATTAGACCCAGAGACTAGGCACAAAGCAAGTTTCATAACACATGAAGGTGTATATGAATGGGTTAGAATGCCATTCGGGCTTCGCAATGCTCCAATGAGTTTCCAAATGCTTATGTCAAAAATACTTAAAGGTTTGCACTGGAAATTTGTATTGTGTTACATTGATGACATATTGTGCTTCAGTCCTGATTTCGAAACTCACTTACTTCACCTTGATCAAGTTTTCCAAAGGTTACGAAAAGCAAATTTAACCTTAAAACCCTCTAAATGTCATTTTGGTGTAAATAAGGTTACTTTTCTTGGTCATATTTTAAGTGAAAAAGGTGTAGAGGTTGATCCTGCAAAAACTGAGAAAATTGAAAACTTCCCAATTCCAAAATCACAGCGTGAACTTAGAGGCTTCTTAGGTTTATGTAATTACTATCGCAAGTTTGTAAAAGGCTATTCAAAAATCAGTGCTCCATTAAATTCTTTGTTAAAAAAAGATATAGGGAAAACTTTCAATAAATCTGACTGGACAAGTGACTGTCAAAAGGCCTTTGAAACACTGAAAAATGCTTTGGTAACAACCCCAATTCTTAGGTTTCCTGATATGAACAAGCCTTTTGTCTTATCAACGGATGCGAGTGGCACAGCTCTTGGTTATGTACTAGGTCAAAAAGATGAAAATGGTAGAGAATTTGTTGTCTCGTATGGTGGTCGTGCCTTGCGACCTGATGAAAAGAAATGGAATATCACTGAACTTGAATGTCTCGCAGTAATTGAAGGGATAGACT